CCACGAGACCATAACACCGACTGCACCATCGAGTGGCACTAGTAGGCAGCCCCAATGTATACAATATCCCCATGAAGTGCCAGCTTTATTGTGCACACAGTGGTCAGTATTGTATTGTACACAAAGTAACCAGATTGTAGACATTATTGTACACATTATAACCAGATTGTGTACATTGTTGTACACATTAGTCACCAGATTGTACATTGTAAATGATATTGTAATTGTAAATAAAGGAGGGCAGATTGTATACAATTACAATTGTACAAAATAAACTGCACCCAGCCAGGATTGAACCCTTGACCTCCTGACACATGCTTACATAAGCACATGTGACATGCACACATCTAACTGAGCCATTTGTCCTTGTTTGTGTTTTAAACTCAATTTTATATAAGGCTATTGCCTCTACTAAAAATGTTATAGTGTTTTGTAAGAACTACTACATTCTACTTATTACTGATGATATAACCATCTACAAATATGTAGTTCATTTTTATTATATCTTTATTACAACATTATCACATTTTTAGTAGAGGCAATAGCCTTATATAGAATTGAGTTTAAAAGACAGATAGAAACCCGGGGGAGAAAGAGGTGCGTTCGGCTTATGTCGTCTCAACGTTGCCGTAAATTCGAGGTGGACTACTCTTCTGAGCTTTCATTGAAGCTATTAAGAGTTCCTGGAACATGTGTATTGCTAGGAACGATGCCATAGGGCAAAGACTACCTTTTCTACTACGCTGCCAATATGATTTCGTCGTGACCAGTTCTGCGGATAATGTTGATCATCGGCTACCACTCTGTTCCTCTCCATTCAGGATGCCGGGTTCAAACAGGCACAATATCTGCTGGGTGAATATTCAATTATTGCTTAAAGTAAGAGAAGGGAATGACACAAATGTCCAGGTCAGGAAGTGTTCCCTCACACTCAGTGGGATGATCTTTGACGATCAAGACATGTCCAGTGCCAGAATGACATGCACATTCCAATGAGGAATTGTCATCATCCAACATGTCTGCAGATAATAGCAAGTAATTCTAGGGCACGAATGATAGTCATGAGTACTAACCTCAACCCTGAGGGCTTCTCTCAGGTGCCGGTGGCTCGTCCAAACTACGAAGCTCAGGCTTCAAGTGCCAACTTGAAGATGACCCTTGTGAAAAGCCTCTGTGCTGCCAGGCTCCTAAAACTATCCGTCGTTATAGTGTTCTCGCTTCTTTATCCCAACATTATGTTTAAAAAAATCATGTGACATATGTTTTGTGAGACTTACCCTTTATATCAAAAATTACCGGATTAGGATGAGCATTAAGAGGAGGTGAACACTATAAGACGGCTGGCCAAACTCGTCATCCGAGAATACGTCGAGTGCGTGCAATCAGTGTTTCCCGCAGAAAATTGCAAGTAAACCCTAGAAGGGGTGTTGTTTTGCACAATGTGGGCAACCCAAATTCGGTATTCACAGTCATGCGCTCACCGTCTCGCATCGTCACAGAGATATAGAAGCAAACAGAATGTAATGTGGTTGTAGTATTGGGTTTAAAGGGTATGCTCTGGGTATACTACACTAAACCAAGCTCCATGTAACCCCGTTCACGTGCTTACCACATTGTTTGTTCCTCCTTCCTATTCTGTCTGTACTGTTTATACAATGTTCGACTTTGTTGCCTCTTCTTTACTCTCCCCCTTATGGCAATGAAGGTATGTACTTGCTATCAGCCTTGCACTGTAGTATTGACTCTCCCCCTTACAGCAACGAAGGTATAGCTTGCACCTGTTCCGTTTCGGTCTGATCTGAGTGAAGCGCACCCACAACTGGGCCCACTTACACTTTTTTTTGAACACTGCACACTCATTCCTTTCACCAACTGCCACGCCCCATCGGCTAGCTTATTCACACCTCGCCAAGCTGTCTGCACCACACTGCTCTCCTTCCGTACCTGATCCCTTAGGTACGTGCTCGAGATCGCGCCTCTCGTGCCTCATTGTACTGCCTCCCATGGACATCGAGTACAACGACAATTGGCATACTGCCTCTGCCCTGTCGTCTCCCACACTCACTCCACTTTCTGAGCTCTCGGACCTTCTAGCCGATGCTCTCGAAGAAGATCCTTCGCTGAGCATTCTGTCCCCTCACAAGTCACTGCAGGACCCTTCTGGTTCACAGTCTCACACACAACAACTGCCGAACCCCTTCAGTTCCCAACCTGACACTGATCTCATAACACCCTCCCTTGCCCCTGCCATTTTGAGTCCAACATCATCGGCCCCATGCTCAATGATCGATCATCAGTGTACCGAGTCTAACTCCTCTGACTCATCTGCAGATCTCCTCGCATACACCCACCCCATCCAATCCAAGATGGACTCCACGAAGACGGGCCACCTGATAGCATCTGTCATGCAGCACTCTATCAAGCAAGCCCCCACCGTCTCCACAGGAAAACTCACTCCCTCTGTCTTACTCCAATGGGAGTCCGCTTGCATCCAATATTTTAAGAAGAAGTCTGTTCCTGACGATGAAAAGGTTTCGCACGTTACAGGTGGGTTCATGGATGAGCTTGTCCACGACTGGTACCTTAGTGACAGTGACACCATCGACGCCCTCAAATGGCCCAATTTCGTTTCGCTCCTGCGAAAGCGTTGGCTCGACAAGAACTGGGAGGACGCCGCCCTCCACCAGCTCATACATCTCCGCCAATGTGACGATGAGCCTTTCAAAGATTGGATCGTCTCCTTGGAGAAACAGAACACTCTCCTCTGTGACAGTCCTCTTCGCATGGACACTGCCACCCTTCGCGCGCACATCTCTGCCAATGCGTGCGAGGAGATCCATCTCGAATGCAACAAACCTGTATACTGTTCCCTCTCTGACTTCAAAGACTGGAAGGATGCCATCACTGCCTTCGACAATGATCGCCTCATGGACCATGCTCGCCGTCTTCACGAACTCGATCATTACTTATGCTCCAACTGTTCTTCCGCTCCCTCCTCCTCCTCATTGGCCAACTGTCCTGCATTTGCATCCAAGACTGCCCCGCCCGGCACTGACTCAAAGCTACGTGCTGTCCTCCCCAAGCTCACCGATTCTGACCACGCCCTCTACGACAAATACGAGGGCTGCTACAAATGCCGCTGCTTCTTCGTCAAGTGCAAGAAGAACAACTGTCTGAACGACTTCCCCGATGCAGCCACCTACCAGCCTCTTACTGCGGCTGCTGGATTTGCTGCTTAGAAGGCCCACAACTCAGGTCGTTCTCATGTCGCTGTGGTCACTGATGGTGACAACATTGACAAACATCTCGTTACCACTGTCAACATTACTCCTGACTCGCCGCTTGCCGCCGCTTCCTGCATCCTCGGCACCAGTGATAATTGGGTCTCAGATGAGTACGTGCTCACTGACCTCACCGTACCCCACCGTGTTTGGTGAGCGATCATACACTCACCTTCTTCTTCCGCCCCTTCTATGCCCATTCCTATGCTAATCGACTGCGGTTCGCCCTCAGTTCTGATTAGAGATGACCTTGTCAAACACTGTCAATGCGTGCTCCATGGTCGATAAATGCTTAGATTGCAACATACTTGAGGAACCTTCTCCTCCTTCCCCCCCCTTGCACAGCATTCCCCCGCTGCCCGACGTCATGATGAGGATGAAGCTGCACACCTTAATGCCCAGTTTCATCTCTCTCAACACCAGGATCTCATGCAAGACCTTCTTCTCAATCACACTCCTCTGCCTGAAACAGCTTCGCCACATATGCTGTCGCCCACTGTTATTGCAGCAGTGCACTCCAAGGTCGAAGACCTCGCTTACCTCGAAACTCTTTCTCGCGAGAATGTCGACATGAAGACGCACTTCGCAGATCTTTTTCCAGATGACATTCCACATATCGACGAACTCCCAACTGATGTGTACTATCACTTCCGTCTCAAGGACCCTAACCTTGTAATAGCTTGACGACAATATGAATGCCCTAAAAAGTATCGTGAATCCTGGAAGATTCTCTTACAACTGCACCTCGACACCGGACATATGTGTCCATCCTCCTCCCCATACTCCTCTCCTTGCTTCCTCATTCCAAAGGCTGACCCTACCGCTCTCTCTCACTGGGTCAACGACTACCGTATCCTCAATGCCAATACCATCCCTGACGTCCATCCCCTCCCTAGCATCCAAGAAATCCTGTCTGACTGCGGCCGCGGAAAGATTTGGGGTAAGCTTGACATGACTAACTCTTTTTTCCAGACCCGCGTCCATCCGGATGATGTCCTGTACACTGCAGTAGTGACCCCATTTGGTCTCTATAAGTGGACGGTCATGCCCCAAGGTTGTCGGAATGCACCAGCAACACACCAATGTCGTATGTTCACTGCCCTTCGCCCTTATATCGGCTTGATTTGTCATGTGTATCTCGATGATATTATTATCTGGTCGAACTCTTTGGACGAACACCACTGCAATGTTAAAACTATCCTGTCCGTGTTGTGCTCACATCATCTCTACTTCTCACGGAAGAAGACTGACCTTTTCTGCCTAGAACTATGCTTTCTCGGTCACCACATCTCTCATGCTGGTGTGGAAGCGGATGACTCTAAAGTCGACAAAATCCTATCTTGGCCTGTTCCTTCTTCTGCTTCTGATGTCCGCTCCTTTCTGGGTCTCATCAAATACATCTCTAACTTCTTGCCTGCCCTCTCACAATTCACATGTATCCTTAACACGCTCACCACAAAGGAAGCCGAACACAACTTCCATTGGTCTTCGACACACCAAGATGCGTTCACCGCGATCAAGTCACTCGTCGTCAGCCGTGAACGCCTTATGGTCATTGACCATCAGAACATGGGTGACAACAAGATTTTTGTTTGCTCTGATGCGAGTGATTGGTGCACCGGTGCCATCCCCTCATTTGGCCCCACCCTGGAATCTGCTTGTCCTGTCGCCTTTGACTCCATGCAATTGAAAGGCCCCGAACTCAACTACCCTGTCCACGAGAAGGAGCTCCTCACCATCGTGCATGCTCTCAAGAAGTGGCATGTGAATTTGATTGGTGTGCCTTTCAGTGTATACACTGACCATCACACTCTCAAGAATTTTACCTTCCAGAAGAACCTATCTTGGCACCAGGCACGATGGCAGGAGTTCCTCACTCAATACAATTTCAACATCGTTTACCTCCACAGTGAAGATAACACAGTAGCTGACTCTCACTCCCGGCTCCCACCTCCCCTTGCCCCGCTTGCCCCTGAACTCACCCCGATTCACCCTGCGACAATTGCATCCCTCCCCCTCTTTTGGTGTGCTGCTCGTGGTCTGAGTTCCATCCAGGTGCCCCCACTCATCCCTCCTTGTGACATCTTCACACATGTGGCAACAACGCATCTATGTGTGGCAACTGACCCCGACTGGCTCACACGGATCCGTACTGGATATCGCGAGGATAAGTGGTGCTCACACCTGCTCCGTGACCTCGCACACACTGTTACAAAGCTCCTCTCTGAGGAACGCGCAGACGACTTCCACCTCTACCTTTACCGATCATATGACAATGACATCACAGTGCCTAGACTGACCATGTGATAATGACATCACTGACCACATGACCATGATGTCACCATGGTCATCACCCTTATCTATCCGGCACGGATCTACCTGATCATCTGACGATGTGCGCCTTGTGCGCAAGGCTTGGATCCTCTTCCTATCACACATACGACAAAGGCATGTTTGCCTCACCTTTGCCTTACTCTTACGATACAGATACCGAACCTCATGAGCATGGCCCTAGACCCTGATACATGCGCTAGATGCACGACAACCTCGCTGCTGCCTTGTCTTTGCAGCACGACCTTATTCCCATATGGACAGATTGTCTCTCATGCAGAGTCATCACTGACTCAGCATTCTCATGACCGTGGGACAGGCGTACGAACCCTGTGCCCTTGTATTGATACCAATGGACCAATCGTAGTTCTAGTATTACAGGTAGATGGACGCCTGTACTTGTATATAAGACCAACAGGACAAGCTGGAGTCCCCATCTTGTCCTGGTTACACATCAACCAGTTTTACCATCTACATCTGTGCGACAGATCGACCTTGGTCTGCAGACAGCGGCCAAGCATTCATAAGACTGCTCCACTGGGCCGACCTCTGGTCATCGCTATGACTGGAGGTTGGACCCCTCACAATTGACTTGAGCCCTTGCGAAGGCCTAGTCACTGGACAATGAACCAGATGTACAGTGGCACGACTGGCCCCCGTGACACACACTGACTCCATAGACTCCGCTGCTGAACTTTTCAATGCTGGCAAACTTGATGGTCTACGATCTGCTGGTATCGCAGTTAACAACTGCCTTCTATACGTAGGTGATTGCCTCATCATTCCTCGTGTCACTGACATCCGCAAGGGCCTTTTCCGCCTCGCACATGACTCCCTCGGACATTTCAGTTTTGACAAATCTTACGCTCATCTCCGCACTGCCTACTACTGGCCCAACATGCGTAAGGAACTCAAACACCTTTATGTCCCCGCCTGCGGTGAGTGTCAGCGTAATAAGTCACTGATGCGGAAGCCTGTCAGTCCTCTCCACCCTCTCCCTGTTCCAGACCATCATTGTGACAGTGTCACCATTGACTTCATCGGGCCCCTCCCGGAGGATGACAGCTTTAACTGCATCGTCACCATGATGGACCGCCTAGGTAGCGATATCCGTCTTGCGCCAACTTGAACAGATATTTCCGCTGAGGATTTCGCCATTCTCTTCTTTGAGAAGTGGTACTGCGAGAACGGCCTCCCTCTCGATATCATCTCTGACTGCGACCATCTTTTCATCAGCCCCTTCTGAAAGGCTCTACACAAACTATCCGGTATCAAGCTTTGCATGTCCACATCCTACCACCCAGAAACCGACAGTTCCAGTGAATGTTCCAACAAGGCCGTCATCCAGATGTTACGGTACCACGTTGCTCGGAATCAATGTGATTAGGTACGTGCACTACCTCTTGTCCATTTTCAGCTCGTTAATTCTGAAAACACTTCGACTGGTTTCACACCTTTCCACCTTAATCATGGCTGCATGGATGGAATTATTCCCCCCATCACTGACACTGCCGTCGAGACCATCTCCACAGATTTTGGACTTGACGCTGCCCATGCTGCGGACCTCCTCAACCACATGGAGCTGGATACTCTCGAAGCACGTGACAACCTCATTCTTGCAAAGTCCAACCAGACGCTCGCCGCGAATTCCTCATGCTCTCCCGAGATCGTCTACATCAGGAAAACCCAACTTTCTCTTATGGACTTATTTAGACTTTCAGGTCCGAGAACCCTTATTTAAGGCCATAAGTGTTCAAGTAAGTCAAATTTCAGACACTCAGGGAATATGCCTTGGGCCCTTTTTGTCCTTATATCCTTAAATAAGGACCATAAGTCCATTTAAGTTATTTAAGTGTCCTTTTAAGGAAAAGTGGGGTTTTCCTGATGTACTCTGTTGGCGACCGCATCCTTCTTTCCACTTTCCATCATCGGTGCGATTACATGCAACGTGGCGACAACTGTGTTGCCAAATTTATGGTTCATTACGACGGACCTTACACCATTACTGACTCCTACCCCGAGTTCTCCGCTTACACTCTTGATTTACCACCACACATGTCTATCTTTCCAACCTTCCACTCCTCTCTCTTGCGTCCTTTCCTTACTAACGATGCCGCCCTTTTCCCATCTCGCCAGCTCGCTCAACCTGGTCCCATCATCATGCCCGACGGCCAGGAAGAGTGGCTTGTTGATCACATACTTGAACGCTGCTGCCACAGTCGCAGCTGGTGTTACCTCGTACGATGGACTGGTTATGGACCCGAATCTGATACTTGGCTACCCGGCTCTGACGTTGCGGACCTCCAAGCACTCGACACGTTCCTTCAAGAACAAGACCTAATGACATAAGTCGCCTCCAAGTCCACTGGCGCTCAATATGCTCTGCTCAAGGACCTTCCCTTCCCGCTTGTTTCTACGACCCTCACTTTCAACATTCTTCTTTCCTTTCCTTCCTCCTACCTTACTTCCACTTCCTTCCCCATGCCAATTTTTTCGGGTTGGTGAGAGTGTAACCCCGTTCACATGCTTACCACATTGTTTGTTCCTCCTTCCTATTCTGTCCGTACTGTTTATACGATGTTCAACTTCATTGCCTCTTCTTTACTCTCCTCCTTATGGCAATGAAGGTATGTACTTGCTATCAGCCTTGCACTGTAGTATTGACTCTCCCCCTTACAGCAATGAAGGTATAGCTTGCACCTGTTCCGTTCCGGCCTGATCTGAGTGAAGCGCACCCACAACCGGGCTTGCTTACACTCCACCAGAAATGTAAAGGGCTGTGGATAATTACCTGCTCCTCAGTTCCTGCAAGAATCAGAGCACTCAGTGATTTGTGATTTAAAGCAGTGCTGTTTCTGTTGCTCAATCATCCTGCAACTGTGCAACAACGGCGAGCGCATGATGAGCACTACGCAAACACCGAATTCGGGTTGCCCACATTGTGCAAAACAACACCCACCCTAGGGTTTACTCACAATTTCCTGCGGGAAACACTGATTGCGCGCGCTCAGCGTGTTCTCGGATGACGAGTTTGGCCAGCCATCTTATAGCATTCACCTCCTCTTAATGCTCGTCCTAATCCGGTAATTTTCGATATAAAGGGTAAGTCTCACAAAACATATGTCACATGATTTTTTAAACATAATGTTGGGATAAAGGAGCGAGAACGCTATAACGACGGATGGTTTTAGGAGCCTGCTGTGCTGCCCGAAAACGCAGGAAGTAGCCGGTGGGCAATATATTAGCCGCGAAGGGAGGGAGTGGGTGGGCCTGTAAAGAGTAATAGTTGTAGTCTTTTGTATGAGGACTGCCTCCACTGAGTGGCAGTATATCTCACTATCTAGATTCTTTAAAATTGTGGTGTGGGTGTGGCTAATTGCAGCTCCGTTCCATCTCTTGACGTCATCGTATGGGAAGAGCTGTTGCAATAGTGCAATTCCAACATAGTGCAATTGCAATATATTTCGTAGTCTTGTTTGAAGTCGACAGTAAGAAAATCGCGGAGCGCGCAGCGCAGAGCGATTTACTTGTTATTATGAGATATTCGGAGTCCCGACCTACCTACCATGTGTCACTTGTGTTACCGTGACAGGCTTGACGTCCACGTGATTTGGGTAAGCGTCGCGCGGTACGCGTCTTCGTCTCGACGCTGGTCGTTCCTTCGAACCGCTGAGTGCTATAAGGTTTGACCCTATATCTGCTAAAGTGGCGACAAACCACTGTTACTGGCGTATACAAACGCATCTACTTCGCTGAAAAGTTTGTCGGAAGTGAAACTTGGGCTGGACCTCACGAAGGCTGGAAATTGCAACATCCAGTGTTGCTTCGTTAAAGCTACAGACGCGCCAACTTTTCCAGGCCGGAGTAGGCGAGCTCAGTGGACTGTACGTACTCCAGATAGTCCATATTTTGACATCTAAGAACATACAGATTCGGTGTTGCACACCTCACCCTCTAGTCAATTCTGAGGAATATTGGAAGAGAATGGATGCTCAGCGGCGCTCTCCTTCGCCTCATTCGCCTGGGCCATTACCTATCCGTCGTCTCCAAGAGTCCGTCATCAATCGTATAGCTGCAGGAGAAGTACGCGAGCAGACTGATTACTCGCTTTCTGGCAAGTTGATCTATAGGCCGAGTGCAGATCATACACAGGCCCGCGTCCGCGCTCAAGGAGCTCATTGAGAACAGCCTCGACGCAGGCTCCACCTCGATAAGAATCACTGTCAAAGATGGAGGGATGAAACTCTTGCAGATCCAGGACAATGGCTGTGGTATTCGTGTCGGTGTCTCTTCGCCCCTTTTACGTGTTGTGACGCTCACTTTTCTGGGATCTGCAGAAAGATGACCTCCCGTTATTGGCGGAACGCTTCACGACCTCGAAGCTGTCGTCGTTCGCGGATCTGTCCCACCTGACGACGTACGGCTTCCGTGGGGAGGCACTGGCTTCCATCTCTTATGTCTCCCACCTTAGCGTTATCACAAAAACCAAAGCCGACCCTTGCGCGTGGAAGTGAGTAATATCGTCTCTGCGATTCTCGTGCACTTTACATCGTTTATATCAGAGCACATTATGCCGATGGATCTCTGACACCGGCAAGGGCGGGAACCACGTTAGATCCCAAACCGTGCGCCGGCAATGACGGCACAGCCATCACCGTATGTCTTCTCCGTACAATTTTCATCTAGTTACGCAATGATTCGAGCATGCCTCAGGTAGAAGACCTATTCCACAACACTCCGACCCGCCTGTCAGCGCTGCGCAGCTCCTCGGAAGAGTACGCCCGCATTCTCGACGTCGTTACCAAGTACGCCGTACATAATCCGCACGTCTCCTTCACATGTAAAAAGGTAGGTTTCCTCAACAGAGAGCTGCAGCAGTAGAGTATGTGTTACTAAAGTCCTCCAGGCAGGATCGCCTACGCCCGAGGTGTCAACTCCGTCGGGATCGACGACGAAGCAAGCCATTCGCCTGCTCTATGGCCAGACCATCGCGAAAGACCTGCTGGATGTTACTGTATCTTCATCATCCGCTGCTGACGCCGCAGAAGAAACCTCTGATGCCAACGACAAAGAAGAACCGAGTGGGGGCTCTTGGTCCGCCGAAGCGCACTTCACAAATGCCCACTACCAGGCGAAGAAGACGGTACTCCTGCTCTTTATCAACCGTAAGCGCAGATTCCCTGTATCACCCTTACTACCACCCGGAGCTGATTGCACACAGATCGCCTCGTCGAGTCCTCGCGGATCAAGAAGGCGGTAGAAGCGGTGTACAATGGCGTTCTTCCAAAGGGTTCGTCTCCTTTCGTGTACCTGAGGTACGCTCGTGCGTGACTGTTTTGGTGTGGTTCGTAGCTGACCACGAGGACAGCTTACAGATCGACCCACGGGCGGTTGACGTCAACGTCCACCCAACGAAGCGCGAGGTACACTTCCTGGACGAGGATGCCATCATTGACCGCATTTCGGATGCGCTCCAGGGCGCGCTCGTCGGACAGAGTCAATCGCGCGTGTTCGAGTACCAGGTAGATCATTTGACGTCTTCTACTGACTTCGCTGATGGTAGGTTGCTGCAGACGTTACTGACGGGAGGCGTGGCTGAGCTTCCCAGGGGTAACGGCAAGGGCAAGGGCAAAGCACGGGAGATGGACATCGACGAAGAGCAAAGGGAACAGCCAAAGAGCGCAGACGAGGACGAGTCGTACTCCGGTCCAACGCGTAAGCCATGCATATACTCCGCCGCATCGGCTGATTTTCATTCTGAAAACCAGCCACCCAATTGAAGAAAAAGACTCTGTCCCAACACAAAGTTCGCACCTCAATGCAAGACCGCACGCTCGACTCGATGTTTCCCGTCCTCAACCAATCGCAGCAAGCCAACAGCCCTGCGGCGCCTTCCCCAGTTGCACAGACACCTAAAACTCGCGAGATCAAGGAGTCGCAGTGCTTCCTCGGATCGGTCAAGAGGCTACGGCAGGATCTGTTCAAGGGACAGCACCGCGGTGCGTCGCCTCACGACCCACAGTCACTTATCCACCTCACGCTCTGTGTTTGTGGCAGGCCTCACCGAGATCATCGAGAAACACACGTTCGTCGGTATAGTCGACCTGGACCGCTGTTTGTCGCTTATTCAGCACTCCACGAAGCTCTACCTCGTCAATCACGGCGCTCTCGCGTACGTCCCTTCCTTGCCCACGCACGAATCCTGACAACAGTGCAATGTAGGGAAGAACTTTTCTACCAGCTCGGGCTCCGCCAATTTGGCAACTACAGTCGCATCAGGCTCGACCCCCCACCAGATCTGCGGACACTTGTAGCACTTGCGGTTGACGTGGAAGAGGGCGTGAAGCACAGTACCCTGAGCAAATCGGAGATCGTCGACGTATGTCTTACACTCATTCTTCGACTGGCTTGACTTCGTAATTTCTCGGCTCTGTAGTGCATTGTTAATATCTTGACTGAGAAGCGCGAGATGCTCGAGGAGTACTTCTCGTTATCGATCAGCGACGAAGGGACGGTTAAGACCTTACCGATCTTGTTGCGCGACTACACACCCAATCTTGACAAGCTGCCCCTGTTCTTGATGCGACTGGCTCCACAGGTGAGTCCTCACTTGTCTGTCATGATATTGATCCTCACGTCCGTGAGCAGGTGAACTGGACGTCCGAAATGGAGTGCTTTGAGACATTCCTCCGAGAGCTGGCGTTTTTCTACGTACCCGAGCCGCTCGTGCCTGAAGCCGACGTGGAGCAAGAGGAGGAGGAAAAGACACAAGAGAAGGCGGTCAAGTGGCAGATTCAGCACGTTCTCTTCCCTGCCATGGCGCGCTACCTTGCGCCGCCCAAATCGTTGTTAGATCGGGATGTCGTCCAGGTCGCGAATTTGCCGGACCTGTATCGCGTCTTTGAGCGATGTTAGCACAGGCTACCGATACTCTATGGGGCTCTCATCATCGCGATTCAGCGTGGGTAGTCTCATACATTTGCTGTCTGTGGTGGCAGACATCGATGAAAACCATAATCCTCCGAACGATCATAAAGGCAGACAACGACGTGTAAGTCAAGAATCACGATGCTCACTACATTCTGAAAGAACAGTTTATGACCAGGACAATGTCATTCGTGCGACCTCCTGGAACAAGCAATCAGATCTCGTCGGGGCTCATCTACAATGTGGTTTGCGTGCATCATTGCAAAGGCGCGTACGATAAAAATGCTTACAGAAAGATCAGCTGCGACAGCAGGGGCGGTAGATCGGATTTGAGCACCGTAATCAATAATTTTTACGATGCTACAGTACCCCTTTAAAGCTTCACACGTCATGTAAGGGTAGCAAATATGCTCATTAGTCTCGGACGGTGTAGTTTTCTTGAGCAAAAACATAGGCAGCCCGAGTTACTAGTATGTGCACCTTCTACTGGGTGATAGCCAAAGCTGACGATTCTGGTACGCAAAGAGAATCCATCTTTGGCGCGATAGAGTTATGATGACCAACTATGATCGTACGGGCAGTGAAATTCCCATCCTATTGCAAGGCATCGGGCGAGTAGAGGGAAGGTGTCTGAGGAGAGATCATACCCCATTCAAGAATGTTGAAGCGATGCGCAAACCTTGCGGAACCTGGGGCTCTCGGCGTCCTGCGTCCGAAACGGCGGGCTGCTACTGTTTGACGTTCTTGTCCTCAGTAAGGCGAAAGTTTACTATCCATCACAACGACGTTCTTTGGCTGCTCAGTCGTTTGTCAGTAGTGATTAACATGGAACCATAGAGAGAAAAAGAACGTACGTGCAAAGGAGTGGCAGCGACTTCCTTGAATTCAACATTGGACACAGCTCTCGTCCATTGGACACGATCCAGTTGAACTCTGAGGGTTATCTCGACCTAGTCGAGACCACGGTGACTCCTACGACATGATAACACACGATGCCAACGGTACACCCCCCCGATGATTCACAAAAGGCTATCCGTGTCATGGAAGACATCTAGTACTTGGCGGAATAATAATAGTATCTATGCCCAATGCTACAGATATCAGTACATATGGCGAAGAACAGTACTCGCACAATTGAAGGAAGGAATCGAAAGCAAAGCATGTCATCAATGCTGTGAGTGGTTGGAATTATAGCGCGACAGATTGAGGGAGTCGAACTCAAATAAATCAGATTCGATATCACTGTTGTCAGAATCCTCCGAATCGTCAAAAGGTGTGAGATTTCCCATGTCAAACACGTCCACGAATGGCGTCTGCGGGATGTCCGCCATTGTATCTGTAGACTTGGCCAGGATAGCTGCGACACGAGCCTCCAGTTGTCGGGTAGGACCGGGCAGCGAACGTTCCTCCAGAAAGAAACTGCTGAGTTCATGCAGATTCTGCACCATGTCTCCCAGATCGTCCTCCATAGGGAGATTCGAGAGTGCCACAATGTCATCGGGTTGGAAATCGATACGGGACGGTCTTGGATTGGCCTTGTTCAGACCAAACACAGCGGCCACATTGGCTCGGCAAACGTCTCGAAGGTGACTGGACTGTGGCACGCACCATCCTGATTCCTGCGGAATGCCGAAGACTTCAGCAACGGATTCGACCTCCTTTGCATCAGCTCGGAGATGTGTATACAAACTCATGCGGAGGATATGCTTCGCAGCAGGACCTCCTGAGATCTGCATTGGCTCGTCGAGAACATCCAGAGCCTGCGACGCCAGATCCGTCTCCAACAGTCGGAGTAACGGCATAAGGAGTTCAGAGCCTAGCAAGGGATTCCTGATTTCTCGCTGCTGGAACAAGACCTTGAGGATCTGCATGGTGTGAATTCGCAGCCACCGCTCCTTGTTCAGAATCATGCCCATGAGGAGAGTGACGACTTCAGGCCAGTGATCAAGGCCATAATGTTCGCGTAGACTGGCAACCGACTGTCGTAAGAAATCTTCTTTCGTTCGGAATCGATTTTTAGCGAAGGACGTCATGATCCGTTCAATGCTAGGTCGTTCTTCCAGATTCGCGAGTCGCCCAACATCCAAAGCAAACTCCAGCAAGGACTGGCTCTTGTCATCGTTATTCATGGCATGCAAGCACCATGGGAGAGACAACGTGTACAGATCCCTGACTCTACCCTCAGAGAGATCAATGAGTCGGGGGTCATCCACTTTGGCGAGATACTGCAGCAACTTGAACGTGAGCGCATAGGTAGACGACGAACGCAGGCCTGTCAGCAAGCGAGGCTGCAGAGACGCTGGTCCGTCCCAATTCAACGGTTTGTGTGCAAGAAGTAGTTCGGCCGTTTGCGCATCGTCCAGGTCCATCCTTCTAAGCACAGTATCAAGCAACTTGAGAACATGGCAAAACTCGTCTTCAACGGTCGTGGACAGGCAAGCTATTGCACACCAGAATATCTGAGGTAGCAGCGACATATTTAAGTCTCTAGCCGACGCCCCAGAGATCAAACTGAGGATCAGTTCCACGTTGAACATCTGGATACTGGAGTCTCCATCCGCCACGGTCGCTGACAATCGCCCTATTAGAGCACCCAAGTGGTCCTTGTTCATCCTTGGTGCCAGAGCTCGGTACAGTTGCAGAGACTTGAAAGCAATAGGCCGTATAGAGCAAGCAGTGCCCCAAGCGGATGCCTGCTTGCCCCACCCTTCTCGTAGGTCTGGGTACAAAGGCTCCAGGAGCTTCAAGACTTCACCTGAGAACCATCTCATTTTCAATTCCACCTGCGTGTTAGAATCACTCTCCTCCCACAACTTGGTTTCTGCTTCTTGGGAAAGCGTAAGGATCACACCTCTGAGCTCAGAACGAGAGCGATACTGTAAGCGATCCGGGATCTCGTCATAGCCAGACATGCAGGAGCGTAGAAGCTGAAAGAGCATGTGCCGAGAGCGTTCCCGAATGTACTCAGAACGATGGTCAAGGTGCATGAACAACGCATGGAGTAGCGCAGGCAGGTGAAGATGCAGCTCCCAATATCGCTCCATTGCGGCCTCTGAAAGGAAAAGAAGGGAAAACTGGGCAACGCCCAGCGACAGCCTCGGTTGCTCGGAGAAGAGAACGTCGAGATCGGACCACAGCTCGATGTCCTCTGCGTCTGGATGCGCAAGTTTATGCTCAAGGTTGGGCAACATTCGTGCGGGCTCGATCAGACTGCACAAGTCCTCAAAGATCTGTCTTCCTACAGTGCTCTGTGACAGACAAGCCACGACCTTCGCAGCACAGGTAATAAATGCCGTACTTCCAACCTTGTTGGACTGCTCGAGCAGAAATCGAATAGATGCATGGCCGTTGGTCTGATGTGGGGCGTCGACGAGCCTAGTCCAAAGCTGCAGAATCTGTTCCGCGTGACTCTCCGCATAGCGCACAGTAAGAGCCATTAAGTGGTAGATGGCGGAACGGCCTTCTCGTGTGAGACTTGATTTATCATCAGCCATGAGATCGATGTTGGGGACCCAGTACTCCAAGCTTTGAAGAAGGAGAAGAGGACTTCTACCGGAGCGGTCATCAAACATACGGGTTATCCAACTACTGAGCTGAAAGAGTACACCGAAGGCTTGGCCTGGATGTTCTCCGGCAAGCACGTCCGAAATGAGCTTGTGCGCATGCAAATAGACACTGGGAGCAGAGCTACCAACCGCAGTCTCGTATTGCACCATTGAGATCAAACCGGATGCCTGCTCATGAGTGACTTCGAGCATATTGAAAGCGTGACGTCGGATCTCTAGGTGTGGATGGCAAAGATTGGACAGTCCCAAGCAAACTACTTGCCTAAAACTGAAGCCATGAGTGGGTGCGTTGCAAATGACCTCTGCCACCACTTCAAAGAAACGCGCGTTACTTGTGTCTAGCTCCTTCGTGGTAACGTAAGCTCTTTTCAGAACTTCATCCAAGAAATCACAGTCGGCACGAGGGTCAGACAGAAGCGACCTGAGAGCATATCTTCTCTTATCATCAGTAGAATTTTTACAACATCAGGCTAGAACTCACTTGGCATAATCACGCAGATGCTCATGAAACGACGCGAGAATGGCAGTAATACGGTCCAAAACGGAGGATACTTCGAGAGCCTTGTTGTAATTCTGGGAATACTTCTCCACCGGTGAAGTCGACGAGATATCGGGGGGAAAGAGTGCCTTTTGCTAGTCATCGAATCAGCTACGATAGTCTGTCACGGAGATGATACTCACACATAGAACCGCAATGGCACCAACAGCAGCATTAGATAACGCTCTAGTCTCAGTCTGGAAGCGAGTGATGAGCTCCGCCTGATCGGCAGGATCATTGAACGCTTTCACTGCCTGCGTTTGCATGAAGACCAGTCGTTTCTTGACGCTTTCGGACTGCTTTCCTAGCTGGCACCACTCCTCGCATAGCCTATATAAGGTGAGGTGCATATTGGGAGGAATGAATCGATCCGAGTCTTTGAGTGTAGCTAAGCCCTCGAAGAGACGTTCCACTGTACCACAGAAGTAACGCCGAAGTCGCTGTATCGAATAGAAATCGCGCTGCTCAGAGAGAGAGACTTGCATGTTGCGAACATACTTCAAGACGTGCGCCAAGGCAGTCTGCTTGCCAGATGACCGCTGATCCTGCAGCGAGCGTGCCGTCAGATAGTAAATCCGCGCCACGGCGGTGTCAAAGCGTTCCTGCCGGCGAGTCCGTCCGATTACATAAGGAGTGGAAGTCTTTGCCCTAGAATCGTCATAGATTTGGCGAGCGGCGAGGATGCTGAGATCTTCTAGGAGGTGTGAATAACCAAAAGGAGGAAACGAGCTGATGGAGCACACAGCTACATCGCGGAAAATAGTATGATCAGAATCAAGAAATTGACTGAGGTATTTGAAGAGGCCGCGAGTTGTACTCATTTGGTCTCTGTCGAAGATAACTTCGGACCGAGCACGAGAATGATCTCGCATAGGATGGGTCATGGTAGGTCTGACGTCTGATGTCTGAGCTGTAGCGCTGATGATCTTGACCCACATATGCCACTGTTGAATGAGGTGCTTGTGCTCATTCACCACCTTGGCAAGATCCTTCTCGCCCGTGGAGCCGGAGCGTTGGGGTAGATTTGGGACACTCCTTCCGTTAACCCCAGAAAGCTGTAGCATGAGAGGATGGTAACGAGTTGCTGCTGAAATCAATTTGTCGCGGAGGAGGTGAAGTGCCCTAGGAGATTGCTCCGTGCAGACTTGCAAAAATGCAGGGAAAACCTGTCTCCACAACTGCCGATCGACGACATGATCACTGTCAGCTAACCTGATAACCGCATCCACGTAGGTTGATTGCTTCCACTGTTCCAACCGAATCACCTCGGGAGGCTCGAGAACGTCATCATGCCCGTCGAGGCATGGTCCGGAAGGAATTTTTCCGTGGAGAGCGTCAACGATTCGAAAAACGTTGGCGGACGCGTCAAAATCGTGTAGCTGTGGCTCTGATTGCAAATGGCTTGCTAAAATTCGTAGCAAGCGAATAGCCTTGACTCCGACGGTATAGACGTTGCGTCTAAAATGAGCAAGTAAAAATAAGGAGCCCGCCTCTATTTCGTCCATTCTGAGAGAGATATCCATCAATTCATCATGAGTTAGAGAGTCTACCGGTCTTCGGATGATGTCGTGCATCCATTGGTCCACGAAGCGGAGCCAGAGATTTAACAGGCGAGGACATTCGATGTGCAACCTCAAACCAGAGCCTTCACCAGCGATGAGAGCGGGATCGAAGAGGAACATGTAGAAGCGCGAAAGGATCGCAGAAGCGTGAGCAGGCTCCGCCATAAATCGTTGCAAGGCTTGGGCCGCCGCCTCTCCAACCCCAGGCTCGATGTGGACAACACCTCGTAGGAGCATGTCAAGGGCATCGTCTATCGGAAACGATGGGTGGAGACAACGTGGCCAAGACCGGTAAATCGTTTGCAGCACAGTGATGTGAGGAATGTATTGGGTAGGGTATGCCACCGAGCCTTCAGGATGATGCCGCATGACAAAACTTGTTGCATCGTCATATGCGAGGTTGACACGGGAGGCAGCCCATTGGTCATCAATAGCCGACCATTTCCCGACATACTGGTAGCACGATATCGCAACGGCCTTCAAAACAGTGCTGAAACGATCGATGAATTCCTTCCATCCAGGCTTTGATAACAGGGCCGCAGGGATAGACTCTGAACATGACGGATAATCATCATTAGAAGGCATCCTGGAAAAATCTGTACTTGTCGGCCATGAGGGGGCCGATTCTTCCCTCTCTGCAACATGAAGGGAGAGGAGAACAGACTGAATAGCGATGATTATCCGTTCAGGAGCCAAAGTGTTCGATGTGTTTGCCGAATGGGCTGTGATGCTCCTTTCCTGTATAAGTTCCATGCAGAAATCGCTTCCAAAATCGAGATGGCGAGATAGAACGAAATGCACTATATAGATGAATGGCTCCAGTTGATCTTCTTGCGGTGATATCGAGAGACGGTTCGCAGGGAAGAAATGTTTGAGGATGGACTCCATCTTGCTTGTCGCCGTAGATGCGGACTCGTGGCACCGATAGAGGTAAGTCCAGATGAGACGCATTAACCCATTCAGCACGGGGGTTCGGTATGGTTTTTCCTATAATGACACGTCAGTACTGAGCTGAGGTAACCACAAAACACTGCATACTTTGATTTTGCTGAGGCCAGCCTCGAAGCAAAGGTTCCAATGGCGAAGGAAGAAATCATTCGGTGCCACACACAGAGCTGTGATAGCTAGCGGATATGCAACATGCCAATAGCGAGGTTTGCTCATCATATCCTTGGCCTTCGGATATATAACTTCGATTCCCTTCGCCCAATCAGGATGATTAACTTCGGCTTGCGCAGTCTGTAAATGTACTCCGTGTTCTATTTTCCTCGACCAAGTATCAGATGAATGTTCCACCTACCTTGGCGATCGGATGCAAGAGATGAACAAGAGTTTCCCCAAAAGTAGTTTTGAGACGATTCCCATGAGCGTTCTCGAAAGACTTTGAAAGTTTCGCCAAGAACTCTGCACCTTCTTCGAAATATTCAGGTGGCCACACCTTGCAATGACAAAACGGAAGTCAAGCGCAAACGTCTCCAAAATTGCACACAGTATTGAACGAACCTTGATTTGGACATGTTTCAGGCCTTTCACTAGGTTCTCATACTTGAAATCCGCGTCCTTCGGCACTTGACCTGCAGCTACGGGACCAAGTTCAACAAGAAACCGATCTGTGACGCTCTCAAACCTACGTAGTCCCTTCAGAACCGCTGATGAATAAGTTTAGAGAAGCCTTACCGAACGGTTGCAAGATTGCCCAATAGTGCCGCATACAAGTCGGCGTTGCTGCGATGATTCACTGACTGCGTAAGCATCTTGACGTCTGGCCGCCTGAACTGCTCGAACGTCAGCTCTTCCAAACTGTGTCCCATGGCCTCGCCAAGACCATCCTTTGAGATCGACTGGGTAGCAGCGATGAGTGCTCGGCACATGATGTAGATTGATGCCAAAGATCTCCGCTCATTCAGTATGAACGATACGTCTTGGGAGCGCAATCCACGCGCATTCGAAGAAGGTTGTGACAAGTGGTGCCGGACGAGGTCTGTGCTGACGCTGTCGTTCTGAGTCTTTCTCCAACGCATGACCGAATCAATCACAGGCTTGGCATGTTTGTGCGCGATTTTCCCTAACGATGCCAACAAGTCATCCAGCTTATCATCTACGCCAGGCCCCATGAAGTCAGTCAACCGAGGTTCCCGCTCCTGTTGAACACGGTCTATACCTCGTGCAAACTGAACACTTTGACGAACAAAGACTCACCAATGGCTGCTGGAGAACTTCGTCTATATGCAGCTCTGCGGAAGCTGCAAAGCGAATGAAGATGGCATGAAGCGCATAGTCAGAGGGCGTCCGGGGGTCCATGACAATCCTGTCTTCCAAATCGGAGAGAGACCGCTCGTCTGGCTGTGCCGGGTTACCAAAGACATCTGGTACAGGCGGAACTGGTGGCGGAGAGGAAGAAGTAAGATGTGGATACCCATGCCCATGATCACTACCTCCGTCAGAACTGTGAAATATAGAACCAGAGTGTGAGTGTTGGGATCTGGCATACGCATGTTGACTTTTCGACTTGGGTGTACCTCGTGCCCTTCCATCACCAGAGGCGGGCGTAGATGGGCGGAAGTGCGGCGGGCTAGCGTGCATCGAAGGATGCCGCCGGTCATTTGTGATGGACGGCAACTGTGCAAGGGAAGACGTGGAACGATTGAATGGGTTTTTCAACGCCGGATATGCTTGGGGGTCTAGAGAAGGAACGGGTGGTGGGGTAGTATCATTTGATTTTGAGCTCTTGAACGCGTTTCTCAGGGACGCGAACGAGGTTTTTTTCGTGAAAGGCGAAGTGCTCGTCGTCGCGATTGAAGATTGAGCCGAATGCACAAATGGAGATTTCACCTTGCGGGCACTAGATGGTATTGAGTGTCCAGAGTCCTCCGAAGCCACCGAGTCACCGCGCGCGTGGAAATAACTCTTGTCTGTGCGCTCTGGAATAGCTAACGGGGTAAGGATTGTCGGGGACTCTTGACCAGAGCTCGGGATTCCCCACAAGCCACCAGCTTGCGAACGACCGAAGATGGGTGTTGGACTATACTCATCGTCGTCGAAATCTGCGGGCACGCATCTGCTGTAAGTTTGTGAGCCAAAAAACTTGCAGACTCACGCACCCGGTATTGTGATCTGCATTCCTTCAGAACCCATACTTCTAGCAGCGTTCCCTAAAAAGCTAATGAAAGCCTCCTGATACACTGAGTAGAAGAACCACTGAAGACTTTAGGTGAGGAGTCTCGTGCGCGAATACTGCAGGCACTGTGACGCGTGACCCTCAGTTTGGCCAGAGTTCAGATATCACTGTGACTGGTGACAAATGGTCATAGTGGGCGCTTATCCGCTTCAGAAGGCGCGGGAAAGCGGTGAACTGACCTGATTCGGTTGCACGAGTCCTAAGTTCGGCTGCCCGACCAAAGACGCGACCTGTTCTCCGATGTGTATGTGGACTCAGCCGTTGCTGCGACCTCGATCTCCAGACCTGCATTTGCATCGGAAGCTATGCGGGATCATAGATTCGGTATTCCTCCCCTTCCGCCAGATACTTCTGCGATGTAGCGATCATAGCACGCGCAATCCGATCACGATCCAATAGCGCATGTTCCAAACCTCGATATCGTTACCTGATCTGCTTCGACCTGCCTGTCTTTGTAGAAGTGTAGCTGTGTGTTTTGCTTGACTTTTTGTGCTGATGTTCTTGAATGGATAAATGCCTTCCCATCTTCCAGTTCATCCTACCAACACTGCGGAAGTCAGGTCCTCTGTGGACAGGGCCTTCGATCTTTGGCTCCTTTGATTCTAGCACTGCACGAATCTCAGCAGTCAAGGATGCAGTGAGAATGTGATCGTGATGTTGATTCAAGTTACAGCTCGCTGCGTGGGGCCCTAAGCGTCAATGTGATTGGTCCATGCTGCACTGTTCAGGACCACTATCTCTAACATTGTAGGAAGCCGGATATATTGGCGATGCTATCTGAAGACTCTAGATTTCGGCCCCGTCCCCGCCCTCTATCCGAAAAAATCGAAGCTCATGGTCGCGCGTAGCCTTAGCCATAACCGCCAGTCTCCGAGAAGGACAATAATGAAAGCAGTGTCTGTATGAATCTATGATCTATCATGCGTATTCGCATTCTTGCCGCATGATTGTTCCTTCACATGGTCTCCATGAGGGTGCGTAGATGTTCTCTTTCAACCGAGAAGTTCGTATTCAAGTTTGATGCCATTTTATTCTATAGTGCGCTCGACCTCTATTTGCCCCGTAGGCATGGTTAGCTCTATGTGTAGAAATCAGGTTTGTTACCTTCATTTATTAGTTCTTGGACCACATTATCTGACTCATTATAACAGGATCACCGCATATCAGTAAAAGTTGCCTGTTGCTGTTGCCTAGCACTGAACTTCACTGCCGACTCTCTCTTCCAACTTGTTTGTCATTCGAAACAGCCCATAACAACATGGTAAGTATCTCTATGCTATGTTGATAGAGAGATGTATGATTCTTAGTCATCATCTTAAGTTTCTTCAGTGTGGTCCCTATAACCGTAGCTGAACCGCCTCTGTAGCCATACCATGGCTGACTCGGGCATCCCACTTGTCTCTTCCGACCTCGCTGCACTCTGCATAGGAAGTTTCCTCTATAGGATCTTATTTGTACTCTTCTGTGCATTCACGTATCTTATGGTGGAGCGCCACCACCAGCTGAATAGCATGGGGTGTTTAGTGGCCAGGCCACTCTGCAAGAGCCCTCTGTTTCTGGCTGGAATTATTCTCTTTGCTGCTAATACAGCTGTGAGTGCATCAGGAAAAAATGCCTTGACTACTTGGCCCGACGTAGCCTAGGTAGCAGTGGTAGCCCGGTAGACAAGTCCCCGGTTATATTGTACCAGTAGCTGCTGCAGCACCTCTGTAGTGCCCTGTAGCCCAGTAGGCATCCTACGTAGCTGTAAGTAATCCATTGTAATCGGCGGTAAAGTGGTAGCCCCCGGCCAAATTTCATAGCTAGAAGCCGAATAGCCGTCAAATCACACCAATGGACACAGTGCAAGAAATATATTCAGAATATACTAGATATATTACACTAAACCGGAGTGCTGAAGCAGGGAAGCACGAGCAGATCAGAGTGGCGGGAAACAACAAACAGTGCCTGGCCGTTCGTGTGTCGGCTGCCCGCGCGAACGAGGAGGTCGGAGGAAGGGGCGAAGGGCGAGGGGAGTGCAAAGCGGCGGTGTGAGGGCGGGGCCGTCGACCTCGCGCAGCCACATGGTGTCTCCTCGTGGTCCGCGTGTCGGCTCCTCGCGCGAACGAGAAGGCCGGAGGACAGAGGGGCAAAGGGCGAGGGGAGTGCGAGGCCATGGTGAGAGGGCGGGGCCGTCGACCTCGCACAGCCACGCGGTGTTGCCTGGCTGTCCGCATGTCGGCTCCTCGCGCGAACAAGGAGGGCAGAGGAGGATGGGGGACTGAGGTGGCAGGAGAGTGTGCATCAGGAAAACCCAACTTTTACTTATGGGACTTATTCCGACTTTTTGTCCTTTTTTGCCTTATTTAAGGCCCATAAGTTCCCAAAAGTCGACTTTTAAGTCTCTAAGGAAATATGACTTATGGACTTTTTGTCCTTTTTTACCTTATTTAAGGCCCATAAGTGCATTTAAGTCACATAAGGACACCTTTAAGTAAAAGTTGGGTTTTCCTGATGTGGGAGTGTGGGGCCAGAGCGGCGTCGTCACACCGCGGTGGCCGGTGCAATGACGAGGAAAAAGTTAGCACTGTATTGTAGAGATATGAAAAATCTTTTTTAAACTGACCTGGGGGTGCCCTTCGACCTCCGAAAACAAACGTGCCGCTGAACGTTTGCATTCGACGGCGTGAGGGAGCGTGAACTGGAGGTTGGAGGTGTCGCCAAAAGTCTGCATCATGCATCGTAAGCAGTGCTGAGTGTTCATCATCAGACATCGTGATATGGAGCACTCACCGGCTTTCGTCCTCTCCTCTGGGTGCATGATGCTGGGTGTCCCGCGATCTTCATGGTGCGGGCAGGAGGTCATGAGGAGCGCACTGCATGATGCTGGCATGTACATATGCTGTCTGGAGGACAGACTAGGGCATGTATATCTCAAAGGACAGGCTTTAAACTTCAAGATTTGTGCATAGGTAGCTGCATGAGGCTAGAAAGGCAGAAATGGCATAGATAAATTGAGAGGATGAGTAGCAGCGAGATGTGACACCACAGCCAACTGAATTTGATGAGAGACACCGGTGAGAGGTCAAGAGACAAGAAGAAAGACAGTGATGCCAACAGAGGATGCGCAAGAGTTGGGACGACCCACAAATTTTACCAAGTTCACGGAGCACGTGATTGATGGTGCCATCATAGTTCGTAACAACTGGCCAATGCTTCCCGCCCTTCCCGACCTGCTCTGGCAGTGACTGAAGCATGAGGTGAAGCAGGCTGCTATCGGTTCTGTAACTATATAGCTAGCAGATAAACACAGAAAATATGCCAACACTACATTCCATAGTTCATCTACTGTCTATTCACAGTCCCAAGTCACTGAAGAGCCAGCTTAGCCAAGATATCCCTTTGCAGATGCCCACATTTAGGCTTGCATGCACCGGGAATTGGGCACGTTTGAGATCTCAATGCACGGTAGCATACGAACCAACTCAATTTTTAAGATGCTTTAAAGCTCCACTTGATAGGCGTAACCTCTCCATGGTGCTATGGAAATGTGAGTGGTGGCTACACAGCCCTACAGAGGTGTACATTGAGCAACGCGCGGCTACATGCCCTACACGTGTCTACGTAATCATGGCGGCAGCTACCTCACTTGGGGCTTTTTCCTGATGTGACCTCTAGTTTAGTCGGGATATGGATTCAATGAATGCATTGAGATAGATCTGGATATTGATTGTGTATCGTGCATTCATGGCTTTTGTCCATTTTGACCATAGAATGTCTCCGGCTTCATTCTATGCTGACTTTGCTGAGGCATCTAAGCTGGTCAAACTCACGTTCATCTATGTTTCTCTGCTCATCAGGGATGCAGTTATAGTATGTCTCGAAATATATAAAGTTAGCTTGATGCTGACTGATCACCAATTCAGATCTATCATGTATGGGTTGTGTGGAATCACAACAAATACATGATGATTTTCCCATCATGTACCTTCCTGGCCTGTATTGGTATGTTATCCTACAGGCCTACACTTCGATCTTCAGGTTTATGCCAAGTGCTCATGTTCAATGATTAGCAAGTTTTGTGCCAATTATACATTCTTTATCAGGCAGCAAACCTCTCCTCAACCTTGATCTGAGTCGTGGAGTCACCTGCTATTTTGTCTTTACCCTCTGGTGTGTATTCTCATCTCATCTCTTGCTGTGTCACTGGAAAAAGGAAGGCTGAAAAAGTGAACCTCGGCATTCCTAGCACAAATCTGTTTTCATGCAGTAAGTATGTTCATGACTTTTGCGATGTAACGCATGTACACTAGTAATACCTTACTCATCTCTAGTTGTAATGGTGTGGCGACTATGGTGTGTCAGCTCTGCTGTGCAATCTTTTGGACAGCATAAGACTTGGGTATGTGGGCTGTGCCAGTAATTGTCACTGTCGCCTGACCAATATCGTCAGTGGATCCTCGCAATATGCATAGAAGGCACAGTTCTCAACGTGTAAGGCCCCGTTCGGTAGCCCGGTGTCCGGTTCGGTTTTCCTGCCAAAACGCGACACCGGGTTTTGAGACGGGTTCCGAACAGGTTCCGCGGGATTTGGACACCAACCGACCCGGCAGATGTGCCCTGGCGACCGGTTGAGCAGCATCACGCTGTGACTGATTTCGAAAGAGATCCAGACTCATTTTTGGATTGCCTAGACTGGGCCACCTTGGATCAGCCAATCAATAGGTCACCCTTGTCCTGGAATAGGGTTGTACGCTCGAGACCCAGTGGCTTTGTGTCACGTGTACTTTTCCATCATTGTGACTTCGGAGTGACATGTAAATGATGACTACGTTAAAAGGCCGCTTCCGTCCTATTCCAATTGATCCGACCCAGCCCAAACCGGGCCCGGTTCGCCCACACCGAGCACCCGAACGGGGCCTAAGTCTTCATGCATACTCATGTCCCCCTGAGTGACATTCTGATGCACTGTAGGACTGTTATGGTCATCTTCTTTGTGGTATATGAGGCTAGCTTGAACCTGCAAGCAATGATGATAGACATTTTGGCCCTGCTCTCTGGCATCTCATTCATGCTCATCAATTGTGGGCATGGAGTATGCACTGCACTCACAGAGCACATACGACGGGATTAGGCATATGCACTCACTGCCCCAAAATCCAGCACTCAGCTTGTTAAGTTCCTACTATATAGTCCTCTGTAGGCCACATAGCCTTGTGCAGTTTCTAGATGTTTCAGACATGTAAGTTCAATGTGCCAAGTCAATCCAACTTGTTCAATGTGCTGCCATGTTTCTCAGAATCTTCACTAATCATGTTGCCCTCATTGATTGAATAGCCCATCACCCCTTAGACTGCCAGAGGTATCCTCTGATATGACAGCCAGAGACGAATAAAAACAACCTTGATAAATTCTCTTTGGAGAGGGCATGTGAATATCACCTTCCAACTTCTAAAATGTCATGACCATAGGCTTGTCCAAGTTTGCAATAGCCGGTGTACGTTTCGTAGTACCTTCAGCCACCCAGAGGTCGAACTTGAAGACCTTCCTCTTTCGTATAGCTGTACCTTTTCTATTTTTGGTGCACGCTAATTGGTGCTCATGACCTCACTGGAGAGGCCCGACGGTCATGCTGGAACTGTGGCAAGAGTTTCAATACTGCAAGCTTTCCTCTGGGTTATCATGACTGACTTCATACGATTCCTTGTTTCTGGAGACAAAGCCCGGTTCAAAGATGGAGAATTAGACGTCGACTTGGGTGAGTGAGGCCGCCGCTTGCAGCTCTCCCGACGCTGATTCGCAGTGATCTGGAGATCTGGTATACATAACCGACAGATTAATCGTGATGGGATACCCAGCAGCTGGCATCGAAGGACTCTACCGCAACAGACGGGAGGATGCGAGAAAATTCTTGGAACATCGACATGGGAAGGATTTCTGGGTATTCAACTTCTGCCCGGTCAAGGAAAACTCGTATCCTTCTAGCGTATTCAACGGCCGAGTTAGCAGATATCCGTTTCCAGACCACCAGTAAGTCTTCTTTCCACGGCGGGACCTATGTAGCACGCAATGTGTAAGAGCTTCGTAAGAGCTTCGCACGTATTACCCGCCTTATCGCATTATGAGTGTAACCGGATTCAATAATCATCTTTAGTGCACCACCTCTGGCAATGCTTGCTCTGGTAGCGCGCGAGATGCATGCATGGCTCGATAGCTCCCCGGAGCGTGTTGCTGTCCTGCATTGCAAAGGTACGTATCAACTTAATAAAATTAACGCGAGTATTGCATTGTTCCTTGCAGCCGGCCAAGGCAGATCGGGGACCATGGCCTGCTCGTATCTCCTCACTCTCACGAATACCGCACAACTTGAAGCGCCCAAAGACAGCAACTTTAGCAAGGCACTTGCGACGACACGGGCCGAGGAAGTGATGAACGCGATGCCCGCGGACGAGCATCTGAGCGAAGACTGTCCTGTAGAGAGCATTATGATCGGCGAGGATCCAATCAAGAAAGAGCTGGTGAAAAGTTCAGCAGAGAACGCTCAATGCGCGAATGAGCCCGCCGCCAACCTTACTCAGGTGCTCAAGCTACATACATCCCGGCGCATGAAGCCGGACTCGTCGAAGAAGCCCAAACAGGGAGTAAGCATCCCCAGCCAGCGCCGATGGCTGTATTACTGGTCCCTCCTCCTCGCACGCGAAGGTCCACCAGGATTCTGGTCCGCCCACGGGTCCCCACAAACGCGGTTGGTGCCAAAGGTTCGCCTCACCCAAATCAAGCTGCGCATGAGCGAGCTCTCGGGAACGAAGGCGAACCTCATACGCGTTGCGAACGCGATCCTCGACCGCACTACCGCCACCGCACGCGGCGTGGGGATATCTGGTGGGAGACCGCGCGTGTGGGCCTCCCTCGCTCGGTACGATGACGAGTTCGTAGGGCATATAGAAGACTGGGAGAAATATACGCGGGACGATAGTGGGAATATGGGCACGCGCAGGATCGACACCGACTGCCGAGCTGCCGAGACGTTCGCCGACGCATTGAAGGAGAGGAAGTGGGACAACGCAAAGATGATCAAGAGCTTCGCGCGCCTCGGCACCGTCGGAAACGGCGTTGTCCAAAATGGGGAGGCTCAGACGGTGAGCTTTGCCAGGTATGAGACGCCCTATAGAAGATTGATGACAGTTCATCTGCATCAAGGACGGGAAGACCGTGACGCAGCTGTTGGAGCCTCTGACAAATGACAGTTGGGGCGTGTTGCGTGATGAGATCGAGGAGAGTCCTGGGAGCGCGCATACCGAGGGGAGTAAATTGGAGTCTGAGGAAACCTCGCTGTATGATGTCCCCTCATCGCCCCGAAGTGGTGGCGGCATCGTGCTGGACGCCCAGCGAGAAGTACGCGTTAAGCTGTTTATGGGTCAGGTAAGCCAGATCGTCGAGCTTTCGCCGAATCTATCCTGAATAAAACGGCCTTAGGTATTCATGGCGTGGTTCTGGTTCATACCTGCTTTCCACATGCCTCAGCCGCAGTCTGGCGGACAGGATGCGCGGATGCTGTTGAGTAAGAAAGAAATTGACTTCCCTCTCGGCATTGGTTCAAGTATAGTTGACGTGGAAGTCGCTATGGAGTGGTATCCAGAGATTGCAGAAGCAGTCACTCCCTCACTACTTCAGGGCAACGTTCGTTCGGTACATGGGAGAAGCGAGCCGTCAGGTATCACGGGAACAAGTACTGCGAGCACTCGCGGCGGGAGACATTGAAGAGCTCGCAGCTGCAAATCAGGTGGCGGATACTAGGCTGTGGGAGGTTACTCTTAGGCACTGATAGATAGCATCTACTGACTGCACTGTCGGGGCCACGATGAAACGCTGCGGTAGCTATTGCAAGGATGTCACCATGTTGTATTTTTAAACAGACGTAGCCGCGCAATCACGGTGTGGTCGCGGAATTACAGCGATGCTTGCTCCGGGTGGGAGTTTGGGTGCAAGTTGCTGGCCCTGCATAGCACACGTCAGTCTGTGTGATGATCCACAATTCCCGTGTGACAACGCATAAACAGCCCGTCGTGACTGAATACTGAACTGGTGAGAAGTTATTAGTGTCACCAGCTGGAGCTTGTCAATATGGATTCTGACGAAGCCTGGCCCAACTTGAATTGAAACACAGCTGCACAGACACGAAAGTTGAAAATCCGTACCTAACAGCGCTTGAGGATGTAGGAAACCGATTTTGCATTACTCTGAGGAGAGGCGAACAAAAGCCTGAAAGCCTGTATATACAAGAAGACTTGACCCGATGCTGAGACGAACGAGACGTAAATTTATGATGCGAGAGAGCTCAGTGTAAAATCGAGATACCTCTCTTGTAGAAAGCTTGACTACTTGCGTCGTCAGTCGGAGGACAACGCGCGAAGAGAATTCTTCTAACTTAACGTACATAGATAGATCGTCTTTGTCCAGTAATATCGCAACCGTGCTCTGGTAGAGTCTTCCAGAGCGACCAGATAGATATTCACGAGGACAGCCCCGATATTGGTGGGCGCGTGGTACCGAAAATTCGGACCCCAGAGCTTGTCTGTGATTTGCCTGTACTGAGTGAGGATAAATACTATTCGATCCTTCAAGTTAGGACTTTCGCCAGCTCGAGACGGGCCACTACGTAGGAGCAAATATTAAAACCGTATCGGAGCCTGTACCGTTCTGGCAGTTCCATGACGGAGCCTGTCTTCACATAACGGTCGCGTTGGCGACCAAATTGCGTGCGGAATATTGCGCTCGACACCGGAGCTGGCGGCAGGCCCAGCGGGCCGAATCTAGCAGCCGAATCTAGTGTTTAAGTTCCCTCAGATCGGCTGAACGGAAACAAATCGACTTGGCATTTAACGCGCACAGCAGGCTAACCATGTGAGGACTAGTTGACTGTACTATATAGATAGTTCTAAACTCACTCACCGTTGCAGTTGTTGTCGCCCGAGCTGGCTGGGATTGACCGTGGCCGTTCGAATTCCACCTCACTGGCAATCGCATGGCCGAAGATGCAAATGGCAGTTTTGCAAGATTCTAGACTGTCAGCGTCATGATGGATTTGGATTCCGCTTGATCACAGCATCGGAAGCACTGAACGCGGAGTGTGGCTCGCGGATCTTTCCTACCAAATTCGTGGCAGCCGTGGGTCTGCTCTGATCGAGCGATACCACGCCGCCTGATGTATTGACTCTCAATATTATCTATGCTTCTCCCCCTCGTCCCGGGGTGCACTCGCCTCTTCCGTGGTCCCTCCTTCTTATCGTCCCCCTCGACGACCACGGTCCGCGTTCGACCTGCGCCGCTGTTCCCTGCGGTGAGGACGACGCATGCTGCCATACGCTCTCAAGATTGCATGGTTCACGCTGTCTCTGGCCGGTAAGTCTCCTCCGCATCCTCTAGCTACCGGTGGGAATAACTGTTGAATAATTCGCAGGATTGCTGGCTAGCCTTCTCAGCATTCCGGCGGTCAGGAAAGTGGTAGATTGCTGCTGGATACCCCTCACGTACACCGTGATGAACATCGTCCTGCAAGGTGTATTCTGTCTCGGTGAGTGGTACTTCTCGTATGCACCAAATCCTTCCGAGTGCCGACTATTTCGCCGAAAGGGTTGATCTGGAGAATGAACCCCTTGCTGATGCCTAGAGCGTTCTGCATAAGTGAGTCACACGTCTTCCCATTCCTCTCCTCCGCTTGAATGAAGCAATCATTCCAGCGCAAGCGACTCTTATGACCACTGCCTGGTTCATCCTGACAGCCATGTGCGCATGCGTCACACTCGCAACGTCTATAGTCATATACCGTTCATACAACGCAACTCGCATTGTGACCGTGGCGGAGATGTAAGAGTTCAAATCTGTCAATAAATCTGACGATCTAATCTGACGAAATTAATTAGTCAAGGGGTTATCAAATGGCGTCCCGTCTTTCTCTCAATAATGGTCGGATATCCAGCAGTAGCCCTGCTGGCATACATCGTCGTCGCTCTGAAGCTGAGCGCAATACAGCCGAAGGATGACATGCATTGTGATACCACCAGCCCAGTCTGGTGCGAATTCTCATTTGAATGCTGTGATAGCTGAAATTTATCCGCATATGCAGGGTCCGCGTCCTGAGCTATGCAGGAGTTCCGCTCTTGTTTGCCGTCCCTTCGTTTCTCTTTTCTTGCACGTCTGTATTTCTTCTCTCCTGGAACCGACTCGAGCATCACAGCCAGGTAACGATGCCCATACCCGACAATCTGACCTTATTGCCAACTCGCCGAGCCTCTGTCCTCAAGTACCGACAGTCCATGCAACCGACGCAGAGCAGCCTCGCACTGCAGGCTCTCCCAGAAGCTAAGCAGGATCTGCTTCCGAACGAAGAGGCAACTTCGCCAAGGACAACCCCCACACTGAGCACGATCCTCTACGCCATTCCCTCCCCCCCGGCATCCCAACGGGCATCCCGCGCCAACTATCTCTCCGGCGGGCGGGCGCCAATATCCCCGCTGCTTGCGGAGCACGCGAAGCGTTATCATCTACCCTTCTCCTGGCGGGCGACAAGCTCCTCGAGCTCATCGCCCGAGGGCGCGGGTAATCCACAGGGTCGCCCAGGGAAGTCTCCATCGCCGCTCACGTTTGCCATGCCCTCCGCCGCGTCCAGCACAAGCGCGTCGCCGGTCGCTCCGCCGGTCCTCTCCGTGCCCGCTGAGGAGGGGAAGGAGGCGCTGCAACAGAATGTGGCGCATGCATTGACCGAATACGCGGACATGGAGGAGGATGCAGACGCGGACGACGTGGTGAGCGGCTCGATACGATGGGCGACGGACTCGGCGTCGTCGTCGTCGTGGTCCAAGTCCGAGATCGAGTTCGCGCCAATGGGGGAGAGCATCGCGGACGAGACCCAGGCACCACTCAGCAGATGTGCCGTGCAGCGTGAGTGGGTTCACAGTGTCGGCGCGCCTGGCTCATGCCCTTGTCCCATGCCTACAGGCCGAGTATGTGATTACGCGCTGCCTGACCGCTCTCCTGCGCATCTCAGCCCGCTCGTGTGGCGGATTCTTGCATTTCAGCTGCTAGTGTCCGTCACGCAGATACTCGCTGTGATCTCTTCTCTCGTGGACGTCTTTGCGGGACACAGCCCGCCTGCGGCGTTCGGCACGCAGCACGTTGCGCTACTCCTCGTAGCGTGGATGCCATCTGTCGTGTTTGGTATTGCTTCCCCCAGATGTGTCATGGATACCGTGACCCAGGCTTGGTCCTCCACTATACCGAGGAATCGATGATCCTCCGCTTTCGTGCTCTTCACAGCGCTTTCGGACTGGCTTGGTAGTGACCTCCCGCTCATTCAGCAACCCCCTGTACCACTGAACTCACTGTCGTTCCCACTAGCTCCCCGCCTTTGCGTCGGCCCTTCTGCCGCGCGTGCGAGTCCTGGCCAGATATCCAAGCTTACATTCTTATTACCGTAGGACTAATGTTGGTTATACTCACATGCGCGTTATTTTCGCTCCCTACCGATTCCGCTCCTAGTTCTTGCATACCCCTGTATTCTTAGTGTACGTCTTATATCTTGCACTTGGAATTTTGGCACGCTGCGATGGTTTGCAAGTTGAGATGCATTAGACATATCGGGCCTGAAGAGAATATCACCCTAAAATACAGCTGAGAGATACTAGATACAAGCAATCAACAACCACGACGAGAGACAAAGTTCTAACGGGGAGTTATATTACTGCAGGTGCTTCGAGAGGAAGCTAGGACTCGCCTCTAAATCCTGTAATGTTGCTACGGCAAAGACAAATTTGCGGTCCCAATCTGTGACTGGTACATGTTACTGTCAAATAACTGAACAGGTGAGGAGGCTACGCCAACATACCTAGTGCGAAGATGTTGTGTTGCAGGAACTGCTCGAGATCCGCGAGTGGCGTTGACGGCGTAATGAGGGTGTACGACTTTGCCTGCGAGCGGTCGAATTTCGTCATGTACTGTGAGACCTTGTCGCTCTGGTATTCCCAAACGCGTCAACTGCCGTCAACGGATACTGTGGCTAATGCAGAACGCGTAGACGTACAGGATCCGCGTTCCCAGCCTCCCACTTCGCCTTGAGCGCTGCAACTTCGACATACCCCAACGGCTTCCGGTTGCGGCCTAGAACTCTTCAGCAGAAGCGCGAAAAGGTGAGGATCGACTCGTAGGGTCCGCAGCGGTGAACTCACGGTATATGGGAGAAGTCGCGCTCGTACGCCAGTTCTATCGCGCGAGAGATGGCTTCGGTGGATGGGAGTGCGAACGCCGGCGGCAGTTGCAGGTCCTGTTTCCCATAGAAATATGAGCGGGGTCAGTATGTAGAATCGCGGATCCGAGTCGGAGCTGGGTCTGACTGACCTCGACAACTGCTCCGCGGTACTTGTCCGGGGTGGGGAGTGGGAAATTCTGCTGGACTTCAGACATGACGAAGGCTGCAGACATTGCGATGCTAAGAAGAGATTGCGAGGAGCAAGGAGGGAAATGAAGCTTAAGGTTTCGTCGACGGTGGAATCAGGTCATGTTCTAACTTCTGAGAATGCGGTCTGCTACAGGAATTACGGCATTTTGGCTGATAAGCATGCGTGTAACAGAACTTATCATGCGTAATCGCGCATTTCCCGTTGTGGAAATGCAGACGCGACGCGTAATGCACGCAAGCTGTCCTCCCTCCTCCCACTAACTTCCCGCATTAATTATGGCAGACCTATCCAAATTCGCCATCTCAGTCAAAGCAGACGACCCGAAGAAGAAAGACAAAGAGCCAGAGAAAGTTGGCGAGGGGAAGAAGAAGGAAGATGACAAGCAGGGCGACCTGGTCAGTGCATCACCTTCGTTTCGCGACATTTGTCTGACATCTCGAAGTCGGAAGAGGATATTCAGCTCCAGAATGAGCTGGAAATGCTCTTTGAACGTTTGAAGGTGCGTGCAGGCTCGAAGGTCCACCATCAGCGTGTACTGAACCCGTAGCAGGAGTCCGACACCGAATTGTACCGGTCTGCGTTGGAGACACTCCGGACATTAATCAGGACGTCAACGTCATCAATGACATCTGTGCCGAAGCCGCTCAAATTCCTTCACCCTCACTACCCTGAGCTGCAGAAGCTGTACGAGACATGGCTGCCCTCGGAGAACAAGGTACGATTACACGCGTGGTTTTGAAGCATTTCCGACTTATGAGCTTGAAGAGTCTCTTTGCCGATATACTATCCGTACTCGCCATGACATATTCTGACACGCAACCTCGAGGGACTCTGCGCTACCGTCTACTCTCCGCGTCGCTCCGTCCACCTTCGTCACCACTCGCCGACCCCGGCTCGTGGGGACATGAGTATGTCCGTCATCTTGCAGCAGAACTCGGCGATGAGTACCGCTCACGCACACTTGAAGAAGAAGAAGAGAAGCCGGACGTTGACAAGGAGACGGCGAAGGTAGAAATTGTCGGCACCGTGAATGACCTTTATGCGTTGGCTATGGAATGCGCAACGTTCCTGCTTCACCACAATGCAGAGCCAGACGCTGTTGACTTGCTGGAAGAACTCGAGATCGCGTACCGGATATCAGAGATCGTGGACGACAATACGTACGAACGGGTATGCCAGTACATGATTGCGTGCGCAACTATTACTCTGCTAGACAGCGTATGCCTATCCCTGACTCCGCCATTAGATGTGTGAACCTCCTGCCAGCCTCGGAAGTCGTTTCATTCCTGCGCACGGCACACCAGATCTACGTTCAACACCACAAATTCCCCCAAGCACTCACGCTGTCAATTCGTCTCGGCGATCCAGACCTGATCCGGAGCGACTTCGACGCGCCTGCGAACCCGCTCATGAAACGCCAACTGGCCTTCCTCCTCGCGCGTGCGCAGGTGCCAAAAGAATGGCTCGACCCGCCATCTACCCCCGACGCGGACGAGGAAGTGCCCGAGCTTCCCGAGGATCTCCTCGAATGCCTGAGCAACACCCGGTTGAGCGCGCACTTCCGCGATTTTGGCAAGGAGCTGGGCGTGCTGGAAGCCAAGAGCCTCGAAGACGTGTACAAGTCCCACTTGGAGAACACAAGTGAGTAAATAAATATGAATGTTCGCAAGGATCGTTTACACACATATTATATAGGGTCGACTACAGCGAATGTTGATTCTGCCAGGGCGAATTTGGCAGGAACGTTCGTGAACGCCTTTGTCAACGCCGGGTTTGGCAATGACAAGCTCATGGTCGAGGCCGAGGAAGGGAACAGTTGGATCTACAAGAACAAGGATCATGGTATGTATTGTTACCGTCCAGGATTGTATTGAGGTCTGATCGTAGATGGGTAGGCATGATGAGCGCTGCCGCGAGTCTCGGTCTCAGTCTGCTATGGGACACGGATGTCGGCTTGAGTCATGTGGACAAGTACACCTACTCTGCGGAAGAGCACATCAAGGTAAGCTACGTCGCCTAATTTGTGCGGTGTCTTAAGCTGATACCATAAATAGGCAGGGGCTCTCCTTGCGACAGGTATACTGAACACTGGTGTTCGAACTGAGGCAGACGCGGCACTGGCTCTCCTCGGCGAGTACGTTGAGAACAAGTCGGTACCACTGAAGACGAGTGCCATCGTCGGCCTTGGCCTTGCCTATGCCGGATCATACCGTGAAGACCTGCTGGCCGTGCTCACACCACACGTCGCGGACGATAGCGTGTCGATGGAGGTCGCGTCGTTGTCTGCCCTTGCCTTGGGTTTCATCTTTGCCGGGAGCGCGAACGGCGAGATCGCCAGCGTGATCCTGCAGACGCTGATGGAGCGCGACGAGAAGCAGCTTGAAGAAAAGTGGGCGCGGTTCATGGCGCTCGGTCTTGCTCTGCTCTACCTCGGTACGTCTCGTAGTTGCGCGTTTCGCGTTGAGTTCGCAGGCCAACGGTTTGTCGTCGCTGGTGAACAGGCACGCAAGAGCAGTCGGACGCGACTATCCAGACTTTGCGCGCTATTGACCATCAAGTCTCCAAGCAGGCGGAGATCCTTGTCGACATGTGTTCCTACGCTGGCACCGGTGAGGTACTGAAGGTTCAGGCATTGCTCCATCATTGTGATGAGCATATCGACAAGACACCGAAGGAGAAGGAGAAGGAGAAAGAGAAGCAGCCGGAAGGTACACCGGAAGAGCCCGTCAAGGACGACACGTTCCAGGCGTTCGCAGTCTTGGGCATTGCTTTGGTCGCGATGGGTGAAGAGATCGGCTCGGAGATGTCACTACGACAGTTCAACCATCTCGTACGTGCGCCAACTCTTATTGTACATTGTCGTTTCTTACTTTCTCTCTCAGATGCATTACGGAGAACCAGTCATCCGGAAAACCGTACCACTTGCGCTGGGCCTCGTGAGCGCATCAAATCCACAACTCCCCATCCTCGATACGCTCTCCAAGTACAGCCACGATAACGACCTGCAAGTTGCGCTCAACGCCATCTTCGCAATGGGCCTTGTCGGTGCAGGCACGAACAACGCGCGACTCGCGCAGATGCTGCGGCAGCTAGCAGGCTACTATCACAAAGAACCCGATTGTCTTTTCATGGTCCGCATAGCGCAGGGCCTTGTTCATATGGGCAAGGGCACAATCACGATCAACCCCTTCTTCTCGGATCGCAACATCATGAGCAAAACGGCTGTGGCTGGTCTTCTGGCGACACTGACCGCATTCACCGATGCGAAAGCATGTAAGCTTGCGTGGTTCTGTAGTCTCTCCCGGCCCATGCTGATGCTGTTGTTCTGACAGTCGTACTCGATAAGTATCACTGGATGCTGTACTTCCTCGTCACTGCGATGTATCCGAGGTTCTTGATCACGCTCGACGAGGAGCTGAACAGCCTCCCTGTGACTGTCCGTGTCGGTCAGGTGCGATGATACTCCTTCGTGTCACTTACTACTTGCTGATTCCGTTCTGTAGGCTGTTGACGTAGTGGGACAGGCCGGGAAGCCAAGAACGATCTCCGGCTTCCAGACGCATCAGACGCCCGTGCGGTTGGGCACGACAGAACGGGCAGAGTTGGCGACGGAGGAGTACATACCATTCGCGCACATCCTGGAAGGCTTCGTCGTCCTCCAGAAAAACCCGGGGTGGGAGAAAGAGGACAAGATGGAGTTGTAGTTTTGCAGATGTTCTGCACGAATCTAGTTGTTCTGCTGCACCTTCCGCGTCGTGGCCCGTCCTCTTTAGTCTCACGAAATTGTGTCAAAAGCTTCTGTCGGTAGACGGTTTACTGCGCAACACGACAGCCAGCCCATCCAGATTCCGCAGATGTGTTTGGAGACAAGCCATAACAGCTGCTAGTTTCGATACCTGGGAGGGTTTGCGCGTGGCTACGCCTACGAAGCACCAGAGTCCGAGCTTCAAATCCAAGTCCGTGCACCAAGTGCCGAGTTCGAGCCTCCATATTAGTTACTACCAGGAATCTTCACTGAGGGCATGCATATTCGTACAGTTCCCGGGGGCCGGGACGTAGGGGAAATAGGAGTAGGGAGTTTGAATTTTGCACGTGATATGTGGCTGAGCTGTGGCTGATAGCGCCGTCACGCTCTGGCCGCTGGGATAAAGCCCCCTACCTCCCCGGGAAGGATGGGCAGGAGCCTGACTGGTGTTGTGGCTACCTCTTGAAGCCTTACCACCGTTACATCTATCTCACACGCAGGTATTTTGCCGCGATGCACATATTTCCATCACATTTCATGCCGTTCATGCACGATTAGGCCGATATAGAGATGCAAGGTTGACAGGCGGTTCCGGTGAGCGGCCACTGCGAGCGGCCGACGTTACACGAGACAATTACGGCCCCTCCTGCCACCACTAGTACTTCCATTGCCTGTGCTTGCATCCCCTATCTGAGAGTCTGCGGCCTTCAGTTTTGTTTGTTCGCAGGAGATATCTTAGCGTGTAAGTACAAGGTTTTCACCTCCAAATCTCCTCAGACGCTATGCTGATTCTACCTTGGCTACCGACCTCACCAACCTGCACAATTCTACCAAGTTCTTGACAAGAATTACCCTACCCTTTGAGTGATTTGGATGGCATATTATCAATGGTATTGAGCGGCAGCCAGAGAATCTGAAGCTACTGGTACAAGCTCGCGTTACGTGTTGTGACGACGAATACCGTATTCACCGTAACGTAACGCAAGCGCGTCCAAATCGACCTTCCTAACCTCTTCCCATCATTTTACTCGCAAGCTTCAGACACTTGCCACGGATGCATCCCTCTCAAGGCCGGTCAAGGAGACAGCATGACAGTTTGGATGAAGGCGGGGCAGCTTCACCACTGTTGGTCCCACGAGGGGAAGAGTCTCGTTCTGAAGTGTTCTCTCACCCTCATATTTATTCTCATCAGTCTGAGGGCTACCGAACGCCACCCTCGTCAAGAACGGGCTACAACATGAATCGAGAAGCTTCTTCATCTCGCAGTCGTCGTGATGCTGAGGACTGGCGAACTGCGGACCCGTTGCACGACCGCTACGGTTATTCCAGCTCCACCAAAGACAATTATGGCAGTTCTAGTAGGGATGACCATGACACCTCAGACCAACGAGAGGCAGATTCTCGGGCTACTCGTGGTAGCTCTGACGTCCATGCTCCAGGTCGATCGTGGGATGGATACAGTCAAGACTATCCCCCACCATCCCATCCGGAGTCATCGTCATGGGCACCTTCCCGTTATGACAGATCCAACGGCTATGATCAATGGCCAGAAGGTAAATCTATGTCCGGGCACCACCGGGAGAGGGGTAGAAGTCGATATTCCGACGACAGGCAAAGTGAGGGATGGGTGAGGGATGACCGTAGGGAAGGTGGTGGCTGGCGACGTGATTCAGGTTGGGAACAACAACAAGCTGAGGACCAGCCTCGTCCATGGGAGGAATCCTCCAGGCCATTGTCAGGACCACTCTCAGAGAATTCCAGGCGCGAGGATCGCTCTTGGGAGCCAGCCGCCTCATGGCAATCAAATCCTCGCACTGGCACCCAAGGACAACGCAGCTACAACTATAACCGCAATCAGCATTCAAACAAAGGTTATTCCAAGGGTGGAAAAAAGCAGAATCACAAGCAGAAGCGTGACTGGCGTACGGATGATGGGCAATTGAACAAGTGCGTTCCTTGATATCCCAGTATGTCATCTTCTTGATGTCCATGGACAGTTGGACTCGAAGAGAGTCGCAAAACACCTCCCACAAAAATGGGAGGCCTGCAGCAAAACGACAACAGCGCCGCTCACCTTCACCCTCGTTGGCTCGATCCCGGTCCCCTGCTGATTCGTACCGTTCCCGACGGTCTTCCCGCGGTCGCTCGCACTCCTCAGATTCGCCTAGACGTCAACGGAGGGATCCGAGTCGCGTGGGCCGTGCTGGTGGTCGCAGTCGTAGTCCCACTGACAGGAGTCGCGGCGGCGACTGGAATAAACGGCCAAGGAGGTATTCCAGATCACCAACATCGTCACCCCCAAGTCCTCGCAGTACGGACAGTCGAGGGCGGAGACGTCCACGAAGCCTCTCTTCGGTTACTAGCACGAGCAGAAGTAGGAGCCGGAGCCCCAGTCGAAGCCCAAAGGAGCGGCCACGCACGGTGCATCGATTGCCTGTTGCCACGTCAATAAGCGATATTGCCCTATCACTTTCTAGGACCCCTCTACCTCGATCGACGGACGTATTACCCATTGCCAGGCAGAATGGGAAAGCTGATACTAACGGGAAGCGTGCTGAGGTGAGTGGCCTGTACTGCAGCATGACGATAGCATTCGCTCACTCTATTTACAGCGTATGCTCCCCTCATCACGAAGTGGGAGAAAACGTGCCGAACCAAACGACGATGTGTCTATGCCACCACCGTCAGATCTACCCAATCTTTCGCGGACGCCTTTACCCGCATCCCCTACGAGTTCTCCCACAGACGCGCGCCGCAGATCCTCTAGTACAGCTACGCAGCGTATCATCTCATCCAAGAGTGCGGGGTTCAGGCCTATTGGCCAGGCTAGTTCTGCCGTTAAGAGGTTCTTTCCAGGAGATGATGATGAGGAGCCTGAGACGAGCGCCGATCGTCAGCCATCCCGCATTTCTCCTCCTTCTACAACTCAGTCTCGACTTTCGACGTCTGTCTCCACTTCACAGTCAGCCACTGATGTTAAGCGGACACGCGTGGAGAAAGAAATTATACCTGCTCATCGCCAGCGGGGCGCGGAAATGTTCATTTCTGACGAACATAGGTCTTCTCTCCTTCCGAAGAACGAAGTTCGACCCTCGGGAATCTCTGGTCGCCGACAGGAGACGTCTTGCCATTCATCCCTTCTTGAAGACACGGGGATGTTTGTCGACAGCCAGCATGGGGAGGTTCGCTTTCAGGTGCAGGACGCCGGACCAGAGACCGATATGACGAGACCTATGACCCCTGTCAAAGACCCAAGGGATGAGCTATATGCCATCATCAGCCAGGTTGGTGAGGGTACATTTGGCAAGGTCTACAAGGCACGGAACACCAGTAATGGGAGGTTCGTTGCACTTAAGCGGATTCGCATGGAAGCAGAACGAGACGGCTTCCCCGTCACCGCTATGCGAGAAATCAAACTTCTTCAGTCTCTACGTCATGCCAACGTTGTCAGGTTGTACGAAATGCTGGTTTCTAACGGTGAGTACGAAACTCGTATTTTGCACATCATTTATTCTGATAATTTCCAGGTTCTGTCTATATGGTCTTTGAGTACATGGATCACGACTTAACCGGAGTGCTCTCTCAGACTCAATTTACTTTCTCTCCGGCCCATCTCAAATCGTTTTGCCGTCAAATGCTTGCAGGTCTAGCTTATCTTCATCACAAGGGAGTTATACACCGGGACATCAAGGGTTCCAACATCTTGATCAATAATCGGGGAGAGCTAAAGCTTGCAGACTTTGGCCTGGCGCGGTTCTATCAAAAACGTAGGAAGAGCGACTACACCAACCGTGTCATCACTCTTTGGTATCGACCTCCAGAACTGTTGTTCGGAAGCACAGTGTATGGTCCTGAAGTCGATATGTGGAGTGCTGGGTATGATACTTTTTGTTTCGTGACATTATTGTGCTCATATTGCCCAAGATGCATCATGCTCGAGCTGTTCACAAAGAAGCCCGTCTTTCAAGGTAATGACGAGATTCATCAGCTCGATGTCATCTACAAGATACTAGGAACTCCTACCGTTGAACGATGGCGGAATGTCACGAGTTTACCTTGGTACGAACTTGTTAAACCCAAGGAAATGATACCAAATCATTTTAGAAGCCTATTTGACAAGTGAGTATCCAAAACGTACATGGTATGGATGTTGCTCACCGATACTGGACAGATGGCTATCTAGCGCTGGCCTTGACTTGGCGGAGCGGCTATTGACATACGATCCCGCACAACGCATCACAGCATTGCAGGCCCTCGATGCCCCTTACTTCTGTCAAGAACTGCCTGAGCCCACGCCACCCGTCGGGTTTGTCCATAGACATGTGTTGCTAATGCATTGAACTAACGTTAACTCGTCACAGACTTTCTACACTGGAGGGAGAGTGGCACGAATTGGAGACTAAACGCGAACGTGCCAAGAAGCGCAGGAAGATTGAGGGGTAACGATTATGCTCACGCCGTCCGCACGCAATGTAGGGCTCGTACAGACCCATGGACTGTCATATCAAGTACTACTAGCCATCGTCACTCAGTCAGATCACGCTTGAGTCAACGTCACCAATCCTTTCTCCGTCAAGTGTTGTACAATCGATTCGACCTAAAAAGAGCGTGACCTGAGCGTAGTTCCGCATAAGATAAATCCATATAACATACGTTCGCCGCGGTCATGCGGATCTGCATGTCCCAACGTTTCGTGAATGGTGCTCCTGTGTCCTCTGCGACTTGCTCCACGTCTCCTAGTCCTCCTACCTTACCCTGCGCGTCATCCTCTTCCCCGGTGACTTCAAACCAGATAAGCTTTTCAACCTGGTCTATCGATCCTTTCAGGCGACCCTGCTCAATCATCTTCCTAGCCATCGTCTCTGCTGCACCAGGTGTGAGGTCGAGAAGAGCTCCGAGACCGCGAAAGGTGATATTATTGTAGATCTTCGAACTCGCTAGGAGGTTATGCTCCATAACGGCTCGGTCAAGAACTGTGGATGGGCCCGTGCGCTTGCTGGCGTTCGGGTCATCCACATCGTCGTCATCAGCAACCGCAGATGCCAGACGGTCGTTGGATGATAGTGAGATTTTTGCAAGTTGATGCGGTTTCAGTGTTCCCTCGAACTCCTGGATCTCGGCAGAACGTAGAATACGATCGTGGAACATCTTGAGCAGGATGTTGTAATTGGGGAGGTCTGTGGTCCGTTCGTCGCGACAAAGAGAAGCTAACACGCGAGATCGGTTGGGTCCAGCGGGTGCAAGGACAGCGCACGTAACCGCAGCGGATCTGCTGGATATCAGCGAGAGAAAACAAACAAGAATGAATCATCTTACAGCATATGCCGGCGCTCATCCTCGTCTATCTCAGCAAAGTAGCTCAGTTCATGATATCTGCTCGCAGCTTCCAAGAATTTTCGTGTGTAATCACTGATGCGAGCTTGACAAAGCTTAAACTGGAGGAGAGTCACCCTGTCTGTGGTCGAGTGAACGAGTAATGCAGCACGGTTGTAGTATGTTTCGGCTTGGACGGAATCCTCATCTTCGAGTAGAAGACGGACTATTCGTACGTATAAACGCAGTTTCGCATCATCGGGCATGGCTCTGACAAAGTAGGGATTCAGTTGGATCTTACGGGAAGACGTTCACTGCTCACCGCTGGCCCGAATCCGTAGAGATACCCATCAGAACGCGTGCAGCCTCGCTCCATTCTTCCTCCTGTTCTATAAGATCTGCCAGTTGGAATCGCAAAGAATTGACCTGGCGAAGTCTCTATGTCATGCCATGATCGAGACCCTGGCTACTCACCTGCTCTTCATAGCTCACGAGGCGCGGTTGGACAGTAGCAAGCGTATCCTCCACGACACGCTTTCTCAACTCATTGTTCTTCACAGCTCCTTCTGCCAGTGCCTTGACAAGTTCAGATAGGACTTGTCGACCAATTATCAGCCCAACATTGTCTTGCACCACGGTTTCCACGATCGTATGAATGTCTTTGGCAAGCTCCGCTTGATCCGGGCGAGATAGGACTTCAGCAAGTATGGATTGGTATGCTGAAGTCTTGTCCTTCTGGTTGAGCACAGTAATTTGGGCAAGTCTGCTTTCCATTGCCGTACGAAGCAGGTCGATGCCTGTGGCGTTGAGTAAGAGGGCGGCGGACGCGCGTCCAGTGGTCGAGATAAGATTAGATCGCGACGCGCGGTCCGAAGACTCAGCGGCGCCACTACTCAGAATTTTCGACATGTCCATTCTCCAAGTAACACGATTAAAATCCACTGCAGTCAACATGACTGCTGTACGATATAAGACAGAGAACGCGCATGGCCGGAGCAAGGAAAGCAGCCCTTCGAAACGGTCGACGAATAGCTCTCCGTATTTGGCAGTTATACCGTCGTCCACTCTCAGGCTCGTGGCACGGCCTGCTATGTCACGGTAAATGTCGCTGTGCACTACATTACTCAGCCACCCTTCTGTTGTCTGAGAGAACGAGTTTCGTGGACTGCAGCTGTTCCCGAACAGGTTGAGACCTTCCCAGGTTGTCTTGGGGATTTCGACTTACATACGTCTGTGCGTGACTGATATTGTGATCCATCAGTGTCCATCCACGGGCCATATATCTCAACAGTTGGCCAATCCTGCAGCGATTCTACTCCCTCACCTGTCCACGAAGGTCTTCCCATAAAGTTGCCAGTATCGTCGGTGTTCCTCCTACAGTTCTCTAATCTGCTACTGCTGCTAGTCAGCAAATATCATTCCATTCGTTCCGTCCTCGGCCGAGGTACTACCATGTCTCATTTACTCTACAACACCGGTCATAGACCATACACCTTCGAGCTTCCCGGTGCTATCCAACCCCTCACTCCGCCAGAAACTGACAATGACTACACCGGGCAAGCGCAGACACCGCTTCCTCGGAGTGCAACGGATTATGAAACGCACACTCCCCAGCCGTTTCCTACCTCAGCAGAGACCTCTACTCCCCTTGGCCGTAGAGGACCATCTGTTACCTACGTCCACTCTGGCCCTCGAGAGTCTCGCGAGCGAGTGGTTCAGAGGGGTCCCAAATGGCTTGTCGTTGTGATACCTCCCCCATCCTTTACGAGAGAGCATGGTCAACTTGGACATACCCTATCAAATGGTTCTCCCGACCGATTATCTCACGGACTTCTGATGCCGTTGTTCTACACAGTGAGTGCGGGATTGATAGTGATTGAGGCCGTACTGAGCATGGGGTACAGATGGGAGGGCAGTTGAGTGCCATAGCCCGTGAGTACGGCTTGCCGAGCTCTGTCGGTTTATGTCTATACTTGCGCACCAACCAAAGCGGACTCTCTCTGGCCCCGCGGATTTCAGACGAATCCTGGCAGTTACTTTGGGGACACTTGTTTGAGGCGCGATCTCCAACTGTTCCTGTCCAGCAGCTGCCGATCAGTGGTCAAATTGAGTTCGAGATAGACATGTCCAAGGCACGTTGGTATGATACTTGGCTTACTTCATATCGCAAGGACGTGGCAGATGTTCCCTATTCTGTGACACATTCCCGTCGGCAGTCTGTTTCGCACTGGCGTGGCGATAGCAGGACGACGTTTATCGAGGATGACCAATTAGACCAGTCCTCCCTCACGCAGCAGGCGAGGGCAGCGGCTCGCATTGCTCCAAAAAAGTTGTCTCTACTGGACCGCTTCGATACGTCGTCTGCAGCCAGAGCCGCTCCACATCTCTTACCGCCCCCGAGTCCGAATGGTGAATTAAACATCTTCCACGCTCTATCACCAATAGTACAGGAGGTCGAATCTCCCAATCCCAAGAACAGCATAGACAACCTCGTGAACTCATGGCGAGTTGGGGCGGCTCTTTCTCGAAGCCCGTTAGCCCCAACAGGGCAGACGAGCCTTGATCCTGCAAATATGCCCAATACCCTTAATGATCTACGCGATACCAGTACCAGTTATGACGCTGAGGCTGAACTAGATCTGGATGAGTATACCTGGTCCATATCGTCTGCCGGACCTCCCGATTATGATGAAAGTGCCTCTATAATGTCGTGGGTGTATCCACCTTCCGTTCATCTGGACAGGCGACTTGAGGGCTCGGTGTGCCTTACCCCATCCATCTGCACCTCATTCGGCCCTCCCGACGACGACTACCAATGGTCGGTTCCATCTACGCGTTTACCCACGCCCGATATTGCATGGCGTGCTCTGGAAGACGCTCCCCTTAGTCCCTCCGTCTGCACATCGCCTGGTCCTCCTGATGACGACGACTACCAATGGTCTGTACCGTCAACGCGGGTGCCTTCCCCCGATATCGCATGGCGTGCCTTGGAAGATGCACCTCTTACTCCTTCGACTTGCACATCGTTTGGCCCCCCAGATAATGATGACCATCACTGGTCAACGCCCTCGACGCGGCTGCCCTCTCCCGATATCGCGCTGCGAGTCCTAGAAGACGCTCCTTTATCGCCTCTTACCACAACGATCTCAGCGTCTCTTTCTCTTATTGGACCCCCTTCCCCTCCACGGCACAGCGACCCCCTCGACACGTCTTCTCCAGGATCAGGCGAACGCGCATTACTGAATGGATCGAAGGCTGGGAGAGTCTCCCGCCCAACGCATGCAGATCACCCGTGGCCTACAGATCCAAGTTGTATCGAGGTATCCACCTGGAGTCACATCTGGCCATACTATAACACGCAATGTGCAGTCAGAACTATACAGGGTACGACAGACCATCAGGGTTCAGTTCCATCTGTATTTATGACTCTTTCCCACAGGTACGAGGCATCGGAGTCAAAACGATCTCCTGACAATGTCTCGCATTTCGGAGCCTGTCCCATGGAAGGAAGTATGGCCGTATGTAGCATCTCTAACCCAGATACAGAGTCCTGTAGGGACTTCGTCCACGTGTCCCCACTTAAGGCGGTGTATGTCTGACTTGTGCTTTCTTCGATGCTGAAGACATTGACCTGATTATGCAGATCCTGCGGTATATCCGTTCTTTGATTTGTATCCAGCGCTTCCGCCGACCGTTTACACTCTCCCAACGCGTTCCTGTCATGCAGGAGGCGAAGGAGTCCCGGCGCCCGAAGTCAGCGCACCAAGTACCGTAGGCTCTTCGGACGGGTACCCGTATTTCAATCTATGTGCGTCCGCAGTAGACTTTCGTGTCTCTCTCTGTATCAACGTATCGCACTGATTCTTTCATCTTTCACCTACATCCAGATCCTGCGGTGTTTCCCTTTTTCGACTTGTACCCGACTGTCATAGTTGCAGATACGGAACACTATGGTTCAATGACTCGTGACGATATTTCGGACACTGCTCCGTGGATGCATGTATGGCCGTACACGGAAACGGCAAAGTCACAGACAACGCCATTCAAGCAAGTTACGCCGTACATGGGCTCTTCTGCTAAATCAAACACCCCGCCGTGGAAGCACGAATGGCCGTATACAGGGTCTCGGAGGTCTCTCGAAACGGTTGACCTTAGCACATCAACATCAAGATATCCGACCATGGTGTTATGTATGTTTTCCAAAGCAGGCGTGTCCTGCCGCACGGATTGGTCTCATCATATTTTTCACTGTCGTGTGCAGATCCGGCTGTCTACCCGTTCTTCGATCTTTACCCTGCTATCACTCACCTCCTGGCTGTCGACGAAACTAGGCAGAAGGAAATATGTATCGAATTTTATGGGCAATATCCCGTGCTGCAGATCTGTATGGTTGAATCCACACGTTACACATTTTCCTTACTGATGCAGTGAACTCTAGATAAACCGGTATATCCTCATGTGGTGATATATCCCAGTGTAGACGGCGTGACAAAGCCGGCCAAATCTGAGTTACTAACGAACGGCAATCCTACCGAGGTGACAGAAGGTCATGACGTGCAATCCAATTTGTCAAGGGGGTATCCAATTGTTCAGCTGTGTATGTTCAGCTGTTGGTTCCATACATTTCGTGCTTTAACTCCAATTCTGCAGATCCAGCGGTGTATCCATCGAATCTGGATGAGATCTACCCTCGTAAAGGTGCAGCTCCATGCAACGAGTCAATTTCTCTTGCAGTTGACGCCCAATTTTCGACGCAACATCCCGGTTTGATTATTTGTGCGAGACTATGAATGGTGTCTGACGTTGCTGTCCATAGATTCCCCGGTCTATCCGTACAACCTCGACTTCATCTATCCATGGGCTCAACGGCATTCAGTTCAGCTGTTAACTTCTTCGCCGAAGGATGACTCAGGGACGGCACCGGCAACTACGTGCCACATGTCTGCTTACCCAGCACTACATCTTTGTGTGTTCCATCCCTGTTCTCGAATGATACATTACTGAAATACTGACAGATCCAGCGGCTGATTCTCATGATCTCGTAGAACTAACCGTGGAGACCGGGGTTGCATATCCGCATTTGAGGCTCTGTCTGTATATCAATGTCGCTTCGTCTTATCTGTCCTGATGAGGCGATGCCAGATCCAGCAGTGGATCCCTTCAGCTCAACGTATCCCGCAACCTCGGAGGTTAATCATGATTCTGGAGGCGACAAGGCGATTGGAGAAGGTTTGTACCTGACTTTCTGTTTCTGCACGAAGATAACGTTCTACGGGTTAACTTACGGTGTTCTTACGCAAACATTTAGATACAGATACTCGGGCACCTGGAGAGTCTCCTGCTAATCACTTCGGTAAGCAACTAACTAGGCATGCCATCCCATCTCTGGTGTCGACCGTAAATTCAGCTGGGCAGACCGCCGGCCAACTCGGCGTAGCAGACTCAGGACACAAGGGGAACCTGTTGTCACCCGCTAGCTCTCTGTCGGGCTTGCCGAAGGACTATCCTTCGGTGACACCTTGTGCGTGATGCCTCATACGGACAACGACAGCTCCCATAATATTCATTTAGATCCTGCAGTTCACCCCTGGAATCTGGACGAAATCTACCCAGCTGCTAGCCAAGTAGCGTTGATACCCATGGAAAATACCAGTAGTACTTTTGATATGCACTATCCGCGTCCCATTCTCTGTATGTCATCGGTTTTCCTTGGTGTATATGGTGTGATAAAATGACCGGTGCTTTCAGATCCTGCCGTATATCCGGCCAGCTTGAACGAGATTTATCCATCCGTCATCCCAGCTCAGCCGGGGCGGACCACGGGATCGAGGTTCGCAGACCTCTCTGTCTCTGTGAAGCTTCGTGTGACGTATCCGATCTTTGATTTGTGTGCGTCGTATCTGTACGGATTCATGGTGATGTCAGTTAATTGTGTTCGTGCAGATCCATCAATTTACCCACACAACATCTTAGACATCTACCCCTCTAATACACTGGACGTCGGGTATGCGACGAAGCATAAGTATGTTGGATTCTTGGCCTTGTGTTTTTTCGGCCTACATTGACTCACCTGCTTCTTTGTCGTACCATTCAGTGATTTTAACAGTCTAATTGGTTCTCTGATAGAGACGTCCCCCTCTAGTTCCTTGGGTCGTCCATGTAACAATCCTGCAGTTCCTATGAGACTGGAAGCTGAATGTCCTACATTCGTGATATGTTAGTACGTTTCCTTATCCTATAGCTCCTAACAGTCTTCTCAAACTTTAAAAGATCCCTCGGTATATCCCTTCCTGGATATATACCCTCCTGCCGCGATTGGTGGTGTCCATCAGATCGAGCAAAGCCTGTCTATCCCACAAATTGCTATCACGAACACTGCGACGCTTCGTCGAGTCCCAAGATTCACCCATATGGACTTGCATATGCAGGTTTTCAGTTCAGGATTCATCTCCACCACTGAAACATCTCAGAAGGATTCCATTGCACGACGGAGCACTACTTCGCCTGTCACACGCTTGCGTTCCCGATCTGGTACGATCAGTAGCAGGTTTTCCCTCTCACAAGCAGGGATGGTTCCTGCTGTAGATTCGTCACCCGTCTTTCAGAGCAGAGTGCCATCCAGCGCCATTCCAGATACCTCGTCCAATTCAACCAAGGTGTCGGTGCCTGCATTATCAGCACCCGGCGAACATCTCTCACAACCTCCAGCAAGTAGAGGCTCAATTGGACTTCCTGCGCATCCTGCAGTGAATCGAAGGCTGTCGTCTGCGTTCTCCAGACCTATTTCATCCTCCTTTTCTGCCCTACCTACCCTGATAGAACCGGAGCACCTCGATGATATGCATGACAGTGGCGAGGATATGCGGCGCTCGTCCTCGTCTGCTGCAATGGTGGGCAGTGAGGCAAGCAGAACTAATATTCCACGCCCGATCGGGTTACCCCCACGAGGCAGAGTTGTCTACGAGTCCCAATCTGCAACACTGCCACAGAGATCCCTCACATTGAGTGTGGGCGCGGATCTCAGTCGCGCGAAAACCCTTCCTTCGAGGCGTCTGCCACTCATGAATCGAGCTGGTTCGGTACTGGAGAAGGCAAGGGCGTTTGATCAGTCAGGGGGTAAGAGTGTGTTGTTCTTGTTCTCCTAAGTAACTTACAAGTTCTCCTCTTAGTCCCTTCAGGGACAGACGAGGAGCAGCCTCATTGTACGATGATGTCGGCTTTGGCGCAATTCCCTAGCCCCCCGCTACCCCCCTTGCCGACGGAGTCAAATGGTAGATTGGTCTCGAAGCTCGACCGTTCAAAATATCCCTTCTCTTAGATTTGACATCTAGGGATGTCGTCGCTCCTTTGTATATCATTCGTAAACTGTGAACCAACCCTAGACACCAGGATCTGGAAGTGCAGCTGTAGTTGAACTTGTTTTCCGCAGACTGCCAGCGTACATGTCACTGGAATGGGTACATAAGGGTTGCTCAGTGACAATCGAGAATATGGCCGCTATGTAGTATGTGTCTCCGGCCCACCGATCGACTTCCTCGCTAGACGGAGATGGATTGCGTCCAGGAACGAACTCGTCCATGAAAGTTTCGACAGGAATTCCGAAAACGCGTCCGGCCATCTTGCTGTCAGAAGCTTTCCTCAATAACCTTCTGGCTCCGCCGTGAATTGCGTTCAACTAAAAGATTTACCACTATGAGATGTTGACCTTACCACTGGGAATGCACTGAAGTGTTTGAGTTGGCGCCATTCAAATGGTCACGTGACCGCGGCCTCACGTTCTCTGGTTACGGCTGGGAGAATGCCTCCAGTTCTTTGTGAAGCAAAGGATTACAGCGATTCAAAATTCTATGTTTGTGGTGTGTGATGGGAGCGCTCTGCGACAAGAGTTAAGCAACAAGGCGGCCGAATGGTTTCTTGACCCCAACTGGGGATGACATGTGGGAGAGCATTATATAATTACGCCAAATCGGGGAGGTAAGAATGCCCCATATTTCCCTCTTTCGCCTTCAGCATTCCCCATCTCCATAATTTGCCCACCTACCCCTGGACGACGACGAACACGACGACAAACATCGCCTAGTCGGCGAGGACAGGAGTGGTTATGTCTGCGCTGAACACCAACGCCTGCAATTCCACCAGAATGCGGCAAGCAAAGGTATGTTCATCCCGGCCACTCCGTGAGCCCACTCACGGTTGTTCGTAGCGGACATCATCTCCAACAGTCTCACTCTCGCATGAAACATCACCTTCGGGAGAACCGCCATCTACCCCGTCCCCTCGCGGACGCCCCGCGTCGCGCTACCCGTCCTCACTCGCGCTCGGCGAGCCCGGACGCGTCCCGTTGCACCGGCGGGGGACGTCCAAGACGTACGAGCGACTTGAAGACCTCCTGCGGGAGGCAGGATACAAAGAGACGCGGATCTTTACTCCAGAGGCCGAGCGTGCTGAGGAAGGCCGGCGGGGGAGCGTGCGCGGCGGCGTGGACGCCGTCGTGGGTTTTCTTGCTGGGTGGATACCCGGCGCGGGCAAGGGCGAGGACTCGCCCGGCGAAGACGCAGTCGTGGCGGGTAACTCTGAGATAGGTGAGCCCGTAGCCGAAGAGAACCAGAGTTGGACTCCGCCCTCGCCGCTGGGCCACCGAAGCAGCAGGACGGACTATAGCCACAACAAGGGGAAATTGCTGATTTCATCCTCTCCATCTTCCACCACACTCGCGTCCTTGCACAGCTACCGGTCTGCTCACTCGAGTGGCCGCACGGCGAGCCACATGGGGACGGACGCGCCCCCGCGAGTTATTCAAACCACTTCACAGTCACTACGCCCCCGCGCCTCCGCGTCGGACACGCTTCGCACGTATGCGCAAGTCTCTGCAGCGCGTGGGTACCTCAGACACATGGTATCCGCGCCTAACATCCCGAGGCAGCGCCTGCCATTGACGTGTGAGAGCTCTGCCGACCGTCGGTCAGTATGTCTGGACGAACGCGCACCGCCCGCTCTTCCTGCGCGGTGGTTCGAATCCATATCGAAAGCCGTGCTCGGTTCGGACACCGGACGCGCTCACATGGGCGGGCCAGTCCCGTCCTCGTCCCGAGATGAGCGGGCGCGAAGCAGCAAGTTCACACTGTCCGACCGTACGAATCACCCGGCGGTGGGTCGCGCGTCGGGGCTTCCCCGAGGGCTCTCAGCATACCTGCAGCGCAGCGAGACCGCCCCCGGCGCGGTGAGTACCGCGCAGGTGATGTGTCGCTCTGCGCCCGCGTCACGTTCGTCGTCGCGCGTCAGGGGGCGCACATCTTTCGGATCCTTCCGCGACCCGCCACACTCAAGCAAGAGGCGCCAGGGTAAGGGTGGCGTGCCGATACTCGCAAGCACGCATATCGAGAACGAGTTGTGGGGCTTGCAGTGGGTAGACCGCGGGCGCTTGCTCGTACCGCGGGCAGGCGCGGAAAGTGTCATCGAGAATCGAGAGGACGAAGAGGAAGAAGAAGAAGATGACGACGACGACGACGACGAAGGCGAACTTGACCTCGCACGCATTCTCGTGCCCCCGAAGCGCCAGTACTCGATCCAGAGCCTCCGGAAACACCTGCACACGGGACGGCGTCCGCCTAGTCGCGGTGGCGTGCGGGATGACGAGGACGATGATATCGTCGGCGGACACTGGCGAACGCGGCGCGGGTCCATGGATGAGGGCCAGCATGCATATGCGTGGGCCGCCCTCGGTGCGCCCGGCTTCGAGAGACCGGCGAAGAGGCGCACTGGCATCCCACGTGGATGGACGGGCCTCGGGAGGCGGTCGTAGCCGCGACACATTTCACTTACAGCAACGACGCCAGCCTTCCTTTCCGCGAGACTCTTCACGCCTTGACTTGACTCAATCATGGATCATGCACTCTAGGGTTCCAACACTCGGCATTACACTCATTTTTAATACTGTATCGGTATCCTGCTTCATATCGTTCTGGATCCACTTCACGTCACTTCACTTCGTCGGCGCTGCAAAGCTTCATCGCCGACTCATCAGCACATCACACATTACACGATACACTGCACAATCACTTATAATCGGTACAGTAACACGTTCGTTCCGCGTCTGCAGGTAAAATCGAATTGGCGGAAGATGTTCGACCCCTTGTTCATGCATAGGGGCGAGGTTGTTGTGTATGGTACTACCAATATTACTTAGATCGCATCGCATTGCGTAGCTTACTGTATATCCATTTTATTTAACATTGGGACTCAAGCACTTGACATGTCTCTGCACACAGACCTGGGGTGTTATAGCCAATACACCGTGTCTCACGGTCTCATAACAACCGGAAACCATGGGTGCCTAGAGGCGCTAGGAAGCCTAGCACCTTGCTCTGTTGGACTCAAATAGCACCCAATATATATTCATTCCTGGCAACTGCACAACGTGAAGGTTCCTCGGACAAGACAGCAGGGAAGCATACGTGAGGATCAAAGCTAACAATAACAATGAGGCTAGATGAATGAGGATACCAGCTCCGAATTTCCTGAACATCCGGCGAACCTTGATACCTGGACCACTGCAAAATCCACATCCTCTACTCCACCTCCTCTGGCACGGATGGGAGAACAGAACCAAGTCCAGAGTCCACCATGCGACGCATAGAGCGGGTCTCCATACTGCGTGTATGGGTGGATGGTGTTTTCCGTGCCCGCTTAGGCCGCTCTCCGAGAAAAGAGTTGCAAGACTTGCCTTTGCTTTCTCTAGACCCAACCGAAACAGAATTTCGTACAGGAGCGAATGAGGCGAATTGATTATCGACCTTGTCTGTTACCCATTCATAAGCGCTATCCTTGAGAACGACCGTAAACGCGCCCTTAATCAGTCGGTGAGTCGACAAAGTTGCGCGGGGGACGAGTGAGTCGGCCGCCGGGGCAACAGGCGACAAGTCCTCAGGGTCCGATTCCTCTAGTTGTAGGTTCATAATTCTTCTGCGCCGTCGTAGCGGAGCCGGCTGAGGCGTTTCGGGTTGGGCTTTCCGGAGTTTGAGAGCGGCCATGTCGACAGTCTTGTAATGCTCATGGCAAAGCTCCATGAGCTTCTCGAGAAGGCTGCTGAGCCCACCCTTGACGGACAATATGAAAGGTACTCTGCCGATCTCTATCTGCTGGAGTTTTTCGTGCCCACCCAGGTCGTAGCCATCGACACGGGACCACTGATCATAGGTATCAGCGATATGTTTCTGCAGTGAATCGTCTGTACGGAGACTGTGCCGGTACCATTTCAGGGCCAGCCAGTTCACGACGTGCATAAACGATTCCAGATCGTCCGAGACTTCGTAGCGTTTTCTCGGGAATTGAAGTAGTAATGCTGACATGAATTGCCACGTTCCCTGGGAGAGCAGCGTCAGCCCATACCAGACACTACTCAGTATAGTCAAACTCACGGAACGCGTCTTCTGGGTAGGCCCGCTATCCAACTCGTCCTCATATTTGCAGAGGTCCCAGTCATTCAAAAACCCTTTGATAAGCCTTTCACCAACCCCGTGATACCCTGGATCATCGGGATCTTCATCGGCCAAGATATTGCCAATGCTCACATCTCGATGTAGTACATGAGCCTTCTCCCAAGCTTGACAGTGAGCTATAAGGCAAAGGATGAGCATATATACACATAGATTAACCTTCAACGTACCATCAAGTGCGCAATAAATTACCCCAATCATCTCCTCAGAGTCTTCGTGGTCGTCCAATGGACGACCAACTTCCTTCACCACCAGCCGGTAATGGATCCGACCAAGCAACGATCCACCGAACTCTTGCGTGCGCGTCCGCTGTAGATGGTCGCTAGTTTGGCCGACGTCACCACCACACAGAAGAGTCGCAATGTTCGAGACATCATGCTTGTACAGACGTTCGTATACCTCGCGCTCCGGATGTATCTTCGACGAGTCGGGCCGCCATGTATCCTTTAGGAATGCCAGTCTTCCCGTTTCCATGTCGTAGGCCACATATCCTCGTGTAGCACGGCCCGTAGGTGAGTGCGCCGCAAATCGTGGGCGACCGATGAGGAAATATCGTACAGGCTCCGACGTGGACGTGTTATCAGGGTGAAGAGAGGAATTGGAAGCCTCTGAGGGAAGCGCGGCGCTATCATCGAGGGATGCAGAGTCAGAAGGAGACTGGGGAGTAGAATTGGAAGTGGGCATGGATTGGCCAGCAGATCTAGCATCCTTGCGCAGGGCCTCACTATCCACGAGGTCCTTCGCATAAAATGCGACTTTGTATATAGGCCACTTTGGCGACATCGCTTCGGCCAGACATTGCTGGTGGTAATCGTTCAGCCTGCCCCTGCAACTAGCCATGAGCGAGACCTCCGCCGGTGTAGCAGCAACAACAGTCGGATCATATCCAAGCTGAGCATGCGACATGTGTCCCACTCTGTAGATGAACGTCTGCAATGTGCCATCCGTCACGTAATTGAATGGCTCCGACACAATCGCCCCGACCCGGTCCCACCGCACCAGGCGCGCAGAATATCTGTAGACATACACCATAAAGCAGAATTCCCGGTGCTGGGCAAGGAGAACCTTCGACGCGTAATCCGCAATTTGACCCATCGCATTGACACTCCGGACAGGTGATTTCTTCTCGGGTTTCAGAAACTCGAACGCTGACAATGTATGATCAATCTTGAGCTCGATTGGGATGCACAGGCGCTGCCAGCAGACCCTGGCCAGATGTTTATGTCGATCCTTCGCGCACTTGCTCCCCTCGACATCTGCAGCAGTGAGCTCGTAGTCCCTAACCGCTTCCGGAGTATTTCGATAGATTGACACATCCGGTCGCACTACAGAACTGGGGCCCATCAGTTTCGCCCCGTCTTCGGTCTTATCACCCCAGTCTGCCGTGTCCCGCGCGATGAGACGGTTGGCCCTGAACTTGTTTAACACTAAGTTCACAGCTTCGCACTGAATATATACTCAGTGGATCTGTTGAACATGAAAAGGGGAAGTGCTCACGAAACCAGGATACATTAGTGATTCCTTTGTAATCTGGTCCACGTCTTTGAATTTACTCTTCCACTTGCCCGTTTCTTTCCTAGGCAGAGTCCAATTCCGTCCGGGAACGAACTCGTCCATAAATTTCTCTACCGGGATCTCGAAGACGCGTTCCGCCATCTCGTCGCCAAGAGCCAACCTCAATGCCAACACTGTATCCTGCTTGGCGGAGAATTGTTGCCGACTGGAAGGTTTACCACTACGGGGGGTCGACTTGATCTCCGGGACGTCCTGCGCTGAGGGTTCAGGTCGGAGAGGAGGGGTAGTGGGCGGTGGTCCAGGTTCGTCGGCTGCAGCAGCCTTAGAATTCGAGGGAGTAGCCTTAGAATTCGAGGGAGTAGCCTTAGAATTCGACGCAGTAGCCTTAGAATTCGACGCAGTAGCCTTAGAATTCGATACAGTAGCCTGTCGAGATTCTCGCTGTGAACGATAACGAGGCATTGAGGAAAGGAGGAACGTACGGTTCGAAATGAGGATGCGGCCTATATATCGCCGACACCTGAGGCCACGCAGGATTCTCCATTGTTCTCAGCCTCTGAGGCCATCAGAGTCAAAAGTCCCAATATGCTCACCTCAATGTAACGGCCTAATCCGGTTTGATGAATGAACAGCCGCACAGCCACTTCCTGAAAAGTAAAATGACTGGTTCTCCCTAGGGTTCAATATTGAACTTGAGGCCGCCACTGGCGTTGAGTCGAACATGCACGTGACCGCGGCAGCAATTTGAAGTTCGCTACAAAGTCTGTTGTGCGTTTGAATCGAACTCCATGCAAATATTTACAGAGACTAGAATTACGTGGGGACCCACTCGAGCACGAACTTGGGTGTTTTGCTGCACTATGATGCCTGCAGCGCCAGTGATTTCGCACGTCTCCGCTCAAGCGAGATGACACAGTGAGTCATCTGGAGATTTTTTGGGAACATCCGTATAAATGCCTTAGAGATCGACATTTTTTTAAAAGTTTTCTCACACGATTGTTCCGACTTCCTGCAGCAAACCAGATCTAGTTTGAGTTCGGCTTGGTGGGCCTCCTCGAGTACTATTGTTACTCCGGTAATGCAATTGTGATTGCATCTCCGCTACCTACCCTCAAATCAAGGCCAATTTGCCTCAAACTTCTTCACACTGAATATACAACGTCTGAAGCACCTTCTGCGGCACTTTCGATTTCTTCTCCTCATATTGCGCGATCACAAGACCAAACGCAGACTCCTTTGCGTGCAAGTGTGCTGAATCTGTCACGTCTGAATGCAAGTCACCCCTTCCAAGCCCCGCCGGAGTTGTATATTCAAGTTGCACGGACAAGACATTTGGGGTTACGGACATCTATTCTCTGTTTTTTTTTCAGATATTCGGCGCAGCAGAACACAAAATTGCGCGACTAGGCAATCTAGGCCTGTTGCAAAACGATACTACCCCGGGCTTGGCCCCCATCGACATCTTCCAGTTCATCTGAAGGGCCCACTTGATGCACAAGGACAATGCCAGCAAACGAGAAATCGATAGGCGTTCTCGCGCTCGGCATTATCGTCCAAATGACAAGACCACCTCAGCCAAAGCGGCACTGCGGCAGCAGTCAGAAAGACAACGGGAAAATATGAGCCCGGCTACACAACCTCTTTACACTCCGGCTGCGACGACGTGTATCTACTACATATTTCACTACCCCCGAAACCCATCGAGTTTGCGTGAAATATACAGCTGCTCGGACACTATCGCAGAAGAAACACGATCGGAGACAGGCAGATCGGGCGCGGACAGCGATCACAGATCTGGGTCAAACACTGGCAGATTGGTAACACGACCCGCAATCCGCTACAGCTTAGCTCGCCGACTCAGTCATGGACCGTGCCCCTAGGGTTACTACACTCGGCATTACATTCATTTTTAATCCCGTATTGGCATCCTGCTCCATATCATTCTGGATCCACTTCATGTCACTTCACTTCGTCGGCGCTTCAATGCTCCATCACCGACTCAGCAGCACATCACACATTACACGATACACTGCGCAATCACTTATAATCGGTACAGTAACACGTTCGTTCCGCCTCTGCAGGTAAAATCGAATTGGCGGAAGATGTTCAACCCCTTCCTTGTTCATGCATAGGGCGAGGTTGTTGTGTATGGTACTACCAATATTACTTAGATCGCATCGCATTGCGTAGCTTATTGTATATCCATTTTATTTAACATTGGGACTCAAGCGCTTGACATGTCTGTGCCTAGGGTACTATAGCCAATACACAGCGTCTCACTGTCTTATCAGCGGGAAACCATGGATGCTTAGAGGCGCTTGGAAGCATAGCACGTTGTTGCTGTTGGACTGAGATAGCATCGACATATATTCACTCCTGGCAACTACAGAAGGTTCCTTAGACAAAACAGCAGGGAGGCATACATGGCAATCAAAGCTAACAATAACAATGAGGCTAAGCGAACGAGGATACCAGCTCCGAACTTCCTGAATGTCCGGCGAACCTTGACACCTGGACCACCGCAAAACCCACAGCCCCTACTCCACCTCCTCTGGCACCGATTCCAGAACAGAACCAGCTCCAGAGTCCACCGTGCGACGCATAGAGCGGGTCTCTATCCAACAGAGACAGAATTTCGTACAGGACCGAATGAGGCGAATTGATTCTCGATCTTGTCTGTCACCCATTCATAAGCACTGTCCTCGAGAACGTCTGCAAAGGCGTCCATAATCAGTCGGTGAGTCGACAAAGTTGCGCGGGGGACCTTTGAGTCACCCGCCGTGCGCTTATCAGCCACCGGTGTAACAGGGGACGAGTCCTCAAGGTCCGATTCCTCTAGTTGTAGCCTGAGGTTAAAGATTCTTTTGCGTCGTTGTCGCGGAACCGGCTGAGGCGTTTCGGGTTGGGTTTTCCGGAGTCTGAGAGCGGCCATATCGACAGTCTTGTAATGTTCATGGCAAAGCTCCATGAGCTTCTCGAGAAGGCTGCTGAGCCCACCCTTGACGGACAACATAAAAGGCACTTCGCCGATCCGTATCTGTTGGAGTTTTTGGTGCCCACCCACATCGTAGCCATCAAAAAGGGACCGCTTATTGTAAGTATCAGCGATATGTTGCTGCAGCGTTGTTGTTAGACGGAGACGGTGCCGATACCATTTCAGGGCCAGCCAGTTCACGACGTGCATAAACGACTCCAGATCATCCGAAACTTCGTGGCGCTTTTTCGGGAATTGAAGTAGTAATGCTGACATGAATTGCCACGTTCCCTAGGGGAGTGATGTTAGCCCGCACACGACACTCTGCAATAAAGTCAAACCCACTGAACGCGTCTTCTGGGGAGTCCCGCCGCTATCCAACTCGTCCTCATATTTGCAGAGGTCCAAGTCATTCAAAAACCCTTTGATAGACCCTGGACCAACCCCATACCCTGGATCATCGGGATCCTCATCGGCCAAGATATTGCCAATGCTCACATCTCGATGCAGTACACGAGCCTTCTCCCAAGCCTGACAGCGAGCTGCAAGGCAGAAGATGAGAATATATACACATAGATTGATGTTCAACGTACCATCAAGCGCACAATAAATTACCCGAATCATCTCCTCACAGTCTTTGTGGTCGTCGAATGGACGACCAACTTCCTTCACGACCAGCCGGTAATGGATCCGACCTAGAAGCGATCCGCCGGACTCTTGCGTGCGCGTCCGCTGTGGCTTGTTTCTAGTTGAGCCGACGTCGCCACCACACAGAAGAGTCGCGATGTTCGAGACATCATGCTTGTACAGACGTTCATATACCTCACGCTCCGGGTGTGTCTTCGACGAGTTGGGCCGCCACGTATCCTTCAAGAACACCAGCCTTCCCGTTTCCATGTCGTACGCCATATATCTCCGTGTAGCACGGCCTGTAGGCGAACGGGCCGCAAATTGCGGGCGTCCGATTAGGAAATGCCGTACAGGTTTCGCTATGGTCATGTCATCAGAGCTAAGAGGGGTATTGGAAGCAGGGAGGACCTCTGAAGCAGGCATAGAGTTGTCATTAACAGATGCGGAGCAGGAGAAAGAGGGTGAATCGGAATCGGACCCAGATGCTGAATCGGCAGTAGACCTAGCAGCCTTGCGCAGGGCCTCGCTGTCGACAAGGTCCTTCGCATAGACTGTGACTTTGTGTATATGGCAATTTGGTGACATCACTTCGTCGAGACATTGCTTGTGGTAGTCGTTCAGCTTGTCCCTGCAACTAGTCATGAGCTTTACCTCCGCGGGCGTAGCAGCAACTACAGTCGGGTCATATCCAAGCTCAGCATCCGACATGTGGCCCACTCTGTAGAAAAAAGTCTGCAATGCGCGACCCTTCACGTAGCTGAATGGCTCGGACACAATCGCCCCAACACGGTCCCACCGCACCAGGCGCGCAAGAGATTTGAAGATATAGACCATAAGACAGAATTCGCGGTGCTGGGCAAGGAGAATCCTCGAGACGTAATCCGCGATTTGTTCCATGGTGTCCTCGCTTCGAACGGGCGAATTTTTCTCGGGTTCCAGAAACTCGAACGCTGACAATGTATGATCGATCTTGAGTTCGATTGGTACGCACAGATGCTGCCACGAGACCCTTGCCAATTGTCTTTTCCGATGCTTTGAGCAAAGGAACCCCTCGAGCTCTGCATTACTGAGCACATAGTCTCTAGCCGCCTCGGGAGTATTTTGATAAATTGATATGCTGGGCCGTACCTTGGAGCTGTGGCCCATCAATTTGGCCATGCCCTCGGTCTTATCAGGCCAGTCTGCAGTGTCGCACGCAATGAGAGGCCTGCAATTGGCTTTGCCTAAGATGAAGTTCACAGTTTCACACTGAATATATAGTCAGCGAATCTGTAAATCAGGAACAGAGGAAACGCTCACGAAATCAGGGTAGATTTCTGCCTCCTTTTTCTTCGATTTCACTGCCTTAAATTTACCCTTCCACTTGCCAGTATCTTTCTTGGAGAAGGTCAGATGAGGCCCAGGAACGAACTCGTTCATAAACGCCTTGACCGGGATCTCGAAGACGCGTCCGACTCCAGCCATCTCCTTGCCAAGAGCGTCCCTCAGTTCCAGCGCTTTATCTTGCTTGGTGGCGAATGTTTGCGACCTGGAAGATTTAATACGGCAGGGCTAAGGGGCAAGCTTTGTTTCGGGATTTGCGCGATGCGAACTGAGGCCTGAGGGTTCAACGTTCAATATTGAACCGCCACAGGTGGCGTTGAGTCGAACACACACGTGACCGCAGCACCATCATTCCGGGGCTAACTTGAAAACTACAAGGAGATCTACTCAAACGCTAGCTCGAGTGTTCTAAACTATAGCCCGCAGCACAAGGGATTTTGCACGCATAAATGCATTACAGGTGTTTAGTTTTCTCACATGTTCAAGCTTGGACCTCCTGCCGCGGGCCGGATCTGGTTTGAGGTCTTGTCGGACATTAACCCGGCCGTCAGTTGGCAAGGAACCGAACATCACGCACTGTTTGGCCCCCACTGGCATCTTCCGGTTCGTCCGAAGTGTCCGCTTGAGGCACAAGGCTAACTGAGAGAATTGCCAGCTAAATCCAGAAATGTTATTCTACTTTCTACGGCCCTATGCACGTACGTATCCACTGCAAAGACAACGAAAAAATACGACTCCACCTACACAGCCTCTTTACACCCCGGCTGCGGCGATGCGTATCCACCACTTACTTCGCTGCCCTATCCTTTGCGTTTGCGCACGGACGCTGATCGCAGAGGGAACACGATCGGAGACGGGCAGATCGGGCGCGGACAGCGATCACCAGATCGAGGGTTGGCGCAGGATCGTTTGCACGACGGGCAAAGGCCTCGGACAATCTGTCGATGGAGGCGGATTGCAGAGACAGAATTGTATAACGAACAGCAAATGTCCATCGCGCTGCACGGGTGTGGACAAACGTTTAACGTTCAACTGTGCAGCGACTGGTAGCTGAGTCACCTGGGGGACAGGTTTGACTATCCCCGAATCACCTTTCGTGTGTGGCAAGTAGCCTGTGGCGCCGCGGAACGTATACTTTGGGGGTCCATGGATGCTTTTGAGACAATGTTAATTATCTCACACGCATCGCCCGTCATGCATCATGTCGGGCGCTCACACGACTCGCCGATTCGCACACCCCTTTTCGTAGACCCGTAAATTACACACAAACTACAACACGATCACAAACAAACAACAGTACCACGGCAGAGACAGATACAGAGACAGAGGCGGGCAGCATAACGCAGGGTCTAACGTAAAATCTAGCATATAAAAAATCAAGCAGAACAGAAGATGTAGGATGCGGATGCGGATAATCGCGGACGGGAAGACGGGGTACGCCAGAGAGTCGTCGGCGGCGGCGGTTGGCAGGATTCGGAGCGGGGGGCGGGGGTATGGTCATATAAGGTATACAATCCCGTAAAATCATCTCATATCATATCTCGTCACTCGTCGCGTTCGGTCCGGGTGAGACTATCGGCGCTCAGCCCAGCTCACATGAGCTTCGACGCGCGGAGGTGCTCGCGGACGACCATATCCCGCACTGCACGCATCCGAAACAGGTCAAAAAAAAGGTATTAGACACCCTCAGACACGCACCGCTCGCGATGATCCCGCCCGTCGTCGTCGAGTCCTACGCAGCGTGTCAGCGCGACACTCAAGCTTCAAGAGGGGGGGGAACCCGGAGAAGACGCTCACCGTCACGCTCGTGCAGAACCCATAAAACTTGCGCGGCACAGGCGAGTACTCCCGGTGGATCGCCATGAACTTGCTCCTAAAGTCTGCAACGAAACCGCACTCATCAGCAGCGCACTCGGGGGAGAAACAGAAAGGGGCCCGGCCCCGGCGATACGAGAGATGAGCAGCGCGCATGGGATGCATACGAAACTGCGATGGACACTGCCGCTTCCCGACCGCATGCGGGCTCGGTGGGCCAGAAGGGGGAACGAAGCGGGCGAACGTCGCCGGGCGATAACTTCGAGACCTCTACAGATCCGCGAGAGATGGGGCTGGCTGCACGCAAAAAACGCGATCGACAGCAACCCCGCACGGTCGTTCACCCGGCGTGCCCAAAGGGAACAGAAAAAACCCAAACAGCACACACACACACACACACACACACCAAATAAAGAAAACGAACGCAAAAACGCACACTTCTCAACCACGTCCCGCTCGTTCGCGCGCTCCCCAAAATTGCGCACATACTTGGCGAGGCGCACGCCCGCAGCGAGCTTCGCGGCGAGGATGTCGCACTTGTTCAGGAAGAGCACCAGGTCCACGCGCGCCAGCAGCTTGTTCGCGCACACCGCCTTCCACAGCAGCACCGAGTCCTCCTGCACGCCGCATCCGCAATTAGTATATCAGCAAGGGAGGGGGGGGACGCACGAGGCGGTTGACGCTCCGGTCCTCGGCGAGCACCTGGTCGAAGCACGAGATGGGCGCGAGGAAGATGATCGCTGCCCGCCGGCGGTGGATCAGCAAGCGCACACGCGCGCACACGGGGGGGGGGGGCGGCTTACCATGGACTGCAGCGCACGCGGGGGGTCAGCAACCGCGAATACAACGAGGACGTGAGAGCGGGCACGCACCGTCGTCGAAGAACGGGACCCAGGTCTCTGCGCGGGAGAAGACGCGTCAGGTTGCGGTGCGGGGAGGGAAGGAGGAGGGGGAAAACACTCACGGCGCTGCACCGAGGAAAATAGGAGCGTGATGATCAGCATTGCGCAAGTGAGAACGGCGCGCGAGCGGGGGCTCGACGCGATCGGGCCCGCGGACACTATGTGCTCACCTGCGAACGCGAGCCGCCGACGTCGATGATCCGCCACTGCGTCCCGCTCTCCGAGCCGGCCTCCATCTCGAAGCGGTACTCGGACACGCCGACGGTCTTCAGCCGCGCCTTGAGCACGTCGTCTGCACGGTCCGTCAGCGCGCAGGGCATCGCAGGCGGGCGAACACGCACCGTCCGAGGGGAGGTACCGCGGAGCGGTGATGCGCTCCAGGTCGTCCAGGAAGCTGCAGCCGTCAGCACGCAGCGTCCGCGCCAGAAGCACAGAGAGAGACTCACAACCCCGGGCCGTCCTCGACGCGGATCCGCCTCCGTCTGAGGATCTCTCTCAGGACGGGGTCTCGCCAGAGCGCGAGCAGGTCCCCGGCGCAGGCGTGCAGCGCGGCCTGGGCGGCGTCGGCCTCGCCGCCCGCGCCGCGCTCCCGCTCCTTCTGCTTCCCGTTCCCGAGGAAGGGCTCGGGGCCGCTGACGCCGCGCATGGCGCGCTTGAGTGCGCTGCCCGGGCGGACGAAGATCTCGTCGGAGAGGGCGCGGGGGCGCGGGGTGTCCGGCGGGGAGAGCGCGGCGACGAGGAGGGCCTCGACGTGGCGGAGCGGGGCGAGGCGGGCGAGGAGGGCGGCAAGGTGTGGGGGCAGCAGGGACGGGGGCGGCGATGGGGGGTCGTCGTGGGCGTGTGCGTATATCGAGGGCTCGTGCGCGGAGAAGGAGTAGGAGGGCTCGGAGGAGGCGTCGGAGAGGTCCAAGGCGATGGCGGCGGGGGAGACGGACGGCGATGCGTGGGGGTGTCGGTGGTGGTGGTGAGAGGGAAGGTCGGCGGGGCGAAGGTCGAGGAGAGCGTCCTGGATGAGGTTGACGCTGCGGACGAGGTTGAGCTGGACGACGGCGCGCCAGAGGACACGCTCGGCGCGGAAGGCGCTGGGGGTGTACAGTCGCTGGAACTGGCGCAGGGTCGTGCTCTTGCCCGACTCGGACTGGCCCAGCAGCAGCAGCCGCACCACGCGCGCCTTCCGGTGTGCGACGCGCTCCTGCCGGATCGACTCGTCGATGGCCGCGCTCACCCGCCGCGCCTCCGCCTCCTGCGCCAGGCGGAACGCTTGCTCCGCAGGGGTCTCGTCAGCCGGAGGGCGCAGCACAGCCTCGAGGGGATCGGGGGGCTCGCGCGTCGGCATCGCAGGGAACGGCAGGTAGTATCGCTGATGGGAGGAGGGAGAGTGTGAAGAGCAGAGATGGGAGCAGCACGCGGGTACTTCTGCGGAGCGCGAAATGAGGAGACTCAGAGTCTGCGTCAAAGTGCTCGACTGTTAACTGCCTCTGCCAGCCCCAGCCGCCCGGCCCGCCGCCCACCCGCGCCCCGCTCGGCTCCGTCTTCCCACTCGCCACCTCGCCCGCCGTGCAGTGCGCCCACTGCGGACGGCGAGCCCGAGTGCCCGCGCAACGCAGCACGCCAGGCACGCCAGGGGCAGCCATCATGTGCCTGATCTGCCCATCAGCTTCGCAACTTTGCCATCGCCTCGTGTCTCCGACGCCACGAGCCTCTCTGCTCCTCGCTTTCATCTCGGCCATCGTTCACCGCGTGACGCAGCAGTCACCGCGCTTCTCCACGCCGATTCTCAGGCTGAGCGCTGAAGCTGAAGACGCGCTCCCTTATGGAGCTGCGGTTATGCACAACGTGGACGTGCATGCGTCACTGTCTGACGTGTACCTATCGCCCAAGCTCCCACTCCCACCCTCCGCGTCGTCCCTAGGCGGTGTCTGCCAATCGCCCATCGCGGCCGCAATAGTGCCCATAATCCCTAACGAGAACGCGGGGTCTGCACATGTCTCGCTCGACCGCATCTCACGTATGTACATCTACCCCCGCAATCCTGCACCCTCTACAGGTTCGCGCAGCGTGGACACACCTGCATGTGCGTCCCCACCGAACTGGAAGATTGCGTTCGCTTCCATTGTCCTCCCTGCGCACCTGCCAATCCCCCCCAGCTGCGATCCGATATGCTTCGGGCCTCTGCACAGCTCCACGACCCGCGGCGGATTTGGGCCATTGTACCCTGTCTGATTGGCTACCGATATCTATCGCCGCGCTCGACGTTCCTCATGTGCGCATCCCCAGCGTCTGTGCTGCAGGCCATTTCTTCCTCTCCAGCAAACTGGAGATGCCCGGACTTGCTTGCCTGCCCTCCTCGTGCGACATGCACCCCCTCGCGGGCCCACCACGCACTTTTGCCAACCTCACAAATATTGACATGCGGCGCTCTGGTTCCCTGATGCACCCTCCGTACGGTGACTAGCACCTTTTCGTGCCCCTCCCCTCGAGTCGCCGACGCCCACAGCTCGACTCGCGTCTTCTGGCTACAGATATCCCCGCGCTCGACGTTCGTGTGTCGTCCCCAGCGTCTGCGGGCTGTTCGTTCCTCTCCCGCTGACGCCGGTAACTTGGGCCTGCCTTTCTCGAACGCCCCGGACGTGCTTGCCTGTTCCCTCGTACGACATGAAGCCCAAGTACTGTGATATGCACCTTTGCAATCTCATGTTGAGATGCGGCGCTCTGGATGACGATCCCTGGAGATATGCACCCTCCGTACGGTGACGAGTACTTATTTGCGCCTCCCGGCCCCCACCGCTCGACTCGCGTCTTCTGGCTACAGATATCGCCGCGCTCGACGCTTATGTGCGCGTCGCCAGCGTCTGCGGGCTGTCCGTTCCTCTCCAGCAGGCTGGGCCCTGCCTCGGACGCCCGGACGTGCTCGCCTTTTCTCTCGTCGTACGACATGTAATCTCGGGCCTTCGCGGGCCTTCTTGGCTTAAGTGCTATGCCTTTTTGCAACCTCACGTTGAGGTGCGGCGCTCTGGATGATGATCCCGGGAGGTATGCACCCTCCGTACGGTGACGAGAACTTTTTTCTTGCCTCCTCACCCAGTCGCCGGCGCAGCTTTCGTCTGCTGCCGTCCCCGCTTGTCCCACGAGCCCGATTTTGGGGTACCGGCGTCAGCGTGTTCGCCCACGTCCACCTGCATCCTGAGCTGAACCCCTTACAGTACTTCGTCTAGGCTCTTGAAATACATCGGCATACCGGAGTCCGACGCAGACGCTTCCGGATATACTGCCGTTTATCTCTCTCCTCTGCTATGCCTAGCGCACGGTGCGTCTGCGTCGTGGCTCCTCGGACACTGCAGCGGGGAAACCCACCCGCTATTGGTACCGCGGTCACGTGCAAGTTCGACTCAACGCCACCAGTCAGTGGCATCTCCAAGTTCGATGTTGAACGCCTCGGTTCGCATCGTGTGAGCCCCGAAACGAAGCCAGCTACCCTGTTATATTAAACCTTCCAGGTTGCAGCAATTCGCCGCCAAGCAAGCACCCGAACTGAGATGGCTGGACGCGTCTTCGAGATCCCGGTCGAGAAATTTATGGACGAGTTCATTCCTGGACCTAATCTCACCTCGTCTAAGAGAGAGAGGGGCAAGTGGAAGAGTAAATTCAGAGATCTGGAACTGATTACGAAGGAATCACAAATGTACCCTGGTTTCGTGAGCATTTTTCCCATTTTTTCGTGTGTGATCTACGGATTCACAGAGTATATGTGCAAGTGCGCAGCTGTGAACTTGGTGTTGGGCAAGGTCGAGGGCAACCGTCTCGTCGCGCGCGACACGGCAGACTGGGGTGACAAGACCGAAAATGGGGCGAAACTGATGGGCCTCGGTTCTGTGGCGCGACCAAGCGTGTCGATCTATCCAAATCCGCCCGACGCGGTTAGGGACTACGAGCTCACCGCCGTGGATGTCGAGGGGAGCAAGTGCGCGAAGGCTCGACATAGACATCTGGCCAGGGTCTGCTGGCAGCGCCTGTGCATCCCAATCGAGCTCAAGACTGATCACACGTTGTCAGCGTTCGAGTTTCTGAAACCCGAGAAGGAATCGCCTGTCCGGAGCGAGAAAGCGATGGGCCGAGTTGCGGATTGCGCATCGAAGATTCTCCTTGCCCAGCACCGGGAATTCTGCCTTGTGGTCTATGTCTTCAAATCTCTTGTGCGGTTGGTGCGGTGGGACCGGGTCGGGGCGATCGTGTCGGAGCCATTCAATTACGTGACGGGTGGCACATTGCAGACGTTCATCTACAGAGTGGGCCACATGTCGGATGCTGAACTCGGATATGATCCAACTGTTGTTGCTGCTATGCCGGCGGAGATTCAGCTCATGGAGAACTGCAGAGGAAGGTTGAACGACCACCACAAGCAGTGTCTGGACGAGGCAATGTCGCCAAAGTGGCCTATATACAAGGTCGCATTTTATGTCAAGGACCTCGTGGATAGTGAGGCCCTGCGCAAGGATGCTAGATCTGCAGGCCAATCAGTGCCCACTTCCAATTCTACTCCTCATGCATCCCTCGATGATGGCACCACGCTTCCCATAGATGCTTCCAATCCCTCTCTTCACTCGGATGACACGTCCATATCGGAGCCTGTACGATATTTCCTCATCGGTCGCCCACGATTTGCGGCGCACTCACCTACGGGCCGTGCTACACGAGGATATGTGGCCTACGACATGGAAACAGAGAGGTTGGCGTTCTTGAAGGACACGTGGCGGCCCGACTCGTCGAAGATACATCCGGAACGTGAGGTATACGAACGTCTGTACAAGCATGACGTCTCGCACATTGCGACTCTTCTGTGTGGTGGTGACGTCGGTCCAACTTCCGATGAACCCCAACGGACCTGCACCCAAGAATTCGACGAGTCGAAGTCGCTGCTGGGTCGGATCCATTATCGCGTGGTAGTGAAGGAAGTTGGCCGTCCTTTGGATGATCACGAAAACTCTCGGGAGATGCTTTATGTGATCTTCGACGCCCTCACAGGTACGTTATGGTGCTGACTTGCATGTGCATGTCCTCACTCTCACCTTCCAGCTCACCGTGAAGCCTGGGAGCGCGCGGAGGTACTACATCGTGACATCAGCATTGGCAACATTCTGATCGACGAAGACCCTGACAATCCAGGTTACCACGGTGCTGTCCCCAAGGTCATCAAGGGGTTTCTGAACGACTGGGACCTCTGCAAGTACAAGGATGAGTTGGATAGTGAGCCTACCCAGAAGTCGCGTTCGGCGAGTTTGACCATATTGGGCAGTGTCGTGCACGGGCTAACATCATTCCTCTAGGGAACGTGGCAATTCATGTCAGCATTACTACTTCAATTCCCGAGAAAACGCTACGAAGTTTCGGACGATCTGGAGTCGTTTATGCACGTTGTGAACTGGCTGGCCCTGAAATGGTACCGGCACCGTCTCCGTGCAGGAATAACGCTGCAGCAACATACGGCTGATACTTATGATCACTGGGCCCGTGTTGATGGCTACGATCTGGGTGGGCACGAAAAACTCCAACAGATACGGATCGGCGAAGTACCTTTTATATTGTCCGTCAAGGGTGGGCTCAGCAGCCTTCTCGAGAAGCTCATGGAGCTTTGCCATGAGCATTACAAGACTATCGATATGGTCGCTTTGAAGCTCGGAAGGGCCGAATCTGAAGAGCCCGAGGAAGATCTACCCGAGCTACTGGATGAAACATTTGCCATACATCCAGCGCAGTTGCGACGGATGGTCGCTGTACTTGCCGGACCAGAGACCGGCAGAGACCCGGCACGTGACTTCCATACTACCCAGGTTCCTCGACCAACTTTGTCGAGTCACAGTCTGATCATGGATGCTTTTGCCGAAGTTCTCTCTGGCGAACGTCATCAATGGCGGCAAGACAAAGTCGAGAACCGTTCACTCGGTGCTACGTGACGCTCATTGTCTGTTGGGACTAGAGAATGTGTCGGCAAGTCTCGCAGCGTCGTTCCAGGAGAGCAGCTACGGGCAAAGCCATACTCCAAAACGCAGGTGACACGTCGTTTGGTGGCTCGCTCGGTGCGTGCCATGGATTCCGGGGTTGGTTCTCAACCACATCTGGCGTCAGTCACTGCGTTTTTGCCCTTATGTCTGGGTGCAAGATACCCCCATGGATACGTGGTATAACTAGGACCTGGACTACGCTGCATAGTTCTGCATATCAACCCCCAAGCTGGGTTACCAAGCTTCAAGTGTATCTTTCACTGTGCGATCCCCTGTAGTGAACAAGGTGATACGTTGGCTATGCCGCGCAGCACGTAGTCACTAGCAGTCTAGAAGCTACAGCATACACTTCCTAGGCTACAAGAAATATCAAACTTCAGCTATATTGGTGATGCTCCATGGCTACCATCAACAACACCCGTCTATTACATTATATACTAATAGTAGATACTCCTGATGCGCTCACATCCCCTACTGCATACCTAATCACACCTGCAACAGAATAGACTTTGCATGTCGATCTTCCGATGGGGTTTGCGACGCAGTCTGTTTCTCACATACCTGTCACGAGAGGTGTCAATGGAGCATCCCAACTTTGGACAAACACAAGAATTGTAGAGCACATCGCATGTTTAGCCATGACCCGAGAGACCAAGAGCATGCAGAGACTATGTCATGCAGATAGAAGGCAACGCAGCACTCCTCGCTCTTAAGGTGACGGCGACGGCACGCCAGAAATATGTTTAGACAGCGGTCAACGGGCCAGTGAATCTGTGGATGGAAGGGCGCGGAACCAGCACGTAGTGTACGCCAGGTGAACTTGACCTTGGACACGATGATGCGCTTGGGCCGATGGAGGCCTGAACTTAGCACTAGTTATATGTACGTCAAGCTTGAAATCGCTACGTGGAATAGCCAATGTAGCTGGTGCAAGGTACACCAGAAAGCCTGTATAGAAAGGAGCACAGTGATGTAGTATAGCTCACGTAGCAGATGGTCGTAGATAAGTGAGATCGTGCACCAAATGCGATGCATAAGCTATGTGGGCTAGCACACATCTTTCACATCAAGATTTATGACATAGCAGTGGGGGTCACAGCTATGTTCGCTATCTGCCCTACTCCGCCTATCTTCACATTGCGATTTCGGCTACCCATCAAACTATGTATTCTATCTGGCGTAGCCTATTCGTAGCAGACCCCCTACTAGAACGGCGAAAACACAGTGAGTGCTAGAGGAGTAAAGGTGGTGGGCTTCTCGACGGTCTAGTTCGCAGGACGTTCAGGCTTCGGAGATGCTACATATATCCTCGTATGTGTAATCCACTAACGATCTAAGCTCATGCCGGTACCAAACGTTGTACTTTTGCCTCTTGGTTGTGATCGTGACTGCGCACTGCGCGGGTGCCAGACGTGATCATATATAGGATTGAAGGTCTGACATGGATTTCTCGTTTCGGGCGGGTACGGGGTCTGTTCGTGTCCTAGTGAAGGCCCCGTTAGCCCCAATCGCTGCGTCGCGGCCGGGTGGTATATGCCATGGCCATTCGGTCACTTCCGCGGAACTACATATCTCAGGCCCCAGCAGTCAAGCTTGTTCGACGTTATGCGGGTCCGATGTTCTGTACGGTGGCCGATTGCGGACCCTGTGATAGTGGCCAGTGTGGCTGGGCCGGATTTATGTGGCCAAGACTTCAGCCTGAGAACGGCCAGCACGGCGAATATCCTGTGTTCGCGTCCTAATTGTGTGTGAGTTTGATACACGGGTTTGTCTGACAAACTTTCGACCATTGCCAGCGCGATCAGGATGACTGATACGACTCGGACAGCTTGGAATTCGGCGATGCAGACGTAACTTCGAAGGAAGCGGATGCGTGTCTTCGGTTTGTGGGCACTCTCATCTACAAATTCTACAGATTCACTGACCGTGCAGCGATGAATTCAGTGTTTAAAAGGTCAAAGACAAGCGTGCCCGAGTCGTCACACACTACGCCGCAGATTGGTTTGGTGCTCCAAGGCCTTCGCATGCGCAGTTATCACTTGAGGTAATCAGGCCCAGGTCTTCTCAACGACTCTTGCTACTGCTACGTTTGCACTCATCACTCTGGCCGGCAGCGGGAGAAACTCGGTCGGGTAGCTGTGATGGGACGGTGAAATCTGCTAGGCTTTTACTCGAGGGCAGGAATTCGCAAAGATACATCGAAGCAAACTCGCTACTGCAGTTCCACAAGCCCGATTCGCAGAACCCCAGTCGCTGCGTCTCATATTCTTACTCAGGTGGGGAAGGTGAGAGCTAGCTTCGCGACTAGTACGCATAACGAATACATTTTTCACCACGTGTGGAATCAGGTGCTACACGTACCGCTCATGTCTTATATCTCTGGAAGTCTCGCGCCCGCTCTCCATTCCACTGGCACTCGGAGCCATCCTCGTCAAACCCAGTGCCCTTTTCGCACGCTCAATTCGCTGCGATCTCTGCCGCTCGATTAATATCACCGCCACTGCGAGTTCCGAGTCCTCTCGGATGATTTAGTGGTTCACCAGCTGTGTTGGAGGGACAGCGTCGCCCTGCGCATGCGATCCAACCACATCCTTTGCGCGCAGCGGGCGCCAGGCTAGGCAGTGCGCAGTTTGAGATGCCGCAGCCGTGCGCCTCCCCTCGAAAGACTCTGCAATGTACAAGGTGCCTTTACTCCGCGCCCGTGGAGTTTCAGTCGGTGGGGGTTGCGCTGCGCGTCTGCTCGCTTCAGATCTCCGCCATAAGTGGAGTTTGGTCCGCCCCGTGTAACGTGGACCTCCGACCGGAGTCCACAGGATTCTTCGCGCGCAAGCTCCAACGTGCAGCTGCGCCGCGCCGCGTCGCAAGTACTCCATAGTCACCAGCCATGTCAATGATCCTGGTATCCCTCAGGTGAATCTGTTCGGTATTCGCTTCGTGTTCGCGCTCTTGCAGATCTGCGCTGGTGAGGCTGCGACAGGGTTCGTGGCATGCTGCGCTCCGCACTGAGAAGACGCGACCGACCGAGCGTCTACAGAACTAGGAGGCGCGTCGCGAGAGCTGTGCTCCGGTCGTGATGATCAACGGAGGTAGCCCACCCGACTCTCGGTGCCTCGGGTTATCTCCGAGTCTGCCTCTGCATTCCTCAAATATGCAGCCCGGTGCTCGCATATCAGACACCTCCCCTTCTCCACCTCAACCCCTCACGCCAACCACTAAAAAAGCCCTGAGCCATGACCGCGAGGATGCCCCAGGAACCGCCGCCTGTCCTAACATATGACGCACACCGCGGCACGTACGATGCACCCCCGACCTGGACACCTCCGCAGGGCCCGTCCCGCTCCTCATCCGCATATGGCGCGCGCTCGCCGTCCGAGAAGTCCAGCCCAAACTCTGCACCATCCCCTTCTCCCTCAGCGGTGGACGCGCCATCGTCATTCTCGCGTCCCGCCCCGAGCACGATCGCGTACGCGCCCTTCCGCATCACCGCACACGAGGGCTTCAGCGTGAACCTTGGCCACGGATTTCCCGTGCTGCCCCCGCCCGACTCGCCGTTTGCGGACCACGATGTTGTGCAGAACGACTGGGCGCGCTTCCTCACTGACATCAAGCGCGCGGGCTCGCTCGACGGCGTCCCAGTTCACATGAGGAACGGCCCCGTCGGCGAACTGCTGGATCAATGGAACCGCGTACGTCCCAGCCTTATCTCTCGTGAATGCTCGCGCTCACCGCCTTTGGGGAATAGTATTTCTTCCACCCGCGTCGCATGCACGTCGTACTCGCGCTGGGGAACACCGCGTACACCGGGCGGGACCCAGTTCCAGCGGACACTGTCGAACGACAACATCTACAACAACGCCAATCGCAATCAAGCTTCGGCGGACGGGGACAGCAGTCAGCGTACGACGACGACTCGAGCGACTCCGACGGCGGCGGGCGGTTTGGCGGAGGGCGCCCGCGCCTGCTTGGCGGGATCGTCGGCGGGATCTTGGGCGGCGGCCGTGACCGCCGGGACGCGCGCAGGCGACGCAGGAGGGAGCGCGGCGGGCTTATCTCCGGCCTAGTGGGTTTAGGTGCGAGTGCGATCACGGGAGCCGTGCAGAATGCTACCGCGAGCAGGGGTGGGGGTGTGAGCGCGAGCGCGAGCGGTCAGGCAATTCCTGGGACGGAGGATAAGTGGAGGATCGTTATTTCGTACCGGCCGTGATACTTGCTGGAGAGGGGTTCGGATATGCATATATGGTGCTATATAGGATCGGTGCCAAGTGCGTTCATGCTTGTTTTATATATTCTAGCTGTGACTTTGTGGTCCCTCTCGGAAGATATCTGCTCGTGCAAGCCTCACGAAGCATTCGATCATTGCCAGGATATCAGCAGAGAGTGCGGTTCCACGCAGCAGAAAGACGAACTCACCAAAGTTATCCATAAACCGAGTACTCGAGTGGGACATAGGGTCACAAGTCCACGGTTCAGCGGACATGTTCGAATCGAGTTTGAAACTTAGCGTTTTATATGTTGTCTGTGTCATTCCAGTCGACAAGCCGTATAACGACTCTGGTATGAATTCAAGAAACATCTACTCTAGCCTGCTCTAAAACAACCACGGGCCTACTATCAAAGTACGTATCAGCGACACGCCTAACAAGACACAAGGAGGGACGCGGTATAGCGACAAAGAGAAGACGCACCTCGCCCCTTGACAACCTCGGGTCCGATCTGTAGGCAGCTCTGGTGGATGAGGTTGAGCGCCTTGACGGCGTCGCGGCCGTCGATGACACATGAGATGTTGATCTCGTTCGCGCCCTGGGAGATCATCTCGATGTTCACACTGCCCTGTCCGAGCGTTGTGAACATGCGCCCCGCAATCCCCACCATGTGCCGCATCTTTTTCCCCACAAGCGAAAGAATCGCCATGTCGCGGCTGACCGTGACCTGCAGCACAAATCAGCATTTCCCGCAGAAACAGACAACGAAGGTGCTAGGATGGTAGGAAGGGAGTAAACAAAAGGGAGCGCGACACGCACCGACCCGCTCTTCCGGAGCTCGCGCACGACGCGGTCGAGGACCTTCTTGTCCCACGCGTCCTCGATCGCCATGCTGACGTGCACCTCGCTCGTGCTGATCAGGTCCACGACGACGCCGTGCCGGTCGAGCGTGCCGAAGATCCCCGCGAGGAACCCGTGCGACACGCTCTTCCGGTTCGAGCTGACGTTCAGCACCACGATCCGCTCCTTGATCGTTACCGCCGTCGGGAGCTTGCGCTCGTACGAGCTACCCAGAGCCCGCACGAGCGCCTCGGGGGCCGTGTCGGGGAAGGAAGGCCCGTCGAGGTCTGCGTCCGGGTGGATCACGGTGCCTCCGCCGTGAGGGTTCTCGACATTTTTTATGCGTATTGGGATCTTCCGCCGGATGACCTGCGCGTCACGTCAGCTGCAGTTCGACTTCCAGTTCCCGAAACGCACCTGCTCCATCGTGAACGGGTGCACGACCTCGCTGCCGTAGTACGTCAGCTCCGCAGCTTCCTCCGGGGAAATGATCGGGATAAGACGCGCCGTTGGCACCTTGCGTGGGTCTGCGGTGAAGATCCCGTCCACCTCCTTCCAGATCTGCAGCTCGGACGCGCCGAGGCCCACCGCGAGCAGCGCGGAGAGTAAATCTGTGTATCCCCGGCCGACCTGCCGCAGTAGGGAACCCGGGACAGGGCCGAAGAAACCTTCAGAAAAAGGTTACACTACGCCCTTGTCCCGAAATAAAATAAAGACGTGCCGGTGACTACGGGTATACGGTTGCCGCACTGTCTAATGCGCTCGCCGACTGCCTCCGCAACGCGGTCATAGAAGTCCTGGCCGAGCGTCTCGGTTTGAGAGGACGCCTCGCCCTCTTCTGGGAGGGGAACGATGTGCTCGAGGCTCACGTACTCGGCGTCGATGCCCTGAAAGGAAATAGTGAGAATGCACAATGGTGACGTGATTATGGCACTCACTCGATCCCGCAAAATGGCGGTCATCATCTTGCACGCTAACCGCTCGCCGAAACCGACTATATTGTCCTTGGATCTCGGGGAGACTTCATCGATGACCTGAGTGTGTGAGTTGACGAACCGCACCAGTGTGATGCAATGAAATAACGTACCTGCGTCGCAAACAAGAATGACGCCAGCCCATCGCAGTCCCGCTCGATCTCTGCCTCCAGCTCGTGCAAGATCTCCTGGTCGCGGATGGACGATCGTGCGGCGACGAGATGCTCCGTGCGGATGATGTCCACCGTGTGGCTGAATACGGGACGGAACGATGGGATGGACAACGAGCCAAACGCAGACGTCGAGCCCGAACGCGGGGACGACGCGCTGCGCTGCCTTGGACTGTCCGGGGGCGACTGCACACGCGCGAGCTGCGTGAAGAGCATACCGGGTGTGACGCTCCCTGGCGTCTCCGTTGAGTGATTCGGGCGCTGCAGTGCCTCGCTCGAGGCACGCAAGAGGAGGTTCGTCGTTCCGAGGGCCTTAGTGGACCCCGAGCGGGCGGAACAGACGATGGCGACCTTGTGCTGGTCCACGTACTCCCTGCACACGCGTAAAAAAACAGAGAATCGCGAGTTATGCCAGTTGTGTGCGAACGCAGGCGCGGCGATGTACGAACGAGACTATGTCTTCAGCGATTTTGACGGCGAATTTGCCAACGCTCGTCCCGCCGAACTTTTGCACGAGCCATTTGGCCGCTGGATCGATCGTATTTTGGTGCATGTTGGGGGGCGTAGAAGGCGAACTTTCTGAGGACAGCGAGTTGGGCGACGATGAGGGGGAGGAGGACGAAGGAGAAGAGTCGGACATGATGAAAGTCTTGGTCAAAATGATGTGAGAAGGCTCGGTCAAAGTCCATATAACTAAGCCAGGAAATGACTCACTCTAGGCCAGATGAGACCACCTGGAATATTTTTTGCTTGACGGTAAATCTGACGTTCTTGCGTGGATTCTGCAGCGGCACGCAGTGGGAACTCCGATGAGTCCGTCACTAAGAAGTCTGTCGTCGAAGTCTAAAAATCGCAGAACGTGGCTATTGGGAATCGCTGCCGCCTAGCTGCACAGAATGCAATGATACTTTATCGGAAAGTTCTAATGATACAGGGGGCACATGCAGTGGAGGAATAGGAATTTTTGTCGCCGTTTTACACGTTCGTAGCGAAGACCGGCAGTGAGATCAGATCTTGTGTCTTGGAGGTTACATATGCCGACCTTGTTAGCTTATTATAAGTGAGTAAGGGGATCCAAGGACGGTTTACCAGGGTTAGAACTAGGGCAATCGGAGTTTAAACAATTTAGTTTGACGATATCGCCTATGTCACGACCTCACCACAGCACCCAACTTTCTGTGTTCGCAGTTCAGAGAATGGCGGATGCGTCATTCAAGGACGTTCCGGAGATATTTGAGGTCAGTCTAATTCAACGGTGCGTGCGTTGTACTCAGGTTGTTGTCAGGTGGAATTGGGAGAATCATTAGCTGCGCGAACGGAAAGCCTATGTTAGTTGTACCCGTGCAGCCTTGTTCCCAGACGCTGAAAGATTAGCATAGCAACCTTCCGCGAGCTCGGACCACCGGACTTGTGTCATGTTGTAAAAAGCACGGGGCGCAGCGGACAGCGCGATGTAAGTGGCTCACAATATCGAGCGCGTTCCATTGACCACACGTTCGCAGATCGGGTCGTACCATTACGTGTCTGGAGTAGACGCTTCATCATCCGCTTCCCTCGCTGCATACATCAACTCGCTCACGTACGCCATAGAAGATGACTCGGGCTGGTTCTCGAAAGGTTCAGCGTGGAAGGTGCGCAATGGATGTTACTGGTGAGTGCCTTGCTGTATTTGTTCACGCATTAGGACTGACGTTGAGTGTCAGCTGCTTCAACGCGTTCTCTCGGGTAGACGTGCGCGTAGACGTGAAGATTCCAGGAGGGGTGCACGCTTATATCGTCGATCTTCGCGGAGAGAGGCGCGTGTATTTCATCGCAAGCTTCCAGTTATGGCTTACCTGTTGATTGGCAGACACGAAACGACTCCAGACGAAGGCCAGGAGATGTGGCAGGAGACATATCTCTCAGCCATCCTGCGCGCAATCCTGTACTCTGACGATCCCGCATATTGGCTCGAGGCCTACCGTAAACTTGATCCCATCACCACTCCCGAAAGCGAGCTGCGATTCTTACAAGCAGCAGAAGTGCTGTTCATGAAAGGTACGGTCTCACAGTCCTTTGCAGGATACTCTTTCACGCGAAATGCAGGCTGGCAGGTGGGCTCGGAGCCTGAGATCCAGGTTGCGACGGTAGTGTCGAACCATCTGACGACTGCGGTGATGAAGTACTTCGGCGACAGCGGACGATACCAGTACGCGGCGAACCTGTTCGAGAAAATCAGCGCGAAAGAGCCTGAGGTGTCGTCGCTGCTCGCGAAGAGCTACATCGGGATGAGTGCGTATGTTCCGCTTTGTGTTGGTCGGCGTTGTCGCTGAGCAATTTCAGACGAGGAAGTCAAGGCTGTACAGATCATGGCGGCCGCAATCAAGCAGACGTCGCAATCATATACCCTCCTGCACGTGCAGTGCGATTTCCTCCGCTCGAAAGGCAATCACGAATGGGCATTGAAGCTTGCGAAGCAGGCTGTTAATTGCGCGCCAAGCGAGTTCGTGACATGGGAGAAACTAACCGAGATCTACATCGACCTGGGACAGTATGAAGCGGTATGTGTCGCGGCGTTCCGTGAAGACTATTGTGATGCTAAGCCAAGCCTCCGCCTCAGGCGCTGCTGACTCTGAACTCATGCCCCATGTTCACGTATAATGGGCGAGATGCTCACCGCAACTTGCCAGCTGCTCGGGTGCATCTTCCACCAAAGGGCCCAATCGTTGAAATCCTTCCCGAGCGAACAAAGACAGAGGACGATGACGTATGTGTCTTCGGGTTCTGTGCCGTGTCTAAATCTCACGGTGTTCGAACGACAGGCTGACCCTGCCTTGCTCCGACTGCCTGCACCAGGATTACGCGGAACTTGGGCACGCGCGTATTCCCTCCTCACGCGCCTTGTCTCAAAGGTTGGCTGGGACGAGCTCCTCAAGACGCGGAGCTCTGTCTTCGTCATGGAAGAGGAATATCGGATGCAGAAGGCCCAGAGCGATCTACGCGCACATTCGTCTCCCTCTGCGACTCCGGTCTCTCCAACATCAAGTGCTAATGGTGCGGATGCAGAATCCAGTGCGGCGACACCGTCGTCCCAGCCGCTACCGCAACGGAACGATTCGCTGAAGAGAGACTCGACCTTGTCCGATTGCGATACCCTCATTTCAGGAGTGGAATTGCAAGCCGATGACGATGCCTCGACACGTGGAGTCGTATCGCCTGCACATTCACAGAAGGGCTCCACTAGCAATGCCACCGACGTCGAAGGGGAGACTTTAGCCGTCTCGAACGGCATCCCTACGATCCGCATATCTACTGAGAGCGATATCGAGAGAGAGAAGGTTGGCGAGGACGCCGCAGAGCTGCCTGCCAATGAAAGTGCAGAAGCGAAGGAGAACGGAGTTAAAGTGGTGAGACGGTCACTTGAGAAGCCTGTGCAGGCTGCCGCCCACTCAGGAGATGGGTCTGAAGAGAGCGAAGCGTCAAAACCCGCTCAGGAGGCATTCTCGTTCACCAATAAGCGTCTGTGCGAGCGATGGCTCGATAATTTGTTCATGGTTCTGTACGAGGTGCGTCATGCAAGAGCTGTGTACGTCAAACACGACTCATAAGACTTCTTCCAGGATCTGCGCGTGTGGACGATCTTCCGCGCAGAAGTCGCTCACTTCAAGACTCAGCACGTCGCGTATAGAAAGACTGCGCTTGAATGGGAGATCCTTGGTGACCTCGGTGTACGCTTGCACCACAAAGAAGACTCCAAGGAAGCGTACCAGCGCTGTCTCGACACGCAGCGGTACTCGTACAAACCGTGGTCCAAGCTCCTTGACACATACGCGGAAGAAGGTGACATCCAACGAACGCTGCAAGTGGCGATTCGTGTTGCGGCGTATCAGTACGGAGAGTACACCGAGATGACGGTGAGTTCATACATAACTCCGCCTCCTCCGTGGTGTTTATTGGGTTGTACAGTATCCAACTCAGATTGCCCGATGCCTGTTCAAGCTCGGACAAATTCACGGCCATGCCAAAATCTCGTATACCTTGTTGAGCATGAATCTTCCGGATCCTGTGATGAAGATCATGGAGAGCTATATTCACTACGGGGAGATATTCAAAGTTGAAGGTTATGACTTTTAATTATTTTGGTTTCGAGTTAGAACTTGTGAATATTTCGTGCTGATACTATATTTGGATTCCCGTTCTCTCGTGTGTGCCGTTCGAAGCGAATATCTGAATACTGAAAGGTCGACCTTGCAGACATCATCGTCAGTTCGTTCGACGCCCGATGGACATAGTATTCGCGGAGTTCGCAAGATGCCGTTCGCGGCTCCTGAGGCCGCCACCTGAGGCCTGAGGCCTGAGTACTCTCAATTTCTGTCGAACTACATACCACCGCGTCTACGACAGATGCGACACGACTGTTGCTTCTTGCGTCTATGGTATTCGTTGTATGCATCATCTAGACCTTTCCTTCTCTGATTTCTATGGCTACCTTTCTTGAACGTAGCCTGTATAGCTTTGTCCAACACTGAGAGCGGTACTTGGCAGTAAACTTATGACACAGGAACAGTTCAAGCTCAAGTTGTCTCAATGTTTAACATTGTGGGCGTCTGGAATCCGTCACAGATGCGCGGGTATGTTGGAGAAGTGTGGCAGCATGTTGTAGTTGAGGGCGGAGCTCGTCTTATCTTAGCATGCCTTTGCCATGACCATAGGCATTCTGGGAACAAGAAGGGCTGTCGCCTTCTATGATATCGTTTCTTTGATGTATCGCTGGACGAGTTTCCAGTTATAGCGCCGTCTCGTTTGTGTTTGATGTGGTCTGCCTCGTGCATTTATTTGAGTCGTGCACATGTTAACCGTAGAGGTGAGACGCGTGTATCTTTCCTTCGTCCTTCCTCCCATCCCCACCCCCAATACTACCCAAGCTGAGATGTCTTCATCATCGGGAGTCCTCCGCCAAACTCTTATACCCAACTTACCGGCAAGCATTCCCGTACGGTACTCTAGATCTTCTGCAGCTCGAGAGGAGATTCGTTTGTTGCTCTCCACTGGATCTGCAGTGATGGGGATAGCAGCCCCGTTGACGGCCACTGGAGGACTTCAAGCCATAGCATTTGCCACGTCAACACAAATCGTCTATCTCTCTGTGGACAGGCGGAATATTACGGGCATCATCTCTTCCGCACAAGAGGCTTTCGAGCGCCTCTTGTCAGGGAGAACGAAGACTCTTCTAGCCGGATTCCAGATGGCATACATTACTCTTCTTATTTCGCGTGTCCTAGGTTGCTCTGTAAGAGGAGTAGACTTGGGTACTCTTTTCTCAAAGAACACCTGGGAACAAAAGTCCCCCTCGGCCCTGGTCCGACTGAAGGTTTGCCCCAATGACCGGATCGACCAGTTTAAGGTCGATGGTCTGTGGGACGTAATGGAAGAATATGATAGAGACACTGCTTGCTTGCGGGCATGGGTATCGGCTTGGTTTGTCCTGTACTTGCCTTCAGATGGCACCGCACTAAGGTCATTCCTTTGCAGTATCGCACACGACAGTCTCTCGGAGATTAAAGGCGCGATTAAAGTGGACACCTCATATTTGTCTACTGAAGTACCACCTGTCTTTTGACTCTACTTTCATTGACTGAACTAGCGTCATCAGCAACTCGCGTGCCTGGCTAGGCTTTGCGTGGAAGTGCATCACCTGCGCTCTCTGAGGCCTAGCGTAACCCAAAACGACAACGTGGAAGTCAAACAGGTGCAAGACGGCTACGAAGTGCAAAATGCTAGATATAAGAACCGACTGCGGAAAAGCTACAGAGTCAGTCCGCTACTATTTCTCTCTTTGTCGCAAACAGTGGATAACAGATGGTTTTTGATCGAAGACGTATGTTGAGATGGAGACGTCAACCGGCCGCATTGTTACCGGCCGCGCTGTGCGTGCAGAAGGGCGACTGACACAGATCAAAACAAGAGGGACGTACAGCGGTCCTGTGCAGAACATTCGCGTAATAGGAAGACAAGAACTGAACGCGGCGGAAAAGGCCTTGGATCAGTTCCTACTTCATGTCTTACAAGGGCAATGGCTCTTGGAAGACTCGTACTTCATCGACAAGATCTGGTTTTCCAGGCAGTATGATAGTGGAACCGCTGAGCCTCTACTGCTTTGTACAAATTCCGGAATACAACTCAATGCATCTCAGCGTGAGGTTGTTTCTGCGATGGTTGACGATGAGAGCCCGATTGTAGTGGCTCACGGTGAGACTGATATTTCCATCTAATATCCACTCATAAATCATATCTCACCAGGACCTCCGGGAACTGGGAAAACTACCACCATCTCGGTAGCAGTTAGCCATTGGGACAACCTCAAAAATTCTGTATGGATCGCCGCCCAGTCAAATGTCGCTGTAAAGAATATTGCTGAGTCTCTGGCGAAGCTCGACGTCGACTTCCGGCTGATTGTCTCAAAAGAATTTTACGTCGAATGGTATATTTTTCCAGGGTCTTCCATGCCCGCGTCTAATGTAATTCAAATGTCAGGCATGAACACCTCTATGGTAAGGTAGAGGAACGTCTCATCCGATCGGACGAGATGCCGGAAGATCTTTGGGACGTGGAGAGGATCTTTGGAGACACTTGTGTAGTATTGTGCACTCTAAGTATGCTCTCCAATCCTGTGATAGAGGATCGTGGCATCTTCTCTCTGGTACCACCTGAGAGGCTTGTCATCGACGAAGCCTCTCAGATAAATATCTCTGACTTCATGGTCTGTACTATAACCGCTACGTGTAGGAATGGTGCTTATATGGTCTTTTCAGCCGCTTTTCTACAAGTTTAATTCACACCTCATCAAGGTCTGCTTTTTTGGTGACCCAAATCAACGTACGAAGTTCGCTATTCGGATAGCCCAACTCTGACCTCTCCCTTAGTTCCACCGTATGGGCAAGATCAGGTGCCATTGAAAAGTGTCTTCGAGGTAGATCATCTTCGCCGGTCAGCACATTTTCTTGCTATTCAATGTAAGTCCATCACAGGATGGTTTAATCACCACTCTATACTGATGTACTAACTTCTTCCAGATCGCATGCCAGAACCAGTGGGACGTTTTATCTCAATGCACGTCTACAATTCCATGCTTCAGTCCGTGCATGATATCCGAGACATGTCCTGCGTGCGGTTCGTTCATGTTGCACATGGATTCGAACGGAAAGCTGGGAAAAGTTGGCGTGTAAGTCCTCGTGATCCTCCGCGTGACAAGTACACTGAATCATGTTGCGCAGAATATACGGGAAGCCCAAACGGTGGTTCATTTGATTTCCCACTACTACAAGGAGAAGAAGTTCGTTGTAGTGTCCCCCTACGACGCGCAGCGGACGGAAATCGAAAACCAGTTGAAAGCTGCCAAGCTGCCGTGGGAGCGCGTGTTTAACGTGGATAGCTTTCAAGGTATGGTCTTATCAGCCGTTCAATTCCTCTTTCTTGAGCCCCTGTATATAGGAAACGAAGATGACTACGTCATCATATCTACTGTCCGCACAGACAGCCCAGGATTCTTGACATCAAATAACAGAACGAATGTGATGTTTTCGCGGTGCAAGAAGGGCATGGTGATTGTCACCAACCGCACTTTCCTGAAAACGTCAGGTAGGGGCACCCTGATTGCGAAGCTTGCCTCCCATTGGGAAAGAAATTATGGTGAACAGCAAACGTGGGCAGATTGGACGCTCGTGGCGGAGGGCAGGACGCACATGCCCGGCATTCTGGCTCGCGCCCCGAGGAGTCTGCCAGTAGGCATATCTATTCCTGCTGCGGGAGTCCCATTCTCCCAGTCCTTTTCTGTGGACCGGGACGAGGAAAGCGAGCTGTTGGGTACGCGGTCAATTCTTTTCGGGTCGATCTATCATTCCGGGCGAAGCTACTACAGTTCTTCGCCGGAACACCCTCTCAGCGCTCCGTCACGACCGCGCCCGGCGCTTGATCTGGAAAATGACTTCCCTCCTCTGCCCCGATCTGCTCCTTCGAATTCTGTCTATCCCACGACAATTCCCACTTTACGAGACTCGGTATGGCGAGCTCGTTCAGGTTGGTCCGAGCAACGACAGACTCAGACTACTGCGCAATCCTCAGTTGGTCGTCGCTCGGACTATCCTGCAGTTCAGCAGCCAAGAGTGGAGGCAAGGCAACCAGATCCGGGACCGTGGATCAAGAGGATGGGGAATCGTGCTTCAGGTACGAACCGAGTTTCCAGTTCCAACACACCTTCGAAGCAGGCAAAGAAGATGCAGCCCTCTATGGGTTCTCAGCGTGTCCCGCACCCTCCGAGCTCTGGCCTAGGGGTCGAACGAGTATCTGGCAGGGTGCTACGCATTATTAATGGAACTGTGTACGTACCTCCTGCCGCGAAGGCGGTAACGATAAAAATCAGCGGTGGAGATGGAGATCGTGGTGCGCAAGATACCCGCAGCCGTAAGAAGCGTCGTGCCAGGAGAAAGGGGACCACCGTGTTGTAGTAATATCGAAATTTATATAACCGTATGATACCCATGTCTTAGATAGTCTTCTCGGTATAAAAGATTATGTTCTCTAGAATTTATAGCTTCTGTCTAGTATCTCCAAAAGACGTGCTCAATAAGCTACCTGAAAATGACAGCAGTCTACAATTTCAAGTTCCCTACTGTCAAATTGAAGTAGCTGTATTCAAATATTACATCACAACTATGCACTACAGACGAGAGTAAACGCAATCATGATGCAGATGTCAGTTCATGAACATCCACGCTCAGACGGACGAACATACGGATCTAGAGCAGGAAAGCATACCGCGAGATGGTCCAAATCAATTCTTCCTTCTCTCTAGAGAGCTTCACTGTCTCCTATGAAAAGGGAGACTGCAGGTGGCATAAACGGAAGTCGATCGCGGTCTTGATAGAATTCGGATGGAAGCACTCCAGGAACGGTGTACCTGTCGTTGTGTCTGGACGGCACGAGCACAGTTAGTACACCAAAACTCGAAAGAACGGCAGAGATCACACGCAACTGAACGCGCACATGGCCTGACACTGTGGTCTCGTCAGTGGCTGGGTTTAAGCCACACCTGATATGTAATCCACACGCGCAGAAACCAGAAACCCAGCGTGTGAAGTGCTCATATAATCGAAGAAATTTTTCCTCACGGAGCTTCTCGAGCTTCCTTACCTCCTGCGCTTGAGCGGTACTCACTTGTTGCCATTCAGGCTCGCAATACAGATGTTGCGTCATGCAATGGTACATCTGCAAGAAACAAATCACGGCTTGAGTCACGATATGGAAGAACGTATGTAGATGTTACGCACCGCTGCACGCCACCCCATGACCACCAAACTCTTTCCGGGCTCACTACACGTGCCGCACGCGAACCTTGCATCGAGCTTATCCATGTTGGCACAAGTTACGGTGTCCGGATCCATTCCGTATGCCTTGAGCATTGTGGACGCACGATCATCACACAGCTGGAGTGACTTCGTGCTCCACGCCTTGCGCGGAAAGAAGTAGCTGCACATAGCAGTCTCGTATGAAGAGCCTACCACAGAGTGAAGTGTCCCGGACGGATGTCGCGGCAGATGATAGAGGTATTTCTCAGCTTTAGGGCAATGATGCATATGCGCTGCAACTTCAGGCCAGAATCGGATACGGTCACACTCGGTGCACTTGAACATCGTCTTCGCAAGTTTCAGCCAGTTTTGTGGGGGTACTGAGTCTGAATCGCTTAGCGGGTGAAGCGTCGAGAGCTGTTCTTCTATGGTGAGCCGCCATCGGTCGAGTGCACCTGGCAGCATTTGGTAAAAGGAACGGTAAGCAACATCCTCATTAGCAGAGTCAGCAGTTGAATCCAAGAGATCACGAATCTCTAGGACATTGAGCAGATCTATCGCATGCGGAACAGTTTCCACGGCGACACTGTTGCGACGAACTTCCTTTAGCGCCCTGTCAAACACAGCCGTACTTCCTTCAGCCATTCCACTCGCTTCCAATCGAGGTAGATCTGATGCAAGTTGGCCATGAGATCCAAGACAGGGCTGCGAATCGTCTCCCAATCTATGACAGAACGAAGATAAATCGCATTTACATAATTCGTTAATGGTGGGTGCGGATTGCGTACCTGCTTCAGTGAGTGGCTCCACTTTATCGACTCCGGGAAGTTGTAACAGTAGTCGTCGTGGCTGACCGGGATAAAGCACGTCCTCCTCGTACCCCACATCATTCATCTAGCAATAATGCTATGCAGGCGATTGTTAGTCGATGACCGACGAAAATGGAGGGCAACATACTTTGCCATCCGTTTAGACTTGATCTCTTGCGATAGTTCCCTGCGAGCAATTTCAGTGGCTACGGCTCAGGGCTGAACCAGTTCGATATGCTAAAAGAACAATAGTTCAGAATTTGAATAATCGGCTTACCACGGCACACTCACTGCCATTATCTGGGTATGAAGGGTCTTATACCCTTCCAAAATATTTTTGAGGATTCCGGTGTCTCCGCTTCTTCTAGCAGGGCTTTGAGACGTTCGGCATCGGCACGGTGGAATGCCCAGAAAGTAATGGTCTTCCAACGTTTCGCCTGTGAGGATAACTCTGTGTGACATATCGGTCACTTTCATCAATGGTCTCTGCAACAATGACACTCACCTAGACGTCTCACGAAAACACTCCGACAAGCTCGAGTGGTCGCTTTATCTATGGTTCCCTTGAAGAAAGCGTCGTCCACAATCCTGTACAGTCGTAAAAGGCAATGAGTTCGCATTGAAGATTACAGCGGATGTCATCTACTCGTCGACTTACATCTTGGGCTTACAAGGTGGACAATATCGTGCATTAAATTCCCAGAGGGTCTCTCCGATATCGCTCTTGCCTCAACCATGGCAATGACGTCCGAACAAAAGGTCAACATAACGGGGCTCGCTCAGAAAAGGAGGACAAGGAGGAACAGGTGGACAGCGTGGAAGTTTCTCAATATAAGTGAAGGCAGCCCTCCACAGTTCGATATGTCTTTTGTCCATCAAGGTGTTTCTGAAGGCCCTACTAGTCCTAGCCAAGTTGAGCAAGTCAAAGGGCAGAGCACATCGGAAAATCTGTACGACGCGTCAGTTTCATGCCAGTATATACTTATGACGCACCTCAAACATGAGTTCAAGAGGAAGATTCACTAAATTTACCGCGACGACCAACTGTGGCGCTGACGACGATGGCGAAAACCCGTCGTCTGCATCCACCATAATACGGCGGCGTTTCGACTGCTCCTCGGCTTCAGAAGATGTGCCTAACTCTAGAGTGCGTTTCATGTTCATAGTGTCGCCAGCTCGAGGAAGTGGCTGTGGGTAGAAGCGGGGAGTGGGCCACTTATAAGCCCATGACAAGGTTCAAAAGCGTGTCAAACACGCGTTGCATTCATTTAGCGCAATCTACCCATTGTTCTCCTAAAATTGAAAGTCTCCGCAAGCGTGACTTACCGTTTCTAAATAAGAACATATTTGCCACAATACAGTCCCAGGTCCGCACAAGAAAACACATCTGTCTGCCAGAAGCTTTGCCCACGGTGCTTCTCATGAAAATAAACGTCGCAGAACACTGAACACGGTGAAGCAATGATAAAACCAGTAACGAGAGGAGAAGGTGAGATTCAGACTTCAAGTGAGTGCGAGTCAGTGTGCAGGTCTTGCAAGCGCCCATGCGCGACTTCCCGCCGGGCGCCGATAGGACCCCCGCGAATCCACTGAGAGCTCCGATGCACCCATCCCCGAAAAATGGGCCGCCGGAGGCAAAATGTTCGATCTTCGACCCCCGAAAATGGCCAAAAAGTCGTCGAAAGTTAGGTGCGAAACACCCCCGAAATGTAACCCTCCAACCTGAGGTTAGGTCCAGAACCCCCGGAAACTGAGGTTGGCTGGCGGATCTCTCAGGTTGCGGAGGATCGGCCTCGAATTCAGACATATGTGGTGGTTTAGGAGGAAAATTTTAGTAATTTGGTTGACAAAAGCTTGGGTTTCGCGCAGGAAGCGAAAAATTTGTTCCGCCGGCCGTCGAACGTAATTCTAGGCGGCCGAATGTTCGATCCCACATACCCCCGAAAATGGCCGACCTGCCGCCAGGTTGTGTGCAAACCCCCGAAAATGGGTAGTTGGCCACCCCCGAGAAATGTCGTCGCCGGGATCGGAGCTCTTAGTTGATTCGCGGGGGTCCTGCGCCGATCGTTTGTAGTCCTAGCATCACCAAAACCCAACTTTTTCTTGCAGAGCTATTTTGACTTTTTGGTCTTACAACCCTTATTTAAGGCGATAAGTCTTCAAATAAGTATCAATAAGTCTGATTTCAGACACTCATGTAATATGCATTAGGCCCTTTTTGACCTTATATCCTTAAATAAGGATCATAAGTCCATTTAAGTCATTTAAGTACCCTTTTAAGTAAAAGTTGGGTTTTGCTGATTAGTATGGCATCACTTGCAATTCTTGCAATTCTGTATCCACAACTGACACTTCGGCGCATATACATATAGTGAATGGCGGCGGACCTGCGTTGGGATGATCATGAGATATCTTGAACAAGATCAGCAATCGAGCCACGAGACTTCAGTGTTTCCTCAGAAGTCGAACTTCGAAGCTACAAGCCGATACCTGGCAAGACCGATTAATGGACCTCTGCGTGTTCATGACATCCACGTTCGGATATGATCTGAACAATATGCGTATACGCACTTGAGCAACGCCGGTGGAATATTATCGGTACGTGCTCTTCTCTTCTCGCACGGGACACTTCACATGATTCTACGTAGTATTTATGTAGCACGTTCATCATACACGTGGGGGCAGGCAGTGCAGAAGGCCCATAATATTAATGGAAGGATGAATGTGCAGTCAGCTTTGCGAAGTAAACATTGATCCCGTCCTCTCGACTCAACCTGTCTGGTATCGTGACGAGCCAGATATGTCAGACTCTGCGTCACCTACAGCTCGCATTGCGATTGTCACAGGGGCTGCTCAAGGACTGGGTTTGGCTATCGCATTGCGTCTAGCGGATGACGGCCTCGACGTCGCCGTGAACGATATAGAGTCAAAGAGCCAACAGCTCGCGAAGGTTGCTTCCGATGTTCAGGCAAAGGGCAGGCGAGCTCTTGCGGTTCCTGCCGACGTTTCTCGTGAAGAGCAAGTGGTGGGCATGATTGCGACAGTCGTCAAGACATTGGGCGGTGTCGACGTAGTAGGTCATTGATTCATTCTGCAGACATCTTCCCACAGTTCCATCTTATACAGATGGTGGCCAATGCAGGAATCGCGATTTACAAGCCATTCCTGGAGAGTCAGTGACTTTGTTCCTGATTGACATCGTGTTGGGGGTCAATATTGACTCTTCAATAGCTTCTCTGGAAGACTGGCAGCGCATCACGTCGATCAACCTTCAAGGCGTAGTACTTTGCTACAAGTACGCCGCCCTGCAGATGGTGAAGCAAGGTCGAGGCGGCAGGATTATCGGTACTCCATGTTTCAAATTATCATCGAAGTAGACTCATAGACCTTGTTCCTTCTAGGTGCATGTTCCAGTGCCGGTAAGAAAGGTGAAAGACATTGTTTCCGTCTTCCGAAGTCAAATTATTCACTTGCAAATTGTTAGGTTCCGCGAACCTGTCGGCGTACAGCGCCACCAAGTTTGCCATTCGTGGCGTTACCCAGTCCGCAGGTGAGCATCAAGCCGTGCATACTCTCTCTTGATTGCGTATGACTCATGGGCCCAGCTCTCGAGCTCGGACCACATAAGATCACTGTCAATGCTTACGCACCAGGCTTTATCCTGACAGATCTAGGTGAGATTAAACGTGTTCCTTCCATTGCATACATTTCTTCTATGCTAAGCGAGTCGTTCATAGCTTATCATCCGGATGATAAGACGAATGGCTTACGACCAGGAACAACTATGAAGAAGGTTAGGCCTACCTTAACAAGAAGCCTCCTTTTGTACTGAAGGATACAATTCACGCCAGCTACTCGGATACCGCCCAGATGCACCCGAAGGCGAGCCAGAAGTCGTGGCGAGTGTCGTATCCTACCTTGCAAAGCCCGAAGCACACTTTGTTACCGGTAAGTTACTGCACTCGTTGCCCATCCCTCGGCTACATTGTCTGGCTAATGCCTTGCATTTCAAAGGCCAATCTATCAATATTGATGGCGGTATCGTGTTCGATTGAACAGCAGCTGTACAGAGGGACTACTAATCGTGTGATGCACCCGTCAAAACCACGAGTGACGACTGATTGTAACAGTTGCGCCAGCTTCCGTAAAGAATCCGTTACGACCAAGAATCCGTAGATAAGATACCTCCGTGTAAAGTACAGATATGCAAGAACGAATGGGCGCACAAGCACGCGGCGCTAATATGTTACAAACGAAGGAGCAATGCGGGGTAAACTGAAGGCAACGCTCGCGGAACGTCACTCTTCGGCAGGTAAGTATGGCGGGTATGGACACATTTGCGACGAGTTACAACAGCAACGATAGCAACGAACCGGGCCAGATCATGACTTCGTCTCCACGTCGTACGGACCTGGTGTGGGGGACACGGGAGTCATGGCGCCCTTCGGACCGAGAGGCCAAATGAAACTGCCGGAGAGGTTCGGCGTGGAAGGAGCAGGGGTGAGTGGCCGGGACACAGCCGGAGTGTTGAGCTGTGAGCGGTTGTGTGCGAGGTGGGCACGCACGAGGTGGCCAGCGGCGAGTGCACTGATGAGGGACAGCTCACCAGCCATCACCGCTGCTGCGATGATGCGAGCGAGCTGCTGGGCGTTCTGACCTGGGTTTGTTGGGTGTGCGCCCTTCACGCCGAGCATCTCGAGGATGGCTTGCTGAGGAGCAAGGACAGTGCCGCCACCAATAGTACCAACCTCGATGCAAGGCATAGTAACCGTCATGAGCAGGTCCTCGCCGCTGTTTGTCCTGAAAGCCAATGAGCAACTCGGTTATAACAAAGTCACAAATGAACTATCAACTCACGGCTCCATGAGAGTCATGCAGTTCGAGCTCTCAACATTCTGCGCGGGATCCTGACCGGTTGCCAGGAAGATCGCGGTCAATATATTCGCCGCGTGCGCATTGAAGCCGCCAACGGAGCCAGCCATCGCACTACCGACCAAGTTCTTCTTCGTGTTCAAGTTGCACAGCGCCTCGACTGTCGTCTTCAACACCGACTTCACGATCTTGCCCGGAATGACAGCCTCAGCAACGATACTCTTGCCACGACCTTCGATCCAGTTAATCGCAGCGGGCTTCTTGTCCGTGCAGTAGTTGCCGGACAATGCTAGCACGACCATGGACGGGAACTCCTTCGCCATCGTCTCGAGTGCTTGTTCTGTCGCCTTCGAGATCATATTCATGCCCATCGCGTCGCCGGTGCGCGTTGCGAAGCGCACGAACAACGTCCGGCCAGCCATAGCGCATTTGATGTTCTGCAGCTTGGCGAAGCGTGATGTGGACTCGAAGGACTCCTTGAGGAGCGCATAACCCTCGGGGGACTCGATCCATGCGCGGGCCTCCGCTGCGACGGTGATGGACGGGAAGTCGATGGCGGGGCCGCGGGTCATACCGTCATATGTCAGAACAGTTGTTACGCCGCCGCCGGAGTTCAGTGCCTTGCAGCCACGGGATGTGGAAGCGACTAATGTGCCCTCCGCAGTGGCCATGGGGATAGGGAAGAACTCCCCGTCGACCTTAAGAGGTCCCGCGATACCGATAGGAAGAGGCATGTACCCGATGACGTTCTCACAGCAAGCACCCAGGACGCGTGAATAGTCATAGTTGGTCATCGGAAGGTCGGAATACTCGAGTGTCTTTGTCCTGGACGCACGAGCTATACAGCCCAGGCTGTCAGTAATGTCTCCGCAACCGAATCACTACAAATTGAAAACTCACAAATCAGTGCACGGCGGATCAAGACAGCTCTCTCCAAGTCGCCGAGCATCTTTTCAAGCGCGTACGGTGCGATCTTTCCGTTCTGCGCGAGCAAGATTATCTCTTCGTCGTGGAGCATGGACAACGACACAGAAACCGGTCTGGGACCACTCTCAAAGATATCTATGCACTGCTCGAGCGAACGCAGGTTGTCCATACGCGACTCTTTCCTCGAGAGACCACCTTCCAGGACGGAAAGCGGCGACAACGGCTCCTCAGGTGGGGTGAGCGGCGCACGAAGAATCCGCTCCTGGAGCTTCTGGTCAAGAGTCTCCAGATTGATAGGAGAACTCAAGATGGCTGAAGACTCCCTGGCAGGTAAGAGCGCGTTGGTGATGGACGCGGTCGACGGGACAGCAGAAGCTACGACAACAGGCGCAGCGGGTGGGCACACCGGCGCCTTCTCTAACTGAGGATCGCACCGCGCCCTCGAGCGGAAACGTACGCCGCGGCTGCGCATTGCCCTCACAGCAGCAAGACCTGAGCCGGCGGCGATGCCCTTGAGGAGGAACGCGTTGAGTCCGACACTGATGAAGAGGAAGACCACGGAGAGCTTGGACATCACGGGGTCACCCGCGAGACGGGACCAGCTGGACATGAAGTCCTCGATCGCTTCACTGCTAGACATTGGGGACGACGACGGAGACGCCGGAATGACTCGGACGTAAACGGGCGGGGCGACCTTGACGAGAAGCTCGGAATCGACGGACTCGTTGTTCTGCACAACTTCTTGCTCCGATGCAGCCAGACTCGCCAGGACACTGGCGATGGCAGGGCTCGTGATGTCGACAAGCGGGGCAAGCGGTACAACATCTGTAGATGTCCGGAGGGATTGCCTGTTCTGGCGGGCATGAGCGCCTGCAGGAGCAAGGGTGGTGCAGAAGTTGAGAATGTGCAGTGTCAAGAAAGAGGCAATCTGAAGAAGTACACAAGATTCAGAAAGTCTCTGCGGATCGTCATAGCCACAGAGACTCACCAGAAGCAGCTTCAGTCGTGCTACAGGATTTTCCACTTTCACGGACACCTTGCTGGCCTGCACGTCCTTCAGGACAGAACCCTTGACACCCAGAACAGCAGCCGAGACACGCTCTTTAAGACTCTTCTGCGTCGGGACTTCGGCTTTCGATACAGTATGGGTCAGCGCGGGACGCATAGCACTGCCGTCGGTAGGCGCAGAAATAGAGGTGGAACGGGAGCGGCACATCGCACGAACCATCTTGATACGACGAACCTGTTGAATTAGAACATATACAGGTCATTAGGTTACGACGTCAAGGACAATTAGAGTGGGCAAAAAGAGGATCCGTGGAAGACAATTCGAATAGGAGGGTGCTTAGTCACGTGTGACCGCTCAAAACGCGTGGAAGTGGCAGGTCGTGACGTGACAGGACGCGAATCTAGATCTCGACGCGACGCAGAGGGCAGACTCACCTCGACCATGACGGTCAGCGCCCCAGCGTAGAACGTAGAGAGCATGAGACAGTCCATCACCAGTGCCACGATTGCGACAGAGCAAAACTCTTTCAGACCCCCAACGCCGCTGTTCACGCCGACAAGTAGCATGACAATCTCCAGGGCGTAGTCTCGCAGGTTGACGTTTCCGGTCATGTCGAGAGCTTCGAGGACGACATCGCCAGCAGGCTTCATGTGACCGTCGTCTTGGGTATGGAAAGTGTGTGGGTGTGCCATCACGGCGCGAGCAAAGCGCAGCTGCTTGTCAAAGCCGACAGTGCCGACCAGGAATGGAAGCGCCTCGGTGAGAGACACCGGGTCCAACGGGATATTGAGATATCGGCAGACCGGGAGCGTCATGAGGCCGGCCATGAAAGACGAGGAGAATGTAGCGTTGGAGAGCCAGAAGTTAGAACCAAGAGCCCGCGAGGAGAAGAAGAGACGCAGGAAGGTAGCATGCATCAAGATATAGCCCATGAGCACCACAAAAATATCCAAAGAATCTGCTTTCTGGATACACGTCGTCAGTGAATATTCCAATTCACGGAGACAAAGTATGAGCGCTTGCCTTCGCCAACTCCCAGAAGCGTAGAACGAGGGCGCGCAAGGCATATGCGACCCACTTGCCGCTCTTCATCTCGCGAATAGTCTCCTCACGCTTCACGCTCTCAACAACATACTTAGCACCATCCACAATAATGGCGTTTTCATGTTGGAGAGCTGCCACCCAGTCCTCTCTTGACTCAGGTAGAAATGCGAGGGTCAACATAGACGAGGAATCAGAAGTCGATGTGAAGCAGGGTACGGCGGACATGTTAGACGATGGACGGTAACATAACGACGGATACGTCTGGCCGGACGCTGATGGGAATTCCGTGGCCAGGTGCTTGCCAATGTCAGAAAGCACTGAGCGGTCGAGTGTCGCTTCAGGAGAACCCTGTTATCAGATATGTTAATTACATGTACCTGATGAGCACCTCAACGGAGGGTAGAAGGATTCTACGCGTACCTTCTTGTCGCTCAATGAAAACACTAATGGCTGCAGTTCCACGGTCTTGACGCCATCCTGAGGGTGTTTCCACGCGCCATACCAGTCTCGTTGAGAAACACCCAACCACTCGTTATCACTAAGGCGTGCATGCGCAGGCCGGAGGGTCGCAGGGTACGCCGGAGCCAAAAACCTGGAATGCTTGACGCCGTCCAGCGTGTTGAAATACGCAAGTATAGCCAGCACGAAGATGAAGACTATAGACTCCATCGGGAAGTTGACATTATGAGTCGCGAGCGGACGGAGTAGGGCGCGCATTTTAGAGATAGAGCACTGGCGGCTGGGATAATAGGTCTATGTGATAGTAGGGTCCAATGACGGCCTTCGGAGCAGCAAGGTTATATAGCGGACGTCTGTGAACCTTCGTGAGCATTACAGGCAGGTGGTACGAGGAGGATGTTAATGTTACTGAGACGCTGAAGAAATACCTGTGAGACCACCTGTCAGTAGAGTACTATGGTATGAGTCTATAGGCACAAATAGATAGAAAATAGCCCAGTATCGAGCGGACCGACGATGGCTGAGACAGAACCGGGTCGCCGTTGTCGTCGACAGCAACGGAGAGATATCCAAGCTCAACGGTAAGGCCAGTAGGGCAGGGATAAAAACCGTTAGCTTACGGGAGGTCGAACCACTCCAGAATTTTATGGCGGGCTGCTATTTAGCCACCATCCCAGTTCCCTTTTCTGGCGGTGTCACCCTTACGTAAGCATGCTTCGCGCTATCTCTCCTCGGACAACAGGCACCGGCGTCGTACGACGCATACTACGCGTGTTGTCCTCTTCCCTCCATCGTCGAGTCGCTCTTACGGCGCAGGTCGACTTTATGGTTAGCGTAAAGTCTTGTCGCAGCATCCTGCCGGAGACGGACACACGGGCTATTGTTTCCTGTTCATTTCACACTAGCCCCCTCATCCTGTATATGTCAGTTCGTGCCTTCACAAAGCGCAGGATCTGTCGCATCTCAAACCTTGCCAGAATGAATAGTGCCTCTGAGAACAACGGGTAGGGTCCATGGGTTTCAACTGGCCATGGAAGCCCAAGTCCATGGGTCAGTCTGCGTTGCTAGCGCTCCGCGTCGCCGCTGCGGTTTTAACTCGCAGCGCAGCTCTTTGCCAAGGCATGGCGCTATCGCCTTCGTATTCGTTGACAGGTAGAATTATTCCTACGCCCTCACCGGGACGCTGTGTGGCTATATTTCATAACGAATTTCTGACGAATGACGCCACTGATTGGCATTTAGCTCGAATGCTGGTAGCCTGGTACGGTCAGTGCGCCAAAGACGATTATATCCATGGACCTGGGTCAATGATCATTGGTAATAACAGGTTATAACGACTCCCCCACAATACTCTATTGAAAACAGCTCAGAGAAGAAGGATGCGTCCGCGAGGCATCTCTGGATCATGCAGTCGCAGACTTGTTCCTGATCAACTCGCTCGCTGTGGGACTCCCGTATCGATACTCCCGCCTGACATCACTCTGCCGATGCAGATTGATACTCTCCCGCGCAATGCTATTGAGGGCTCAATCTGGCGCTCCTTGGCTTCTAACGTTGGGCCAACGGCTCGCACGGCCATGGAAGTGTGGGTGCACTCGTCGCCATTGGTACCTCTTCGAGGCGCCAATTTCACTGGTTATCGCGTTTTCTGATGAACACGATCACACCACAAATTCGAGCACTTGTAACCAAATGTTTTGCCCTCGACGCGTGTCTGTATCTATGTGTCCTGGATGCAACGTACCGCATACGTGTGTGAGACATGTTCGCCTTCATTGCGACGAGGCGTCGCTCACCTCGTCAACAGCCTCATTTCCTAGTGGTTGGGACAGTTAACGTTGTCTCCGAACCTCTCGAGCTCATTACGGTGGTTCGACCGTCGATGTCGGCAACTACGCTGTGCATCAACTACTTAGTTCAGGCTAGGCACTAGTGGCCGAGTCGGTGGACGTAAATTGGAGCCTGCAGGGGTCCTCGTTCCCTGTCTGCTAAAAGATAAGTACCCATTGGACCCACAAAGAACGGCTCGATATATTCGGGCAGGCGGGGTTCGGGCCTCTTTCGGACCCTGTTTTGCTCATCTAGCTTGCCTCGCGCACTTACCTAGAGTTACCTCTGGCGACTAGCATAGCACGTGTACACCATGACCCCGTCTTGCTTTAGCTTCTCGAGCTCCAAGACTCTTCGAGGACTTGGATGCGCCGTAATTGACATCTGATCTAAATCCTGAACGTGCATTGTTTGGCTCAGTGGGTGTCGCTGATTCGCGGCTTATCGTTCAAAGAACATCACTTCGAATTCTGTTGTGCGATCGCACTAGTCCGCAGCTGACCGTCCGGGCAACCACGGAAATGTGGTGCTTTCTCTCCTCGAGGTGAAGCTGACGATCCCCATCCTAGTTGTCACACTGTGCCTACGCATCCTCTTTGACGAGAGGCCCGGGTCTCGTCACCAGTAACTCTTCAGAAGTAAATTGAAGTGCTCACCAAACCATGAGAGATCGAACGCGTTTTTGTCTCAGAAGGGACGTGGCTACGGACGTTACTTGTCTCCTCAAATCCCAGACCTTCATGACACTGTCGACACAGAATATAGTTTGTGGGTGCCTGGGAATTCGCAGCATCGCACCAGAGCCGCTTCGGTCGAGCCGTAGGCCAGAAGTCGCCATATCTTGCCTTAATAATTCCCTATCACGTTGCTGCGTCTGCCGGCCGTCCAAGAGTAGCGGACGATTGAAGGCATGCATTGGTCGCGGTCAGATCGTCAAAGCAACGGACTATTAGGCTAGTTCACCGGCAAGTTCTCCATTTCAACTGCCACGGTGCACCGACAATCTGTCGAGGACGTTACTCACGACACGTCAGGTGGTTACATTGGGCTCATTCACGAGTATCTCACCACTCTGAGCAACGATCAAACTCGTGTGCATGTCTTTATCGACACAAAAAAAGACATATTTGCTTCCGTCTGCTGTGGTGCGTTTCCGAGCCAATGAAAGATGGTAACCTGTCTATTGTTTTGGCCTCCCAGAATCTAGTGGAGAGCTGCTGACAGAAATATAACCACTTTGACAATAAGCGGAGGCAGGCGACCCTATTGTCTGCCTCTGGGTTGAGTGCAATGTTTCCACATCCTTTGCGCGGGCTCCCGAGCGAGTAGGGTGTCATCAGAGATGTTCCGACTTCGACATACTGTGTCCGAAAGGGTTGTAACATACGACTGACTGACGACAATGGACATTGAAATCGCGCGTCATGCCAGGAGTCCAGGATATTGCGTTGCGTTCTCAACCGAGACGCGACATGATCCCGTGATTCATTGCTGAAGGCAGCGCTAATTGTCAGAGTAGGATTTTTCGAAGCGGCACTGACCCTCAAGGATTTATCGTGGTTATCAAAGCTCTTTGTGGTTGCGGTCATGCCAGGAACAATTTGCACCAGCCTAGCTACCACGTCACTTGGATGTGAGCTCGCGGGTGAGATGGGGTGAGAAGACCCACCAATTTGAGGCATTTATCCCGTACACTGTTCGATCTTATCGAGCAGATGCGTGGACCCATCATCAGGTGATTTCTCATGAAATAGTCAGCCTGTGGAGAGTACGCCTGCGCACCGGAGTGCGGATGCAGAGTCCGAACACTCTGGCCAGGGACGGCGCAAACGTTGAGGTGGAGAATGGCATGCGTTTTTACTCAACATCCTCCACGCTAACCTTCTCGAGCTTCCCACAACGAGCGACGATCTCGTGAATCTAGTCGTGTATGAAGGGGAGTAAGAAACCGCCTTGCAGTGAATGGCTATGAGAGTCACCGCACGGAGATCAGACTCGCAGCACCTCCGCCCCATGGAAGCTTCGGAGTGCAGGTGGCCCTCTGCAGTCGTGTGTTGAATAGTTCCAAGCCTTCCGTCCGCGCGTAATGAGCGTATGAAGCTCCAGCTTCCTTCCCCGACCCAGTAAGGCTTCACCCGCATTGATTCGAAGCCTTCATCCATCTGCAACTCCCATACCACGACCAACTAGCCGTAACACCAAGCACGCGCTGCGGCTCCTCGGAGTCTGCACCGCTCAGAATGCTCGCAATTTACCGATATAGCCCTTAAATGAAGGCGTGCGACGGTCGCATGCGCAACGCCGCGCATATCACGCTGCAGCGGCGGGCCGCAAAGGAGATCATGCTGTAATGTCTAACGCGGATAGCAAAGTCGTCACCGAAGATCTCGGAGTGGTACAGGGTTTCGGAAGCTTTGAAGCTCGGAGGTAGCGGGATTAGTGTCGGAGTGGTAGCTCCTTCACAGGAAGCATTACCACTTTTATCCATTGGAAATAACCTGGCAAAAAGCATGGAAATCAATAATATATTTTCAGAGGAAAAACCTGGAGAAAAAAGTGAGAAAAGAACAAAACATTCTCACGGTTTTTCCCTTGGAAATAAGTTGCCTACCATATCAGGCAACTGGACATGCCAGGACATGCCAAAACCCGGACAAAATTACCATATTTGGCGACGAACTTATTTCCAGTGGGAAAACTGCGGAAATGCTTTGTTCTTTTACACATTTTTTCCTCATGTTTTTCCCGCAGTATAACTTTATTGATTTCCACACTTTTTCCAAGTTATTTCCTTGGGAAAAAAGGGGTTATGCGTCCTGTGCTTGCGAGTGCCGGCACAGTGCACCCGCCCCACCGGATATGGGTTTATTTGCCTTGGCCAAACAAGCCAGAGTCTCTGGCGAGAAATCCGAGTTTCACGCAACGAAAAATAATGGGCGGACCAGCGGTGTGCAGTCCACCATGGCAATGTACATGTCACGCTTCTTGACTGAGAACTTGAATGAGAAATGTGTGTGCTTGCACGAGTGACATAACATCCGGGTGCGTGTGATAAAGCAGACATGTACAGATAGACGGCTTGTGAAGCAAACTTTGAGCGGAACTTCTCAGGACGTACTACATCATACAACACGAGACGGACCTACGGATCGATAACAGAACAACAGGAACATATACTCGCGATTCCAAAGTCGACCTGGTGCGCCCTCTGATTAAGACTCAAGTGACTGTCTGTAATACAACATGATCTATAACGTCCCTGGCCGCGGCGTAGATGGAATCAAGGACATTTGGGAGCCGCCCGGCTCCGCTTGTTCTGTCGCTTCAACAAGCCACGTATTCGTAGTCACAGGCCTATTTGCGGCTCGTCCTTCTGCCACGACGTCCGGTCGATGGGCGGATGCTGCAGGCACACGTGCAGAACCACCGACTTCGTGTGCGTCAGGAGGTGCTGCACACCAGTCTTTTCTCCGAGAGTGGTTGAGAAGTTCACGGGTCACTTTTTCCCCTTTGGCTTTCGTATCGGGACCTACAGGTGAGTCTGGCTCTCAGAAGGTCCAGCTTGGGCTTCTTGCGAAACCCTTTCCGAATTGGCGGTGCCCTGAATATCCCTGTCAGTGTCTTACATCACGGACATCGTGTGGATTTGCACACCTCTACAGATTGCAAATTTGTGGCTGACGTTTTCCTTCGCCTTGGAGGCTGCTTAGCCACATTCACGTCCACATCCGCAGGCGCCTTCCTCTTCTTCAAGGCTTTCAGCGATCTAGGTTTCAGTTGAGAATTATCTGTAGCATCGTGCGTACCGCTACCAGTATAAATATATCAGTCGAAGAATGGTGGCATCAGCAATGGAATGCAAGCATCAAGAGTAAAAGTAAACATACCCAATCAGAAACATGTCTTCAGGAGTCAATCCCATCACATATTGGTCCACTTTTCCCTCCCACTTTTCTCGGGACAAGGTCGGCTCGAATAGTTGGTGTTCAAAGCCGGCTCCAACTTCTTCAGGAACAAAAAAATTAACATCAACCTGCTGCCCCGCCATGAGATAGGAAGGATGTCAATGCTTTCGAGTCGCTTGACTTTGACTAGGTGGCCCCGAGTGGTAGTGAACTGGAACAGGACTAGTATCCCATCAATGAACGCAAAAGAATCGATGCCTGGAAAGGTTCCCCGCAGCGGTAGTACGTGCGCTGCTGCAGATTACCAGAGATCTGGGTGATATTCTCGAGGGTCACATGGGAATTCATCGTGAGGTCCCTTAGTTTGCTGGTGGAACGACCACGACCGTACGGGAGAGTTCTAAGGGAGCGACTGCGCGATGCAGTACCGCCGAGGAGGTAATGGGCCATATCTTCGAAGATGGTCCCCACCGGCCCTCTTGAGATATTATCCGACAAGAGGTATCGGTAGCTTTGGAGCACGGTTGATGCCAACAGATGCTGTGCCTTCCTGTGAACCAAATTCATGATGTATGGAGTGGCGATCGTTCCGGTGAGGAATTCTCTGTTGATAACCCCATCTACAGTTACAGGCCCCACGACCACCAATACATTGCTGATGGAGTCATCTTAATCACTGTCTTATCGTAGGAAGAGAAAGTTGGGATTTTTGACACTTTCCCAATGCATTACGAATTCAAATTGACGGTAGGCGTCCCAAAGATTCTCGATAGAGCATGATGTGAAGATCTGCAGTGGCCTAAAATAGAATCTGGTCAGATTCTTGTGACAGCTGCATATATAACCTTCAGATGTACACTGCAACACATATATCAGTCCAGGACCAGGGTTTCATGACATACTTTGCTAGCAATATTTTGTTTGACTCATTCCCTGTGTCTGGAAGGTTTCAGTGATGTGGAAAAGACAACCTTCCATAGCCCGAAGTCAGAGCTGTTCCACGTTAGCAGCCCTTGAATGGTATTCGAGTCCAACAGAATCCATCCTCCATCCCTCGTACTGAAATTCCCTCCGGCAACATCTCCTTTGTGTATCTCGAAGATCGCACGACGTAATGCTCCGGCATTCAAGTCGGCTACTGTGATTTTGTAGGAGCCGGACTCTCGAAACACATAGCATGCATCAGGAGTGACTGCGTAGATTGTCGGTAGACATGACCAGCCGTGTGATCAGAGCGTACACCAGGAACAGAGGCTTAATTGGAACGATAAGTACCCAGCGCAGAGAGGATTCACTGCATCGAAATTCCGGACGAACGTTTGTAACAGGTGACATGGCTTTGGCTAAAGCTTGAGTTGAACAACGGGTATAGCGTGCATCCGACGGAACGGGTTCGTTTCGATGATCACTATACGCGCGAATCGGCTGGGCGGGCAGAGGGGTGTCTTGGTACACGAACGCACAAGAGGGTGGGTGGCAGCGAAGGCAGGCTGGTAGACTTCAGTATTAATATTACCACAAAACAACAACAATAAATTGTTTTTACTCAGCGCCCTGTCAACGGAGCAGTTCAACAGCGGTCACAGGACTACTCAGGCTGGCGCGATAGCGCGAGTTGTCGACAAACAGGGGTGAGAGCTAAGTCTAAGCCTTCGCGCTCCACTAGAGAGGGAACGACATGCAGTTGGGGTACATGTCAACTGCAGACAAGCAGCTGCAGCTGATTGGGAGCGGGCTAAGAACTGAGAAAATCTTTGGTCGTGCAACGGCCGGCCTCCGCCAGGGAAAGCCTTGGTATGACCAAGTTTCCTGGTTACAAGACTCCTCGTAAGTACTATCATTGACACGGATATGCCAAATGAGTGCCATATTCTTTTTATACGGTTCTATTCTCTTACCCGATTGCTTCAAAATGTAGAGGTCTCTGTGCCTACTCTTGATGCTGCAAAGTTTTGGAAGGTCGGTGTGGCCTGCTTGCATCACAGAAAATGTGCGATCGCAGGACTTGACTGGTACCACACAGCGGCATGTCTCTACGCCGAGTGCGCATACACAGTCCGGATACTTTGACCACGGACCGCGCAAAAGGTTGAAGCCAAGGTTGGTATGTGTTATCTATCATCCACACCAGCCTTCTCGAACTTCTCATAATGAGCGACGATCTGGTAGTTTGGTGAACCAAGTCGGGGACGCAGAGGAGTAAGAACCCAGGGGAGTCACCGCACGGCCATCGGACTCGGAGCACCTCCTCCGCCCCATGCAAGCTTCGGAGCGCGGATGTCCCTCTGTAGCCATGTGTTGAATGGTTCCAAGCCTCCCGTCCTGCGCATCATGGGCGTATGAAGCTCCAGCTTTGCCGACCTCATTCTCGAGCTACTTCCTAGTTTGCGTGAGAATCGCCAGCTTCATTTCGTGTCTACGTTGCGCCGTCCTCGCGACGGATCACGTCACGGACACTCAGCGCAGGGGTCCGGCGAGAACATCTGTATTTCTGAGTCGTCAGAGCTATGCAGAGCGCTTTATGGACGGATGGACGGCTGTCAACTACCACCGCACATGATGCGGCCTGCAGACATCCTGGCTTGCAGACAATGATGCGGAGATATGTACACTCACTTGCCAGGCTGGTATTATCGCCGGCTGTAGTGGATAAACTTCCCAAAACAGTGCGCAGACGCATGAAGTGTATCCAGCCTGCGGTGCGTGTCGTTCATCTTGTGCAAGATCGAATACGCACGAAGCAACGGGATTCGTCCTGAGGGAAGTATGGACATCGTTCTGTGGGTTGCTGGTTTCCGGCAGGATGATGGAAGCGTACGTGTGGCAGTCAGCGTTGTCTCGGCTTTGCAATGAGCCCATGTCCTTGATGCCATGGTTCTGAAGGATGTCAGGCACTCGTCTCCGGCAAAGCATGTCTGGAGTAGCACCTCCACGTAAACGCACGCTGCCGCTCAGAACCTGCAGGCCGAGCGCTTCTTCCACGAAACACGATAGCTATTCTTGCTAGCCTGCCCCGCCATAGGTGCAATAGCGTCGTGAATCGTGCAGCCTCATATTATCCCCGGCGGAGGATGCTGATCTTCCACCAGCTGACCTGCCAAACACCTGACGAAGCACACCACACCAAACCTCTGACTAGATTCCAATCAGCCACTACGCAAGTGTAGGTCACTCACTGAAGAGGCTGCCCCTCATTATGATCATCCCGTCGTGTCGGTAGCAACTTTCCAGTCTAGGCAACACACTTCTTCGCAGGAGCTTGGATTTTGAACTCGTCCCAACGTTCTCCGATCGAAGCACGGTTCGAAGCATCCGGCTTCCGCTCAGGCAGAGCGTTACCGAGTCCCCGACGGTACCTCCCTAGAATTTGCATCCTTGGCGGTCGATGGCCCCCTCTCAGCGAGGCCTCACCCACATTGACTAAGCTCACGTCGATCTGCAACTCGCATACCACGACCACCCACCCATAACACCATGCACGCGCAGTGGCTCCTCCATGAAGCCCAGAATGCTCGCAGTTCACCGATATAACGTGTAAATGAAGGCGCACGCGACCGCCGCGCGCGCCACGCCGCGCATATCACGCTGCAGCGGCGGGTCGCAGAGGAGATCATGTCGTAATGTCTACTGCGGATAGCGAAGTCGTCACCGCGGATCTCGGAGCGGCTCAGGGTTTCTGAAGGTTTGAAGTTCGGAGGCAGCTGGGTTGGTGTCGTATAGTGGTAGCTCCCAGTGAGTAGTGCTAAACCTCGGAGCGAAGTCGCCTCTTCCGTGCCAGCAGACGTTGGGAAGTTGCAATCCACGGGTTGCGTCAGATTGGCAGAGTGAAGATATTGTAAACGGAGAGACGTACGGATTCCCCGCGGCAAGGTTTGCAGACTACGAAATCCCGTGCAAAACGTGCAGAATCCAAGCTTTATGACCTGCTGCCATAATTCGTCGACTCGAAGACTGGGTAAGTACACTCGATCAGAGAGCAAGAGGGCATATACGTGAAGTAGCTGCCTTCCACTTGCAAATGATCTTCAATTTGAGGATGGTGGTAAGACGCGTTTTCCCAGAGTGATATGAACAAGTACATCGGCCACTTCTCATAAAATAAAGGGTGGTATTGGCAGCGACAGCGCTAGAGCTGCATCATCAGCACGAAAACCTGTCATGGTGCAGTACGCATGGTCAATAGGCGGCCTTCGTAGCACAATTGAAGCGACACCTCCATCTGCATCGTCCCTTTCTGTGAAGAGAATGCGAACAGTTCACTTTATATGTCACACGACCAGGCTTGCAAGCAGTGAACAGCAATACAAACTGTGCATTTGTCAGATCGGGGCAGTCACGACGACGACGATACTCACCTACAGCTACAGCCAATCACTTCTACTAAGTCAATAACGTCCGATACGATATCCTCTAGCGGTCGCCCGAAAAAAAGACACAGAAACGGGGAACTACTCAGCGTTCTTCGCACCATACCTTTCCCAGTACTCCCTCATGCTCTCCAGCTCCGGCGTGCGGCCATTCCTATCCAGCCACGCCATCAGGTCCTTCATTTTGAGGATAGTCGGCACGCTTCCCCGCCCGCCGAGGATGCCCTCGACTTCCTCGATCATGCTCTTTCCCCCGCGTCCGACCTCCTGGCGATCCAGAAGGAGCACGGCGCCCACGACCTCGCCACCCTCCTTTTTTACCGTCGCGATCGCGCCGCGGATAGCCGTGCCGGCAGTAGCGACATCGTCGAGGACAAGCACGCGCTTGCCCTTGACGGGCGCGCCGATCATCACGCCGCCCTCGCCGTGGTCCTTCGCCTCCTTGCGGTCGTACGCGAAACCGACGTCGATTCTGTGGTCGCGGTGCAGGACGAGGGCGGTACCGGCAGCGAAGGGAATGCCCTTGTATGCGGGCCCGAAAATGACGTCGAACGGTGGCAGCCCTGGTTGCGCGGTGAGCGCGTCAGCGATGGTTACGGCGTAGGCGGAGCAGAGCGTGTCCAGAACGGAGCCGTCAGCGAGTAGGCCGGCGTTGAAAAAATACGGAGAAGTCCTGCGATATTTTGTATGTCGGCATTCAGGATAAATCAAAGAAAATGAGTGCGAACCTGCCGGATTTGAGTACAAACGACCCGAATTTGAGAGCACCGACAGACATGGCATGCTCGATGAGCTCGTCCTGGTACTTGTTCAGCGTCGCCATCGTCGCTGGTCCTCCTCTCGCCGTCGAGCTCGACGCAGAGGAAAACTCCCGATTTTAGGGCTAGGACACGGATATTCACGTAAATTCATACCTCGGAACTCCAATCGGAGGATGAACTAGTCTCGTTCACCCCACGGAGGCTGCCGAAAACTAATATGTCGGAGATTAAAAAAACCACTGCACCTCCTTGCTAGAACTTTGAGGGAGCGGTACGTCTGGCTTGCGATGAACTTGGCGGCCGCTAAGATAGTTGTCGCTTACAGTGACAACTACAACATTCAAGCCTGTTCCTTCACCTTTCCTGAAATCTCACCGGGTTGGCGCGTTCGTCCTCACGAGATACAGGTGTATTTAAACAATAATTATTCAGACGCTGCTAATCCTATTCGTTCTGACGAGCTACCGCGATTACTTACCTCGCATTCGACTGCTCACACAGAATCCTCGTGACATGGGGATGACCAGAACTATTTGGAAGATAAGACGTATTCTTGCCAAATTCTGGGCGCCAAAAAGAGCTGCCCAAGGCTTCTCGAGGCTGGTGCCGGTGAGGATTGACAGGCTCTGCTGCCGTTCCTTGTAAGTACTCAACTTTTGTATGCGTCAGCACTGGATGCCAGATTGGGCGAAAGTCACCAGGAAAATCACTCCTTGTTTAGTTGACACTCTCACGTTCAGCGTGTGATCTAGCGGAGCAGAATCACCCGTTCCCCTAGTACTACATTCCGGGCAACCGCCGGGTGATGTTTCCTCTGAATATGAAGCAATTCGCCCGTACCCGAACGTCACTCGGATTCCGGGTGATTGGCTTTTTTTCAGCCGGTAAATGGATGACTCTCACCTCCTTGAACCTTCACAGTGATGCATGCAGGTCGATAGCTTACACAGATACCGGAGTCGCTTCCGATGCTGACTTACATATTTTGCGTCGTGCTGATAGCCCCGGTCAGGATCCAGATCACATTTACTCTTCGAGATACTCAGGCATCGAGGGTCCTGGTATACAAAATCCATTCGGTGACAGGAATAAAGGCAGCCGCTTGTATGCCGATTAAGTACTCGTACATTTGGCGGAGTAAGTCGATATTACTTGGGTCAAATTTGACTTCAACTTACTACTGCATGCACACATTCTCTCAAGTTCCCAGCGCGTTCGCGAAAATTTGGCGGTGAGTCCGGAAGATCTCGGTGTCAATGTGGTTACGACATTGAAAGAGTACTCGGATGTGTGAGCGTGTCCCCGTGCTGAAAACTCTCGTTTGGCTGCTTGCAAAAGAATGATACACAGATTTCGAACCCAACTCACGCCATCCGCATGTGTGCGGCTTCCGAGCAGTGAGCAAGTGGCAAATTTGACGGAAGGACTTCCGGAACCACATCTAGGGAAAGATTGCTCTTGGTACGACCCAGAGGAGCCAGACTGACGGTCCGGACAGACCGGACGAGGCCCGGCAGCGTGTTCAATCTCCGACTGAATATGCCAAGATTTCCGAATCGAGTGGTTTACAAACTGCACCGTAACGGAGCTTCGCGAATACATTTGCCTCCTGCCGTTGCTGCAGCATTCTCCAGTTCTGTGATGGACAGACGGAAGTTTCCTTCACGCCTATATCTCTCCCCACTTTGACGTTCTGTGCCAATCGACGCCACGATTGCGCGGTATGCGCTGCTCTGTCCTAACGCTCCAACTGCTGATCCTGTCGCCCACCATCTCTGTTCACACTACCTGTCGCAACAGATCGTCGCCTGACCTCCGAGTCTCTGCAGAACTCGCCGTGTGCACTACACGAGGCCGTTTGTGACTCTTTTTAACTCTGGTCCTGTTCGTCGCTGCCCTATTCGAATTCACTTAGAGCCTCGCAATCGTAGCTCGACCACTACACCTCCTGCATTTAGCAATATGGGTCTCATGGTCCTGACCGCCCTCGCACAGCTGTTTTCTTTCCACAGTCGCCCCGACTCTAGGCAGCGCGATCCCGAGAAGGCCGAGAGTTCCACAGCACCGAAGGTCAATATCAGCAGCCCGGTTCCCAATGTCACCCAGCCGGTGATCGACGTACATCGGCCTGTGCAGATCCAGGAGCCCCCCGAGATCATCAATCCCGACGCGTATCGCGCCGATGGGCGTACGAACTATTTTTCTGACGACGACAATGACGAGGAGGATGAGCCCACCCGCGACATCCACCGTGACCGGCGCTTCCACCGCTTCGCCACCTGGACGACCACTACGAGTGCACGTTCCTTTACTTTCGCGAGCGTGCCCTTTAGGCGAACCTTCACGGGCGCGACCACCGCGACCGTTCTTCCATGGTATCTCAAGTTGAAGTCGTACATATTGCCCAGCGGGGTTACATCCTCAGAGCTCGAGCATTTCGTGCCTAATTACCGCTGGTCGCCCATCATCTCCGGCGTACTCATCCCGTTTGCCATTCTCCTCGAGATTCCTGGCTTGACGGAGCGGTGGTACATCCAGACGCTGAACAACAAGACCGTCCAGACGAGGCCGAACCCCGTCCTTCTTGACGTTGGTATGGCGCTTTCGATTGCGTGCGCTCTCATCGCAAATATTTGTCTGATCCTTCGGTTTCTTGAGCATCGCATCAAGCTCGTCACCGTACTCTGTATCTTATTTCTAACCCTGCACGGTGTGTGACTGGCATGACTTCGTGTTGTCGAGTCCCCCTTCATATGCCTTGTCGTAGATATTATTAACATTTGTGCCGTCACTATCTTCGGCGTCGAGCATAGAAACAACGATGGGTTTACTTACGGGCAGGCGTTCTGGATGACGCTATGCTCTACGATCGCGTCCACTATCACCAACGTGGGGCTGATATACGACCTAGCTCGCACTCCCGACTTCACGAACAGCGGTGAGTGTCTGCATCTGGTTCTTGCATTTGTCCTGAGTGCTGTCCACAGGCAGCGGACTCACACGGAAACAACGGGCTCTGGTGATCATCGAGATTATACTGCTACTATACGTTGCATTCGGTGCGGCGATCAACTCCATCCTGCTGCACCTGTCATATATCGACGGCCTTTACTTCACCGTCGTGTCCATCGAGACAATCGGGTTCGGGGACATCAAGCCAAACGGCACCGGCTCGCGCGTCTTCATCTGCTTCTACATTGCGTTCGGCATCCTCAATATCGGGTTGTTCGTCGCTATGTGTCGCGAGACAATCTTCGAGGGGCTCGAACTGGGTTACCGGAAGAGAGTGCTGAACATGAGGCAGCGCCGCCACGAGGTACGGCGCTATCGTCGGTGGGAGAAGCGCTGGCGGCGGGCGGTAGAATGGCGGCTGAAGAAGAACGGCCAGCCGGTGTGGGTACCCAACAGCCTCATCCAGCACGACAGCCCGCGCTTCGTCGGTCTTCGCGGGCTGGACGGCTCGAGCCAGCGGAGCTGGGCGTCCCGCATGTGGTTGGCCCTTGGGTGCGGAGGAAGAGCGGAGGCCGATTTCATCCCGTTTTCCGTCATTGGGCACCCGCGGGGGAAGCATCTCAACATCCACGCACTCTCGGACGCGCAGCTTGAGTCCGCCGCGCTCGAGGCGGGCGTGCCGCTGAGCAAGTTCATCGTGCGTCATTGCGGGCCAGCGCAGTCGCCGCCCTCCACGGATGCTGTGCCCACTCCCGCGATCCCGAATGGCATCCATTCGAACGCGATCGCTGCACACATGGGCGCGCCCCATACCCTTGGCGGTTCGTCGGCGTGGCCGTCGCACCCGCAGACGCCCACACACGCGCAGGTTGGCCGGATGGCGGCAATGGTCACCAAGGTCGCGGTGTCGTTTGTCGAGAAATATGGTACGTCCGCGGAGGCTGAGCCTGATGGGGGTGAGGGGCCTGAGGAGATTGATCTACAAACCGACTCCCAGCAGACACCGGCACAGATGCAGGCATCTGTGCAAAGCGCCAGCGAGAAGCGCGAAGACGTCGGAGGCGAGACGGACTCTGGCTACGAGCAAAGTCCTCTGCGGGATAAGGCACCGGAAGACAACGAAGGCGCGGTACATATCGAGATGGGAGACGAGGAAGCTGAGCCCGAGCAGGAACAGGAGGCAGAGGAGCAGGAAGATCTGGATGCAGAGCATCGCAAGGTGCTCTCGCTCTTGGACATCCGGCGGTTCGCGCGCGTGCCCAAATGGGTGCGAGACCTGGCACATGGCACGGGCAGGCAACCTACGCCGTTTTCGTATGACAGATTCAGCGAGAATCTGAAGAAGGAGGAAAGGAGGGCGAACTATGCGAAGGTGTGTGTGAAGTTTCCGTAAAATTTATAATCTTTCTGACGAGCGAACCATTCATTTGCTCACATCAGCTCACCGTCGCATGGTTGTTTTTCTTGATTTTCTGGTTTGTGAGTGTTGGGTTTTAATTTCATCGTTTCCACTGTTGTGCTCGGTTATTTTACTCATCATCGCCTCCCTAGGTTGGCTCAGGCATTTTTTGTGCTACGGAAGGCTGGTCCTATGGTATTGCAATGTACTTTTGTAAGCATTGCATCCCTCGAGTGTCATGTCTTCGGCTCATTCATCGACATAAAGGTTTTGTCGCATTCACGACGACAGGTTACGGCGATTACTCGCCCCAAACCCCTGCCGGGCGCTCGATCTTTGTCGTCTGGGCATTATTCGGTGTTGCGACTCTTACTATTCTCGTATCAGGTACGTACGATCCTCGAGCGACTCTGCCTAATAGTCGCTGATGTAATGGACTTCCGTTCTTGCAGTGATCCAAGAGGCTGGCTCCTCACGATACAAGGATGTTCTGCACTCCCGCGTCTTCGAGAAAGCCGTCAAGAAGTACCGCAAGAAGGAGGCGAAGGAGGCCGCTGAGATGCCGCACACTCCTGCGGGCCTCCAGACCGCCTACCTCAACGCAAGCATGAATGTGCTTTACGGCGGCGCTAACGGAGTTCCGAACGGTAGAGGTGTCACGAATGGGAACGGGAATGGAAACATCAACGGGAATGGCGACAGCAACACATACCCGTCGACCCCTGTCGGCGGTGCGATACCCTCGCCCTTCGAGGCCATTGCCGCACGTCTGGGAAAGTCCCAGGAGGTTGCGCAGCAAGAGCTGGAGGCGCTGCCCGAACAGATCATCATGCATGCGCGCGCGTTCCATGATTACATGGAGTACTTTGTCGGAAACAAGTATGGTTCGATACATCTGCAAGGGGATACTGTCCCTTCGCTCGTACCTGATGAGCTGAAGATGCTGCTGGATGACATTACTCAAGAGGAAGGCACCTCGGAGAGGGTAAAGCGAGAAATCTTGCAAGATAACGAAGCCAGGAATGTAAGCTAGTTAATACTTCGTCCCTGGCATGATACTGATTGTTGCGTTGCAAGGTCTTGTTCGCGCTTAGTGTTGAGCGTGAGTATTGTTATCTGAGATCGCTGTTGAGCGACGTCTCACCTTGACTATCTGCAGGTGCACTGAAACGCATGATCCAAGCTGCGGAACACGCACTCACAAAGATATCTGAGCGCGATACACTCATGGCTCTGCATGAAGAACGACAAAAAGAACGCGCAAAGCGAGCCTCTCGGCGAAGCCTGTCACGGTCACGAAGTCTTTCCGTCTCGCGCTCCGTACGCTCCATACGCTCTGACCACTCTGTGCGCTCTGTGCGGTCGGACATCAGCGACGATGAACCGCGCAGCGGATACTCCACCGCCGAGGAAGGACTAAGTCCCATAAGCCCCGTGCGGGCAACGGAGTTTGCCCCACCAAAACATCCAACTACAATGCATTCTTTTGACCGCTCCGTCCGCCATGATTCTATGTCTCGTTCTCACGCTCGTGCTCGTTCCGTCAGCCTTGTCCCTGTGCGCCTCGGCTCGAGACAGGACACCCATATGTCTGTTCATGTCGCTGCGGAGCAGATGGCCTCTGAGCACAGAACGTCCAGACAGGACACTCCCGTCCCCGAAACAGCTGAAATCATTACACCGGAGTAACATCGTATGGTTCATTATAATTCACTCATAACAGCCGCCAATACGGACGATAATGTCTGTATTACAATACCCCACGGACTCGTTGTATTATATACTCGCTCCACACGTTTGTGCATCATATGTATGAAATACTTCATGTCTTTCATCTCTCAGTGACGGGGTAGAAGTTTCCGTAGCACTAGCTGCGTGTGATGAGTTAGAAATGCCGTTTATCCAATCACTGCAGCGAAGCTGATGAGGCCTGAGTAGATTGGGAAAAGAGGGCAACGACTTTGTCTATACCTAACAGAGTACTGTCAAGTAACGGCTGCATCCAATGCCACGAACTTAAAGAGGTACTCAACACTCAAAGCCGTACACACAGCACTCACACCCTAATATTTCCAGCAGCCCCAAATTACTGCAAATACAATGGCATTACTTACAACATGATCTATTGTCTCCAAGAGCAGAAGTCACGACTACTACGATAAGCCCAGAAGCTCCAATCGGTCACTGGGGAGGTGGTGCGCAACGATCTGCGGACAGGTTGAAATCTAATGGAGGAAAATATGAGCACCGCATTGCTGAGAATCCGGCCGGAAACGACCCACCATTGCCCCACCATTGGGGGAAAGGATGTGCGGTGCCCGCAGCACCGAAGATCGCCTGTAAGTGGGGTCAGTAACAACATAGGGTAGGTGGAACGTAAGCAACGCACGAAGTTCAGGATAAACATAACAACCTGGGTACCGCCATCCATAGCCGCAGCGACAATGTAGCTGAAGACGCATCCAAATCAGCAAGACGCTCATATCATACCGCAATGGGGCACCTCACTTGTACTTTGCGAACCAGCGCGGATAGCGCCTGCGCACCCACCACTGCGAGAAGATGCCGAGCGCCATGCTCGTATTCACCGAGGTGTTGATGCCGACTGAGAGATAGCAGGAGTACTGCATGATGATGGACGTGTTGAGGTGTTGGAAGCCGGCCTTTGGCCAAATGCGGTAGGCGATGTAGAACGGGAGCGGGAGCACCACGCCTATGGCGAGCGATATGGGCACCATGTGGTATATCGAATGCGCGCCGAACATCTGCGGGCCGAGCGCGCCCCACGAGATGGCGTTGGCTAGCGACGCAGCGTCAATACACGAAGGGTGAATGTCACGAGCAGTATGCTTACAGTTGTAGGACTGAGCGTTCTGACCGGACCAGAGACTGGAACGATGATGAGCGGTGATTAGTGAACGGGAAGAAAAACTTCAGCATACCGAGTACCGGAGATTGAGAGTAGAGCTATGTATCACGAAATCAGATGCTGCACTTCTCAAGAATCTGGCGGGAAGACATACCAGGTCGTTGAGCGTTAATAATGGAAATCATCATGGCATCTGCACGAGTTCGTCACTTCATATATCGAGAACGAGAACGAAAGGCGACGCACAGTTCAGCAGAGCTCCGACGACAGTACCCATCAGCTGCATGCAGAACGTGACGCGAGGAGCGAGCTTGCAGTACTGGCCCAACTTCAGGTCCTGCAGGAACGCGATACCCTGTTGCATAGGGTGTGCTCCATACATGGCACCGTACATGTTCGCTACGGGGAGGCCGGGTTCGATGTAGGCTGCACACATCATCAGTGAATGACAAGCGACATGGATGAAAGTTGTTAACCAACCGGTAATCATTTGGAAGAAACCGTTTCCGGATGTGTTGAACTCGGTGAAACCGATAGTGGCAGCGAGCGTCGCGTACATGACGCAGAAGAAGAAGCCGATGATCAAAAGTACGGTGAGCGCCCACCACGAGAGACCAGACTTGCCAGTGTAGTTCGCTGTGAAGATAATCAAGTCAGTCTGACATAGCAACAGCTGCGGGGACTTACTGGCTTGGGCGATAGCGTAGGCACCGAGAAGGACGGCGACGTACCACCACCGAGGGATCTGCTTGTATACCTTCATCTTCTCGTAGTGCTAAGCATAATCACGCGTACATCAGGACACTGATGTGATGCTACAGGGATATGAAGACTTACGGCATCATGGACAAAATACTTGTTTTTGTTCCACGGGTTGAGAGACAGGACAAAGGGCTTGAGGTCATTCCAGTGGTACAGAAAGACATGGCTGACGACAGCGCCAAGCGACAGGTTGGACGTGATCAAGTATAGAGCGTTGGTGGCGGAGAAGTATGCAGGCTACGACCCAGAAGAGTCAGTCCTCTCAAACAACATACGTTCTTTTACGACAACATACACCAAGCTCCTGGTACTTGGCAGGATCGAACTTGCCGTTGGTCAAAAGAGCGGTCTGATCGTATTGAGTTCCGTTCTGGGCCTAGACAAGATATCAAATATTCCGGACATTTGTTCAATAAGAGTTAATCAAGGACTTACAAAAATTGCCTGACTCATGAAGGGGAATTCCTTTGCCTGCCACAAGTTGCCGTAGTACACAGCCGCCATGAGAATGTATGTCAGGCAGATACCGATGTCCTGGTTGAGCTGCAGCCAGAGTGGCGCCCACAAGCAGGAGCTGGTGATCAAATTCCAGTCGAAGCACACTGCGAGAAGACCCATGCCCTCGTTGTTGCTGGCGCCACCGAAGACATTTCTAAACACGGAGCTGGTGTTGTCTGCAAGACAGAAAATGGAGAAGCCGGTAAGAATGGGGAAAATCCCTGTCAACAACCTATCGTCAGTAATGGTACTGTGCACAGTAAATTTGAACATTACACACATTCCGGGACGATCTCCCAAACAAACAGGATCCCAAACACCGACCAAAAGAGGCGCACCCGCTTCGAAGTCATCTGCTGATCATAATGCAGCGCTTGAAACAAGTTAGCGGTGTAGACTGCGCCGCAGTAAATTGTGTCATCAGTGGCTTGCCGGAGACGTGCCGCAAGGTTGACTCACTGTTCGCAGGCCAGAAACATTTGGTTGGCTTCACGAGGACGTCCTGGAGAAGACCGGCATAGCCATAGCCGATCAACTGCGATCCGATGAGAGTAAAGATCGCAATGCCAGCATTCTGTCAACATCGAACGTGGTCCTGCATTAGACGTTTAATCGATCGGGCACATCTCAGCGGCGTACCATGTTGTTGTTGTAATACACTGTCCAGGCAATTTGATCAACTAGGGCGGCACATGACAAAGGAATATGCACTGACACTCCTGCACCGAGATGACCTGGATGGCAACGGCTGAAGTGGCCGCGGTCGACGACATGATAATGATGGCAACATGTTCCTTGACTGTACCGTATTCAGCAAACGTCCCGGAGAAAAATTAAGATAGACTCGCTGTTGAAGGGGCATGGGTTGAGCCACCTAAAGAGGCCTCTCGATGGGATGAACACATGCATGGCATTTCCGATCCAGTACGAGAGGATGAGCAGGAGCAACACGGAGACCGTGAGCGTCTGCGGCTTGAAATAATATATCTGTGCGAGAACACTGCGATAATAGCGGTCAGAGATCTATTCCAGCAATTCAGAAATTGATTTCTGCTTACGCTCCAAAGGCAGAGAAACCAAGACCGAGGAAGACGGTGCGGAAGGTGACGGCCTGCAACTCTGGGTCGTCGCGCGTCGACAACACCTAAAAGGCAATTGGGGAGAATTACCAAAATGAGCACTTGAGTCGATCGAGTTGTTACCCACCTTGATCGCGACTTCGTATGCCTCCTCAACTCGGTACTCCGCCTCGCTCAGCTCGTCGTTGGCCGCGCGCTCCTCGAACTCCTCGACCTCCTTCAGCTGCTCGGCGTCGAGCTGGGGGTCGTCGACTTCCGTGGCGTCGATTACGGCATCGATAGCAACACCCTTGTCGAGAGAGTCGTCGGAGACGTGCTTCTCGTCGTACACAGGCAGTGCTGTGTCGGCCATGGCGGACTCGAAGGTGACAGGGAAGGAAGGGACCTTACCCTGCTGAAGCGAAATTGCTCTTCATATATTGATGGGCTCTCAAAGGCACAACCACATGATAAGACCTCCATCACCCGTTTCGCAGGCGGCAGATGGTTCTATGCGGTGCCACGATAAGTGAATATCCTTATCGTATGCACTCTCATGAGCAGTCTCTGAGGTGTGGATTGTTCCGTGCCTCCATCTGGCAACCTCGTGTGCCTGTCCATGTGGGCCGCCGTCATGCAAGCTACCTTCCACCGGATGCCGTGTACGATAGATACGATACAGAAAGTTCCAGGCAAGTGCTTACCGATGTTTGCTTGCCGGGGTCAACAGCGCCGAACGTCAACTCGCAGATGCTGTTGTCAACAATTGTCACATCCTGAGGATTCTCCAAAAGGCCCTCCTTCTCATGCTGGACAACAGGCCGCTTATCACATGATTAGGTTTCAAACTTTGATCCCCTTCAAAATGCTCAGCCTTAGCATTGCTGCTCATTTTGTGTGTCTACACACATAAATTGCGCGATGATAGATCTGCCTCCGAGATCGGTATACACTCAGCAGGTCCAAAGTCTCATGGACCGAAATAGATCCTTTATCTCCAGCCAACTTGGTGTCGTGTGCTCTCCCCAGGTTTACCCCTGGCGGTGGCGTACAAGCATACGGTGCGCATGCCTTGCGTTCAGGGTGTTGGCACACTAAGTTTGCCTCCCAGCACTGCTCACTCCAGAAGATCATCGTGCCCGATGGTCCCTGGAAAGGCGACTCATTCCAGAACACTCTTCCGAGATGGATATCCACCGCAAATCCACCGTGGTGCTTTTAATCAAGTCCTGTGTCCACAGGCTAAATATCCGCTCTTCCCGCAGGTACGGTTCTACGTATATCCACTACGACTCCGCACCGGCAGGCACAGAAGACTACAGGAGGGGACTTGCGGTCAGCAAAAATGATACCCGCCTCGGCGCCTGCATTCGAGTAATTGCGCTCGCGATTGTGAACCCGCTGTTATCAGGGGTGAACTCCGAGTCCGTCCTTTGGATTCCAGTTCCAGCTACTTACGGACGGGTCTCGTCGATGCCATGTGCTTGACATTCACCTGCCTGGTCGACACGGGTCTATACCACCAAGTAAGCGATAACTGAGTTGCCGTCGAAAAATTGCAGCTCGTGTCTAGAAAAGACTCTGACCCGAACTGTGTAAATTCTCACAAGGACTGCAGGAAATGCTGGCCAACACGTCAAACTGTGCGTATTTGAGTGCGCTATCCTGGACACAGGATCACGCGGTCACTTCCTCGCCTTGCTGACAGGCCCATGAGGGCAGACAAATTTTACAGCATGAGAGGCGCCGCTGGGGGTGTACCGGTGAGTGGGATCACCGCAATTCAGTCGTTGCGGGACCCATCATTACTTACGTCACCGGCAAGAATAACGGGCTGCGAGGTCTTTCAGGACGCGGAAGTGCTGCTGTCCTCCAGGATACGAATGCGAAGAACTCACCATATCTTCGTGCACATCCTTCGGAGGAGAGGCACTTTACCGGCTCGCCGCCGGCGAAGGATCTGCCGCGATCCTAGAACACTCTACAGAACGTGGTAGAACTGCGAAAGTCGATGCGTACGGCCTGCTTGCGAGCTATCTTCGCGGTGCCTTGCAATTGGCTGACCCAGTCCCATGATACTATATCTTCAAGAGATAACGACAAGGCTCCAGTGACGACGATCCTCTTCGCGTCGTTGCTAGTCACTAAGCTAGTTCGCTCGCCGATAATGCTAAGGTCTAATTCATACAGCGTGCCCGCTGACATATATCTACCGAACATTGGTAAACCGTCTAGAAAATATATTGAGTACCGCGATGTATGAGCTTTTGTCCCGTGACAGTGTGGATCGCGACGCTGTGTCTGAAACCGACTGAGTAAGAACATCACTAACCTCTGCCGTTATGTTGCAGATTTTACGGGGATGATGGTCGCATCGGCATTGTCTCTGAATACGCTACGTCACGCCATTGCGCACGAAACATCCGTGCTCTCCACAAAGTCGGAGAGTATGAGCGTCATTCAGGTTTTTTTTGAGTAACCCAGGAGTTTTGGAATGTTCCTTGCATCCTCGAGATAGCACGGTGACAAACACAGAATCGTTTACAGTAGGACCTTGGGACCGCCGTGGGGAGCGCGAGTGTATTATGGGGCGTAAGGGTCTTGTGATCGCACGAGCTTCGTGGTTACAGAACTGGAAGCGAGGAGCCAACTGCTCCTAACAACACGTATAAAAACTCACAATAACGGATGGTATTCTGGACTATATGCCCGAACGATGGCAAATACCCGGCTTCGGCGGGTAACAGACTCTAACTATTCTGGTCGAGTAATGTCGGAATACTCTTAGCGCCCATATAGTGTCACGATTTTGTCACGATTTCATTAAATATCCTTGAGTTACAAATTTCGTTGCCTTTTAAGTCTCCGTTGCTTGACCATATATGGATATGGATGACAATCAATCCATATCTAGTATATGGTCAGGCTCCTAAAACCATCCGTCGCTATAGCGTTCTCGCTCCTATATCCCAACATATGTTTTAGATGATCATGTGACATATGTTTTATGCGACTTACTGTGAGCCGGTCCACTACCGGCGAGCACTCGGAACAAAACAGGAACAGGTTGTCTTCGTTGCAACGTACAGAACGGGTCTGATAAGTACATGGAGATCTCGTAAGTGAATATCGAACGTACCTTCGTTGCAACGTACAGAATGGGTCTGAGTTGCAACGAAGGGGCGACATGCATATGAACCGTCCTCGGGAATAGCCGCGGTGTAACCCTACGTCGGGGTTACACTCCTCCCCGCCGTAAAAAATTTAGACCGTAAGAGGGAGAAAAAAAATTAAGAGAGAGAGAGAGAATTAGTGAGGGGAGTGCAGTAAGTAGGAATCGAGCGCCGCGAGATCTTTGACCTCACGGCCAGGTAGCCAGACATCGTGCTCAGGGCCGTATCCACGGAAGCGGACGAGGTATTGGAATCCGCGACCGCGTGGTCTGTGGTTGACGATTGATTCGACTTCCCATTCCTCCGCACCATCGTCGGTGATGATAGGGCCGGGTTGGTTGTGCTGGCGAGAAGGGAAGAGCGAAGCATCATTCTCGCGCCAGGGTTTGAGGAGCGAGGCATGGAACGTCGGAAAGATATTGGTGGAAGCAGGAAGGTCGAGGGTATATGCAGAGAATTCGGGGTATGCATGGAGGACGTTGTACGGCCCATCGTAGCGTACCATGAATTTAGCAACGCGGTTATCGCCACGCTGCATATAGTCCCATCGACAGTGGAAGGTGGAGAGGAGGACTTTGTCTCCTACTGCATAGGATACCTCTTCGCTGCACGAGCGATTAGCCAGTGCCGCTTGGTTAACCTTCACGAGGAAGAGATTATCCTGAGCTTCCATGACGTCTGTTTCCAGGCATATGAAGAGCTCGGCGGCGCGTGCGGTTTCATCTCAGGTGTCGTTCACCAACGACACATCAGAGAAAGGTGGCACAAGGCGCGGGGAGCGACCGGTCTTTAACTGGAATGGGGAGAACCCAGTCGAGCTATTCACTGTGTTCATGATGCTGAAATGAACGTGGGGTAGGGTGTGCACCCAGCCGCGTTAATTGCGAGCAACATGATATCGCAGAGCTTGGATGACCGTTTTGTTCGAACGTTCGGATGCACCGTCAGTCTGGGGGTGGTACGCGGAAGACATCTTCAGTCGTACGCCAGTAAGGCGGTGAAGGGCCTTCCAGAATTTGCTGATGAACAGTTTGTCGCAGTCGGAGATGATATCGAGGGGCAGGCCATTTTTGCAGTACCAGCGATTAAAGAATTGGGCTGCGAAGGCCTCCGCGGAGATGTCGGTGCACGTGGGGATCAATTGGATGTCCGAATTAAGACGGTCAGTGATGGTGGCGAGGCAGTTGAATCCCTCATCCTCTGGGAGTGGGCTGATGAAGTCGATTGCTATGCTATTGCAGTGGCGATCCGGTACTGGAAGAGGGTGGAGAGGTCCATGAGGCTTGTGAGTCAGGGATTTGTTGTGTTGGCAGTCCTCGCAAGCCGGGATGTACATGTGCTCGAGCTCGGTACGCATGTTGGGCCAGTAGTAGCCGTCATGAATGGCGGCATACGATTTGTCAAAACCGAAGTGGCCAAGTGAGTCATGGGCTAGCCGGAAAATAGCTTCTCGTAGCTCTAGTACGTGCGGAATGACAAGTCGGTCGCCGACGTAGAGGAGGCCGTTTTGATCACGAATGCCGAGTGAACCGGCAGTGGAGCGCAGTTTCTGGCACCACTTGTCTTGTTCGTAGCCCGAACGTATCGCCAAGAGCCATGCAGGGTCTGCGGCGATTGAGAGACAAGTAGCGGCAGCACAGGACATGGCGATCATCTCTGGGATGTCGCAGAGGGAGTGTGTTGCGGTGCGTAGAAGCAACATTGCAGCACATGCGGAGGGGTCGACGATTTCTACATCGGGTGGCAGGCGGGAAAGGATGTCAGCGGCAACATTGTCCTCGCCTTTGATATATTTGATATCAAAGTCGTACTGCACGAGAAATTCCTGCCAATGTGCCTGCCGTCTGGAGAGTTCCTTTTGGCGGAAGAAATTCTCCAAGGTGCGATGGTCCATGTAGACGGTGAAGGGCACGCCTAGTAAGTCAACTCACCACTTTTTAAGTGCATGCACAATCACAAGAAGCTCTTTCTCATGGACAGGGTAGTTGAGTTCTGCACCTTTCAAGGTGCAGCTCTCAAAAGCAACCGGACGCGCTGTCTCCAGTGATTCACCATATGAGAGGAGCGCACCTGTGCGGAAGTCACTGGCATCGCATGACACGAAGATTTTGTTATCACCCATGTTGTCGTGGTCGATGGACGTCAGAACTTCACGACTACAGATGAGGGCTTTGATGTTATCGAAAGCAGCCTGGTGCTCTTCAGACCAAGGTGGGAACAAGAGTTCAGTGTCTTTAGTGGTGAGGGGATTGAGGATGTGTGTGAAGTTGGCAAAATTCGGTAGGAAAGGTGCGATGTAGCGGACGAGACCGAGGAAGGCACGAACCTGGGGCGCGCTGCGCGGCACGGTCCAGTTCAGTATCTTCTCGATCTTCTGCGGGTCTGCTTGGATTCCAACCTGTGAGATGACGTGTCCTAAGAAGGAGAGTTCTGTGAGGAATAGGGAGGTCTTTTTGTCCGAACAGTAGAGATGGTGAGTGCGGAGGGCGTTCAGGACAGTGTGGACATTACAGATGTGTTCCTCGAGGCTCTGCGACCAAATGATGATGTCATCTAGGTAGACGTGGCATATCTTACCGATTAACGGGCAGAGGGCAGAAAACATGTGATGCTGGTGTGTGGAGGGAGCATTGCAGCATCCCTGTGGCATGACGAGCCATTCGTACAGTCCGAATGGGGTGGTAATGGCAGTGTATTTCACATCATCAGGGTGTACGCGGGTCTGAAAGAACGAGTTCATCATGTCAATTTTGCCCCAGATTTTACCTTTCGCGCAATCAGCCAGAATGTCACTGATAAGCGGGAGAGGGTGCATATCAGGGACCGTGTTGGCATTGAGTGCACGATAGTCATTGACCCAGCACGGGAGAGCTGTGGGGTCAGACTTCGGTATGAGGAAAGCAGGCGAAGCATACGGGCTGTCGGAAGGATGCATATGACCAGCGCGGAGATGTCCATCGAGGAGTTGCTTCCAAGCTTCGCGGTACTTTTTGGGGCAGTCATACTGTCGACGTTGAATGAACATGTTGGGGTCTTTGAGTAGAAATTGGTGGTAGACGTTAGTGGGGAGTTCATCGAGGTGGGGTATATCATCAGGGAAGAGGTCGCGGAATTCCTCTTTCACCTTACAATTTTCAGCCTTTAACGTGTCTTGGTATGCAAGTTCCTCAGTGCGTTTCCGGATCGTGTGCACTGCACTCGCTGCAGCATTCGCTGTGTGCTCATCACAGTGGACGTGGCGGTTGGCTGTGTGCTCTTCCAGTTCACGGAAGAGTGGTGTGGTCGCGACAGCGGGAGTAGGTGTAGGTGTTTGCATTACGGAGACAAGGGGATGTTTGCAGATGTCACGCCCGGTGGACTTGTCGGTAACAGAATCGCACTCATGGTCGACAATGAGACGATTCGCTTTCAAGAACGGGCGGCCAACAATGAGACGATTCGCTTTCAAGAACGGGCGGCCAACAATTACAGGGTAACAACAGGATGACACAACGATGGCGCGGCAGGTGACAGAGGACCAGGAAGAATCTGGAGATGAAATATGAAGCTTGACCCACTCGACCGAGTCCTTAGATCCCGTGCCCCACACATCGCCCAACGGAAATGGTTGTGGTAGTTTACGATGACGCAAACCGAGGCAAGACATGAGTTCGGATCTAATCAGAACTGTGGGCGAACCTGAATCAATTAGCATAGGAAGTGGGGCAGAGTCCTGAAGTGGACCATGTACGACCCCGGACCAGGGAATGTGTGCGACGGTAAAGGGAGTGAGGAGAGGTTGCACGTACTCAAGGTCCGAGTCAGAACCAGTGCCGAGGATGCCTGTGGTGGCAGCGAGCGGCACAGATTCGAAGTTGATGGTGCCGACAGAGTATGTAGCATCGTCAACAGAGTCGGTGACAGCAGTGACGTTGGTTCGGGGCTTGGTGTTCTCTTTGCCCTTGGAGCGGCGAGCAGTGTCAACATCTGCCTGGGTGAGCGTATGGTAGGTCGAAGCATCAGGGAAGGAGTCGGTGCAGCGGTCTCATCCATGCTCCTTCTCAGAGATGAAGAACTTCCGGCATTTGAAGCAGCCGTCATTGTTGCGGAGGAGCTTCAGCTCTTCATCGGTGAGAGGGGGGAGCTTGGGACCCTTGCGGCGAGAGATGCCTCCTTTGGTCGTGGTCGAGAGAGGGGGGGGTTTGCCGCGGTTGGACGCACCTGTGATGCGGAGGATATGCGTGCATTCGCACATGCGGACGGTGTCAAGCTGGGAAAGTTTGTCTTTCCAGTCTTTGAATGAGATGATGTTCTTGACGTCGTTGTCATCGCAGGCGAAGCGGAGGTCTTCGCAAATGTTAGCAGAGATTTGGGCTCGGAGTCGAGCATCATCGAGGCGAGAGGTGGTACCACGGAGGGTGGTGTTGAGCTTCTCGATGCTGAGGATCCAGTCTTCGAAGTTCTCATCTTCCTTCTGGTGAGTGCAAAGCAGCTGTGTCAGAACTGCCGAATCCCATCCCTTGGGCAGGAAGTGAGCATGGAAGGTGGAGAGGAAGTCTTTCCACATCATCACGTCGAAGGTGTTGCTGTTGTTATAGTACCAATCGCTGATGATAGCGTCTTGGAATCGCCCGTCACTTTGGCCACCTTCTTGTCATTGGCGACATCACTGTGCTTAAAATACTGCAGGCAGGCATTCTCCCACACATGGGCGATGGCGGGAGTGATCTTGCCCGGAGTGAGGATGGGTGGATGTTTAGTGGAGGACTGAGTGACGGTGGTGAACCCAGATGCGGGAGCAGACATGATTAGGATCGCAGAGGTATCTGAATCTGAGCTCGTTGACAGAGATCTCGAACGTCATAATGCCGCCGGCAATGCAGGTTGGGTAGATAGTGGCGATAGTTCTGAGAGATCAGCCGTTGAGAGGCATGAGAGGGGCGAAGACGGTGGCGATTCAGGGTTCAAGATTTCCTCGATGTTCTCGATGTTATGGAACGGTAGGAGGTGGAGTAGATCTCGAACTCAGGAGCGGGTGTTAGGCGGCAGGGTGGGCAATGCTGAGGTGGTGCGGGATGAACAGTGGTCGATGTCACGGGCATCTACGGTACAATGGTTCCATTGGGGTAACGGCAGTTATGCGGTGGGGCAATGCTTCCGCGGCCTTCTTGGCACGCAGATTGATCCGGCAGATGGGTAGCCTAATGGCTCGGAGATGCACCTTGAGTGAGGTGCACGGTATGAAGTGACAGTCCGTTCGATGTTTTAAAAAAAGTGTGAGCCAGTCCACTACCGGCGAGCACTCGGAACAAAACAGGAACAGGTTGTCTTCGTTGCAACGTACAGAACGGGTCTGATAAGTACATGGAGATCTCGTAAGTGAATATCGAACGTACCTTCATTGCAATGTACAGAACGGGTCTGAGTTGCAATGAAGGGGTGACGTGCATATGAACCGTCCTTGGGAATAGCCGCAGTGTAACCCTACGTCGGGGTTACACTTACCTGTTTGAGAGAGTATTGCCAGAAAAGGATAGCCGAACGAAAGGAGGAGAACGCTATAGGACGGCTGGCCAAACTGGTCATCTGAGGATATGCCGAGTGGGCACTACCTGCATTTCTCCCAGGTTAAACCCTAGCTTAGGTCCTGATTATCCACATTTTCGAAACACTGTCTCCCAAACTTTTGCGTCGCCTCATCGACAATTCCCGCCACACCCTCACGGCTTCTTTACATCATAATGTCTAATTCAAAATGGTCAATCAAGAGGATAAGAGATCTCATCAAATTGAAGTTCAAGAAACGAGCTTGTCTGTGGCAAATCAAAGTTGCCTTGGCGCTGCGAGAGCATCAGAATGACGTAGTTGCAGTTGCCCCGACTGGCGCTGGCAAGACGCTATCATTTTGGATCGGCCTTCTCATGGCGTTAGAAGATAAGGAAGACAAGCTGGTTATTGTTGTCACTCCTTTGAATCTTCTGGGAAAGCAGAATGTGGATACTCTCACAAGTGCAGGCATCAGTGCCATTGCCATTGATGCAAAAACTGCCACGGATGAAGTCTTTCAGGTATGAGTGTTTATTCTTACTTAAAGAAAAAAAGGTTGACAGCAAATGATATGGCAGGATGTAGAAGCACACCGTTATCAGGTGGTAGTAATAAATCCAGAGATTATCATGCAGGAGAATGGTCACTGTGAAAAGCTGTGGAAGAAAACTGCATTCACGAGTAAAATTCTCTATATGGTCTTTGATGAGGGCCACTGCGTGAAAGAGTGGAGTACTTTCCGAGAGAAATACAAGCACGTAGGCAGCCTCCGGTATCTGATCCCAGAGACGGTGCCATTCTATGTTGCATCTGCCACATTGCCCTCACCAGTGCTTGCCGATGTCTCAGACAGTCTCCAGCTCCATCCTAATCATACCGAATACTTCATCCGCTCCAATGACCGTCCCGACATGGCCCTGTCTGCTCACAAGATGCAGCACTCTGCGAGCTCATTTAAAGACCTCGATTTTTTAATCCCAGATGGCTTCAAGGATGGTGATCCACCACCTCCAAAATTCCTCATCTTCTTCGACAATATCAAAGAAGCTGAAGCTGCCATCCAACACCTCCGCAGTCGGCTTCCTGACCAGCTCCGAAATAAAATCAAGCACTTCCATTCCGTTATGACATCAGAATATCGAAGCGATGAATACGAGGCATTGAAGGACAGCGAAAATTACGGGTTATGTGTGACAGATTCATTCGGAATGGTCAGTGCTGATTTTCATGCAAAATCCTACCCCATCTGATCATGCGTCATTTCTAGGGCCTCAATCTCACCAACATAAAGGTGATTATACAGTGGAAGGTACCCAAAAACATGAATACACTATGGCAACGCTTCAGCTGAGCTGCGAGAGGTGCCGGAATTTGGGGGTTTGCAATACTTCTTGCTGAAAAGAGCTACTTTGATGATGAAATCGCAAAGAAGGAACAGTGGAATGCCAAGCGGCGAGAAACAGCAAGCAAGAAACGAAAAAAGCGAGCTTCGCAGGCCACCTTACCTGCAAAATGACCGGCCCTGACTGTCAACCCCTTAGATACACATCCCACGCCAACCCATACTCGCAATATTCAGCCGATCGAGGAGGACAATGGTAGCAAGGGGGAAAGTGATCGTGATAAAGATGAGGCCCACCAGGAGATGCAGATGACAACGACGATTGCAGGACCATCGCGTCTTGTCACAGCAGTGCCAGTCACACTAGGGAGAGCCACTACAGAACCCACAGAGGTGGAGAACAGGTCGACCAGAGAGGAGCTTGAGGAAGAGCGACAACAGCTATACAACAGGCGTGAGAAGTCGAGTGGTCTGCCTACTTGGCCAAAGGAAGCCCACTGCATTGAGCCAGCCATGCTTGATCTGATCAATGCGGAGACAAGAGGTATTGGTTGTCGAAGAAAGGTGATCACCTTGGTATACTCGAATGATAAGCGCAGTATGTCTTGATAACGATCCCGCGCAAATCCCGCATCTCTTTCTCACGCCTAGCCTGCAGTCTCCGACCATCTCGGGTGCGACCGCAACAGCGTGCAAGGTTGCTCTCACTGTGCTCTGAAGCTTCCTGCAGTGTGCTGTGATCTATGCTGTCCAGCGGCATTCGAACATCTGGCCTCAGTTCCTACTATGCAGGCAAGCAAAACAACAAAAAAGTCAAATATTAAGCCGTATGATGCTACCTCATCTGAGCATGACTTGTGCACTCTTCTCCTTGAATGGCGAGATAAGACAGTCCGCAAGACTTTTGGAGCTGCCATTTTCACCAACTATGGCGGCAATATTCTTCTGCCAACACTTCTTCTCCAACGCATCGTGGATTGTGCTCATGCAGGAAAACTCACGTCACTTGAGCAGTTGAAAAAGGAGACTTCATGGAGGAGTGATTGGGTAGAGAAATATGGAGGAACCATTCTCGCTATGGTTCAATCAACACATCCCCTTGCGGTTGATCCTGTACCCCTCTCATCTTTGTCATGTTCTCTGGAGACTGGCAGTGGCGGCGCGAAGAACTCAGAGTCCAGTGTTCCAGATAGCAATGTAATTTAACCCCCTGGACCTGCACGGAAGAAACCAAATCCTCCGACTTGCAGCAGTTGCAGACAGAAGGGCCATACTAGTACGTGTTGCTATTGGTGACCTTCTGTCCCTCGCTCATCACATGGTCATGCGCAGTGCGCAGTACAAAGTGCCCAAATTACTCAAGGAAAGGTCAGCAAGATGAGAATCGTGATCCTAATGCCCATGCCAGTATTCGGGTTGATTTTCGCTGGCTGGATTTGCAACCTTGTCCCCGCCAAATGGTGCAAGATGGTTTGATCTGGATGAGTATGTCTTTCATACCTAGTTCTTGGGCATTATTCATCGTGATTCCTGCCAGATGAAACATTCACTGGACTCCCTGCTGCCCCTTTCACTGGTGGATCATGAAGGTGAGTTGCATTACACGTCAAGGTCTCCATCCGTGCCATCTACTTCAAGCTCAACTTCCAATTCGTCCTTCTCTAGGCCCTCTGTATCTGTCGTGACCAACTTGTACATTCCAGCCTCGAGCGCATCTGTAATTGTATGTCTACTCTTGCGACCTGCCACAAAAACGTGAGTGTTCTTCTTCTGCATATAGGTCGCGAGCTTTTTGAATGTCTGTAGCAATTTAAGCGGGGAGTGCTTGAATGTGCGGTGATCAAGCGTGAACATTTTCTCGAGGTTGATGCGAGCATTCTTGTATACGCCGATAAGAGCTGACTCCTTCAAGATCCATTTCTTTGTACGGTTTGAGAATTTCCCTCCATAAATTCTCTGTGTTGTACTCAGTGAAGTGTAACAATGTTTACTAATGAAGACTTGTACCTTGATGTATAAGTTGTTGTGTTCAACCCACCAGTCTATTGCTCGGAAATGATCCTTCCGCATCTTTGTCAGTTATAAAGGATAATCTTTAGTGCTAATAAGCACAAAAAAAGGATTAACTTCCCGCTAATTAGGCAGGCCCTTCTGGGGAGGGTTTATCTACGGATAATCCCTCTCACTGAGAAGAGTGTATCAACCATAGATCATGCAGGATTATCCTCAGATCATCCACTTCTTATCCCAAGATAATCCCCTGAGTGATCGTGTAATCTCTTGAGATCATCCAGGATTATCTTCACTTATCTCTCAGAGTTATCACACAATAGAGATCATCCATATATAAAGTATGGATTATCCTTCATATAAAGGAGGGTGAATCTAAAGGATCAACTGAGGATTAACTAGGGATAATCCTAGCATGAAGATCAAAACAGAGACAAAATGTGAATGAAGGTACAAAGGATTAGACAAGGATATCACAGTAATAAGGATTCATGAAGGATCAAGGAGAGATTAATAAAGGATAATAGTGACAGACATAGGGATTAAGGAACAGTTGGGATCAGCATAGGGATTAAGGAAACATAGGGATCAGCATAGGGATCAAGGAAACATAGGGATTAACATAGGGATCAATGCATAGGTATCAGAAACAGATCAAGAGAAAAATCAAGTATAACAGAAACATAGCCACAAAAAGGAAGGTGGTTTGCGATAGAAGACTGATTATATCAGCCAAGCGAACATGTAAACAAAATTTAATTGCGGGTGCGAAGAGACTTCCGTGGTTGAGCAGTAGCGCAGCCCATTCAGTCATGTTTGTGAACTGGACTCCCATTTACCCTGACATTGTCATGAACTGGACAGCCAGCGGACGTCGGCCCATCGGTCTGTGTAAGGAGCTGTCAGCGATCGGCTCATGGCGATGAAGGGAATGCTGGAGCGATGGGCCCACCGCCATAGGAGTATTTCTGAGCGATCGGCCCACCACCATGATGCAACTATTATACAGGCATGGGCCCACCGCCGCGGTGATAGTTCTGAGCGATGGGCCCACCGCCATAGGTGTATTTTTGAGCGATCGGCCCACTGCCACGGGGCTATTATACAGCCATCGGCCCACCGCCATAGGTAGTGTTCTGAGCGATCGGCCCACCGCCACGGGGCTATTACACAGCCATTGGCCCACCGCCATAGGTAGTGTTCTGAGCGATCGGCCCACCGCCACTAGGGCTATTACACAGCCATTGGCCCACCGCCATAGGTAGTGTTCTGAGCGGTGGGCCGACCGCCATAGGTAGTGTTCTAAGCGATCGGCCCACCGCCATAGGGATATTTCTGAGCGATCAGCCCACCGCCACGGGGCTATTGTACAGCCATCGGCCCACCGCCATTGGAGCTGTTCTGAGCCATCGGCCGACTGCCATAGGTAGTGTTCTGAGCGATCGGCCCATCGCCACGGTGCTATTATACAGCCATCGGCCCACCGCCACCGTGGTAGTACTGAGCGATGGGCCGACCACCATAGGTAGTGTTCTGAGTGATCGGCCCACCGCCACTGGGGCTATTATAGAGCCGTCGGCCCACTGCCATATGTAGTGTTCTGAGCGATCGGCCTACTGCCATAGGTATATGTCTGAGCGATCGGCCCACCGCCACGGGGCTATTATACAGCCATCGGCCCACCGCCACCGTGGTAGTACTGAGCGATGGGCCGACCACCATAGGTAGTGTTCTGAGTTATCGGCCCACCACCACTGGGGCTATTATAGAGCCGTCGGCCCACCGCCATATGTAGTGTTCTGAGCGATCAGCCTACCGCCATAGGTATATTTCTGAGCGATCGGCCCACCGCCACGGTGCTATTATACAGCCATCGGCCCACCGCCATAGGTAGTGTTCTGAGCGGTGGGCCGACCGCCATAGGTAGTGTTCTGAGCGATGGGCCCACCACCATAGGTAGTGTTCTGAGCGATCGGCCCACCACCACGGTGCTATTATACAGCCATCGGCCCACCGCCATAGGTAGTGTTCTGAGCGGTGGGCCGACCGCCATAGGCAGTGTTCTGAGCGATCGGCCTACCGCCATAGGTATATTTCTGAGCGATCGGCCCACTGCCACCGTGCTATTATACAGCCATCGGCCCACCGCCATTGGAGCTGTTCTGAGCCATTGGCCGACTGCCATAGGTAGTGTTCTGAGCGATCGGCCCACCACCATAGGTAGTGTTCTGAGCGATCGGCCGACCTCCATAGGTAGTGTTCTGAGCGATCGGCCACGGTGCTATTATACAGCCATCGGCCCACCGCCATAGGTAGTGTTCTGAGCGGTGGGCCGACCGCCATAGGTAGTGTTCTGAGCGATGGGCCCACCGCCATAGGTAGTGTTCTGAGCGATGGGCCCACCGCCATAGGTAGTGTTCTGAGCGATCGGCCCACCGCCATAGGTAGTGTTCTGAGCGATCGGCCCACCACCACGGGGCTATTATACAGCCATCGGCCCACCGCCATAGGTAGTGTTCTGAGCGATGGGCCGACCTCCATAGGTAGTGTTCTGAGCGATGGGCCCACCGCTATAGGTAGTGTTCTGAGCGATCGGCCGACCTCCATAGGTAGTGTTCTGAGCGATCGGCCACGGTGCTATTATACAGCCATCGGCCCACCGCCATAGGTAGTGTTCTGAGCGGTGGGCCGACCGCCATAGGTAGTGTTCTGAGCGATGGGCCCACCGCTATAGGTAGTGTTCTGAGCGATCGGCCCACCGCCATAGGTAGTGTTCTGAGCGATCGGCCCACCACCACGGTGCTATTATACAGCCATCGGCCCACCGCCATAGGTAGTGTTCTGAGCGATGGGCCGACCTCCATAGGTAGCGTTCTGAGCGATGGGCCCACCGCCACGGTGCTATTATACAGCCATCGGCACAACCCCATAGGCAGGGTTCTGAGCGATGGGCCGACCTCCATAGGTAGTGTTCTGAGCGATCGGCCCACCACCACGGGGCTATTATACAGCCATCGGCCCACCGCCATAGGTATATTTCTGAGCCCATAAGCATGGGTCGCCTGAAATATCTGACTAGCCTGGGCATAGCTGAGTTATTTGCCTTGCCCTAGGTTGTCAACTGGGCTCGTATCATGTCCGTGTCGTCTTGGTGAAGCATGGGTGGGTGAAGGAACATACCAGATGATTCATCAGGGAGTAGCATAGGTGGATGTATGAAACATGGAGATTGGTCGGGGGGAAGCATGGGCGGATGTATGAAACGTGGAGATTGGTCTGGGGGAAGCATGGGCGGATGCCACACCTGGTTGCCCGAGCCAAGAAGTAGACCATACGAAGTGAACGGATTGTACCCGAAGTCAACCGAAGAGCACGAAGTAGACGAGGATGTGGACGTGTGCAAATCAGCGTACGAGCCGAAGGACACCACAGAAGAAGGGGGCTCCGACGCCGAGTCGTTGCTCATGCGGCACCTCTTGCTCAGACCTATCGGCCCACCGCCATAGGTGTAGTTCTCAGCGATCAGTCAACCGCCATGGGCATATTTTTCAGTGATTGATCCACCGCCTAACAGGGCAATGATGGAGCTACCGCCGGCCAATAATTTCCACGTAATCCACCCATCATTCCCTCCAATTCTGGTTAGCTCACTATCAGCTCTCCTTGCAGTATCACACTCTCTCCCACTGTGGGAAGGGTTGGCGAACTGTGGCGAATATCCTTCGCCATCTGAACATGGAGTTCAGAATGACTTCGCCAAACTCTCCCAATTGGCATCGGCGTTTCGAGACATGCATCAGATACAATTTGGGATGTGCCCTTCTGGGTAGAGTATGTGGAGACGAATGGCGGTCCTTTCCACCGTGAGTAGGGTTGGCGAACTGTGGTGGATATCACTCGCCATCTGAACATGCAGTCCAGAATGACTTCGCCAAACTCTCCCATGTGGCATTGGCTTTCGAGCCATGCATCAGATACCATTGGGGATGTGCCCTCCTGAGGAGAGTATGTGGCTACTATGTTTCGCCTTACCACACCAGGTACATTGCCCAGGTTCAAAGACATGACAACCTTATATTCGACACACTACAGCACGAACGGACGCCTGGCATTGGGCGATTACATTCCTAACTCACGCAGCTGCCGCGTCGCCTCCTGCAGCTCTTCCAGCACCACATCCAGGTTCTGATCTGTCCTCTGGTGCAACCAACTAGTGAGGTTCGCGACGCGAACATGCAGCTGTTCAAGCTGCACCAGTGTAGACTCGGAGACGGTGTACACCTTCTCCTACGTTCTCGAGGTTCAGCAAGACTGTAAGGTGCTGGAACGTACCACTCACCCAGGGATCACCAAGTTTGTACCACCAGGCCTCCATAGGGCTCCCCGCCGGCCCAACCTGACGATCCCATTTCCACCAGTAGTCGGGTGAATCCTCGAGTAGGTTCTTAGGACGAGGAACGAGGGTGGTGGGGCGTGGAATCGCCTTGACGTCAATGCTGATGGGGCGCAGAACTTCGCGATTGAAAGTGCAGACAGTGAGGACACTGGCGATAACTCCGCCATGGTCAATATGGTCAGCATGACCCGCCAACGCGAGGTCGCCACAGATACCCCTGACGGCGAACTGCACAGGACTCAGCAGGGTCAGGCGATATCAGCAAGAAAGGCGTACCATCTCCCGGCGCAAGCCTTCCTCCCAACGGACCTTGGTGAAGTGATCTGGGTCAGGCTCCAGTGCCAGAACAGCTTCTTGGATCCTCCAAGTGTAGACTTCCAACTGCAACCTCCCTCTGGAGAACAGGCAGGGGCGCGCATCTGATGTTGAAAACTGGGCAGACATGACGGTGAGTGGATGAGCCGAGGTTGATATCTGATCGACCTTATCTGATGTCTGATGTCATGCGATTGGAGAGCACATGCCGAGATGAAGCCCTCAGGCGAGGATGGAGGTCACTTCGCCAAATGTGATATTGGTGAGTAGGAATTACACACATGACGATCACTACATCGATATAGCAAACATGAATATGCGTACACCCCAGTGAACCCTGACTCAAAGC